AGTAAGAAGGGGATCTTTGGATTTCAACCTTAGGAAATCATATTTGTGCTCATTGTACTAGTGTCCTAGGGCTGCCATAACAAAGTATAATGAACTGGGTGGCTTACAAAACAGAAATGTATTGCCTCCCAGTTCTAGGGGCTCGAAGTCCAAGATCAAGTTGTCAGCAGGGTTAGTTCCATCTGAGGGCTCAGAGGGAGAATCTGTTCTGTGTCCCTTTCTAAGCTTCTGGTAGTCACAGGCATTCATTGGCTTGTACATGGTCATCTTTTCCCTGTGTGTCTTCATATTGTCTTCCCTCTGTTTGTTTCAGGCTCTGTATCCAATTTCCCCTTTTTATAAGGTCATTGGTATTACTGGATTAGGGCCCACATTAATGATGTCATTTTAACTTGATTATCTCTGTAAAGACTCTATTTCTTTTTTAATTTTTATTTTGGATTTTTGAGAGAGAGAGGAAGGGGGAGAGAAAGAGAGATCTATTTGTTTTTCCACCCAATGATGCACTCATTTGTTGACCCCTGTGTGTGGACTGACCGGGGATGGAAGCTGCTATGTTGGCATATGTGGACAATGCTCTAACCAACTGAGAACCCAGCCAGGGCAAGACTCTGTTTCTGAATTATTTCACATTCTGAGGTACTAGGGTTAGGACTTCGGCACACATATTTTGGGGGGGCATGATTGACCCTGTAGCACATACTAAATAAGGACTTTCAGCTCAATAACTACAGAATTCAGGGAAGTGATAAGTGCTGCGATGTACAGTGACAGGAATCATCTAGGAACTAGAGGAGGTGTGATAACATTTTCCAGGTGAGAGAAAGTCTCCAGGAAAAAGAGAGAACTTCAAGAACTATGGAGAGAGGATACCTGATGGAGCAGAGTCTGGCATGGAATTGGAGGGGGTGTGGATTCTCAGAAAGAAGGTAGGATGCCACTTCTGAAACAAAGAAGGAGGGGAGAGATTTAAACAACTGATATGTACATGCATCTCTGGAGACATCTGCATTACCTCAGCCCCAGTGTCATCTCAGATTCTCCAGAAGCCCACCTCATATTTCTTCAGTAACTTAGAGTTAGAGCTTTATAACTTTATAACTGTTTGATTTGCAGATCTGTAATTCTCAGGTATTGCTTACAACTTAATACAAAGTACCACAGGAGCTTTCCCATAGTCATTTTTAGAAAAAAACATTTTAATGATTGAGTAAAGAAATGAATGCATAAGGATAAAGAGAAGGAGGAAACATCACACAGAATAATCAGGTCTTGTATGACACTGCTCTGCATGGCTGAAGTTAAGCAGTGAGTCAAAACCTGCGGGCACAGGCAGGGAGAAGGCTCTGAGCAAGGGTGTCAACAAGGCACATGCCTGTGCCAAGACACAGGATGGAGAACAACCCTCCATTCGCACCTGTTAATACTCCAATAACAGGACACTAGGAAAAAACAAGTGCAAAATTCATCATCTTAATTTCCTGCTAGGGTGAGCAGCAGCTATGCGTGAACTGAAAACCTCATCATACAATGAGCAGTTTGAATTAAAAGGATGCTTTATTGACTGAAACTTCAGTATTTCAAATCAGTTGTCAAAATCTGAAGTGATTAGATAAAGGGCAAGTGTTACAAATTGGTGCAAGGTGGGCATTTTGGACGTGGTGACTGACCAGCTAGCAAAGTGCCAGCGATTCCAGCAGGGCTGCATGGAGTCAGCCCTGGTGTGCTGACCTGGGACTTGGTAACGCTTGGCTCTTGCACCCTCATCATGTTCACTTCGGCACATTAAGAAAAGTTCACTAGGGAAAATCGAAATGCTTTCCCTGGGATCTTTTAGCAGATCAGTGCAAGTGTCCAGACTTTGACTAGAGAGGCCCCTGGGTGCCCAGCTTGTCTCCTACTCATGAACAGTGGCCTTAAGGACATAGCACAGAAGGCAAGTATGACAGCATTACCAGTATTTCAGACTCCCTTTCCAATTTCTCTTGGACTCATACACATTATATTTATGGAAAGAGTTTATATATAGCTTACCTGCCTAAAAGCATGATTCATTCCTTATAAAACATATCTTATAATTGAACACATACTCTATACTCTTTATTCACTAATTTGACAGTTCTCTTTTGAAATGAAAAGCTCTCAAAAACCATCTCTGTGTGTGTGCATGTGTGTGTGTGTCATAGCCAAGAGAATATTTTAGTATTTAAAGCAACAGGGGGCTAAATTCAATAAGCCTATCCCAAAAAGAAAAAGAAGGTTTCAGAAAACCTGACAGGTTCAAACATTAAGCCTTTTCCCTTCAAGGTATGGACTCAAAGAAAGGGATTTTTGAAATTTTATATCAAATTACAAAAAGTATTATGTAGTCCCACTGCTACACTGCCTGTTAATAATTCAAATATTTTCTTTTCAAAGTAGAGTTCACATGTAAAAACAAACCACAGAAACAATGCCTGTGGAGTAATGAAGTCAGACGATTTCCTGCTTGGTTTTCTTTTTGCCCTTCTCTCTTCTCCTTTTGGGATCTAAGAGGCAATTAGTGTTGTCTCTGTGCACTCTGGTTAACCATGGCAGAACTCAATTCGGAAAGCCCAACTGTTGTTCACTCACACCAATTAAAGGGCTCTGTGCTTAAATGTGCTCCAGGCCATCTTTCATAAATGAGTCTTCCTGACCAAAATTCTCAGATGGGGAAAGACACTGAAAATTAATTAGTACTATTCCTAGGTACCAGTGAGGATGCTGCGGTGCCACTGTGCTTTAGGAAAGCTCACCTGGGACTTGAAGGTATGCTCAGAATTTGTATCAGCTCACTGATTTTCTAAATTGATTCTTACAAATGACAGATACTGGCAGACAAGTTCAGGGAAGATACAAGTCAAAGAGTAAAGAACCAGAAGTTGGGCTGAGCTTTCAATTCACAATACACATGGCCTTGACCTTCTGCTTCAGAAGAGTTTTGTATAGCAAGGATGGTCGCAGAGGTGAAAAACAGCTTTTTGGTCCTCTTTTGTGTGACCTAATGTTGAATGTGAGAATAAACAATGTCAAATGTTCAATTGGCTAGTCTTTCTTGGCTCTTCTGTATCCTATCACACCCTACCCCCCAAAACCAAAAAAAAAAAAAAAGGAAATTGGCAAAGTACTAAATTGACTTGTCATCATGATGGAGTGCAACACTGTCTTAATTATAACACATTGCACTCACTAGAACAAAAAGTAGTTCTATTACAATATTTGCTTTGACAGATTTGTCACTGCCCAGCATCTTTGCCATCTCGTAACAAAATTATGAGGAAATTATCTCCCACCAAATTTTTAAATGAGTGAGGAGTCCCCTTACATACAGTTGACTCTGAAGCCCTACACCCTCAACTGAGGGAAAATGCAAGGTCTAACAGAATGATGGGACTCCTGGAAACAAATTTTGTTCTGCATTTACTGTCAGTCATACATGTGGGGTGTCTCAGATCACCTCACTGGCATCTCTGTTTCAGTCATCTTTGCTAACTGTTCCCCATCTCCTTGACCTTTAAATGTCAGAGGGTCATATAGCTCAGTGTTCACACATCTCCCCTTCTCTACACTTACTCCCTTGGTGAGCTCATCTGTTTCATTTTTTGTCGCTGTTGTTTTCTTATTGTTGACATTATTACAGATGTCCTGCATTTTTTCGCCTATATGCTGATATCTCATATATGTGGTGTGACAAAAGTAGGCTTACAGTTTTATGTGAAACACAGTTAATTCTTATATTATTATTTATTGTATTATTTTCCATATGAACAGCTATAAAACTACTTTTGCCCCACCCTGTGTGGGTGTGTGTGTATGCGTGAGGGGTGTATATGTATCCTTTGAAGCCCAGGTGTATATATCCACCTGCCTCCTCAATAGCTCCACTTGAATATTTAATAGGCATCTCAAATTTAACATGTCCAAAACCAAAACCCAGACTTTCTTCCTAAACCTGCTCTTCAATTTTGTCCATCTAAATTCCTAACAATCCCATCATTCCTGTTGTTCCAGCAAAATCCTTAAAGTCATCCTCACTTTTCACACCCACACCCCATCTGTAAGAAACTCCTGTTGGTAATACATTTAGAATCCCATCACTCTTACTGCCCTGGTCCACCCTAGATTGCTGCTTCTTCCCCGGCTTCTTTAAGTCTGTTTTCAACACAGCAGGCAGAATGATCCAGTTAACACATGTCGGATCATATTGCTTCTCTGTGCAAACCCTTGTACTGGCTCCCAACATCTTTCAGTCCTTGTGCTGGACTACAAGACCCTCCATGATTTTCTCCTCCAGGTGACCTATGACTTTGTCTCCTCCATCCTCTGCCTCCCTTACTCAGCCCCAAACACCTGATATTTCACGGATGTGACTACATACAGGTCCATGTCAGGGACTTTGCACTTGATGTTCTCCCTCCACCTGGCCTGTCCTCTTCCCCAGATGCCTGCATGCATCATTCCTTGAACTCTGTCAATTTTTCACTGAAAGTGTGCCTTCTCAGTGAGGCCTTCCCTTGCCACCCAATTCCAAATGACACCCTCTCCCATTTACCACAGGTACACTCCTTGTTTTACTCCATAATAATGACAGAATACATAACCAACATAGAGTACAATTTCATTTATTGTTTAATTCTGTCTCTGCTAACACTTGAATGTATGTTCTATAAGGTCAGAGATTTATTGTTGTCTTCTTCTCTTCTTTACCCCTAAGCCCTAGAACAGTACATAGCTTGTAGTGGGTGCTCCATAAGTATTCATATATATAACTGGTTACACATTGGCTTCATAATCACCAGTAACAGTTGGCACAGTTCATCATGTAGGCTCAGGGTCAACCTCTGTTTCAAGATCAAGGGCATTTCATCTCCATGTTGTTTTCTTAAATAGGCAATGTCACAGGAAACTGTGTACAGACAACCAGAGTCCCCTTTCGCTTCCTTCTGTCTTCTGGAGTGGCTGGCTGGAGGCAGACAGGATCAATGCAGCCAGATGCTGGACTCCGAGGCCTGGTTTTTGCATGTAAGCATGTAGCCATTGAGATAGCCATTGGTCTGCTGCTTGGAAAGTCCTCCATTCAGGATGTCGCAGATGTGCTGCACAATGAGGTCGATGGCCACTAGATTGTCCACACCTCTAAGAATCATCAGGTCTGCATATATCTTTGTTGGCAAGCAGAATTCTTCAAAGGCAGGTTTCATGAACATAACGTACTGGGATAAAATCTCTTCCAGGTCTTGCCCTCTTTCGCTGACATCTCTTAATACTATGCGGGAGAGCCGGGTGTCTGCATCTGAGTCTAGGAAGATCTTCATCTGGAACAGGTCTCGCACTTCCTGAGAGTAGAAGGCCAAAATGCCTTCGAAAAGGACCACTTTCGCGGGGTAGACAGTGACTGTTTCCTCCTTCCGGGTATGGGAGTCAACGTCATACACGGGAATCTGCACGATTTGCCCTTTGGCGATTTTTTTTAGCGTTTTGAAGATGAGTTCATTGTCAAAGGCGTCTGGGTGATGGAAATTGAACTGACCTTTCAGGGCTTTAGTCTTCTGCTCTGAAGTGAGGACGCGGTAGAAGCTGTCCTGGCTCAGGATGACCACCTGCTTCTTGCGGTAGTCCAATTTGTTCTGCCCTAGAAGCTGCACAATCTTTACACAAAAGGAGGACTTGCCACTGGCCCTGCCCCCACTGACCCCAATCAGGAAGGGCTCGCCACCGCCACCATCGAAGTTATTCAGCTTGTGGTTAAGTTGGGTCGGCTTGCCGTCGCCATCACCATCACCCGCCATGACTGCCGCCACCCCTTCGCAACGGTCTCTGCCTCCCTTCTCAACGGCCTCTGCGTGAGCACGCTGACGCACGCATGCACGCATGCACGCACGAGGCCTCGCTAAGTATTCTTTGAATACATTAAAATTCCAAGACAACTGGTCGATTCAGAAAAATGAGATGAAAGTATTCAGGTAACTCGATATTAAATAGAATGTGAACTCCAGCCAATTATTTGTAGGGGGAAAGTGTAGTGTGTGTATGTGTATCTATGTGGAGAGAGAGATGGAGGGAAATAGAGAGGAAAGGAGGGATAGAGAAGAGAGGTTAGAAGGGAGGGTGGGGGGAGAAAGAGGGGGGAGAGGGGAAATGGGGGAGAGAGAGAGAAAGAAGGAGGGGGGAGGAAAGGAAGAGAGGGAGAGAGAGAGAAGAGAGGGGGGAGAGATGGAAAGGAAAAGAAAGAGGGTTGGAGGGAGAGAGAGAGGAGGAGGGAGAGAGAGAAGGGAGGCAGGAAGGGAGGGAGGGAGGGAAGGAGGAGAGAGAGAGAGACAGACAGAACCTTTATCAGTGAGCAAGGAAGCAATAGAGACAGAAATGGAGATGGGGTGACTAAGCAGAGATGCTCCCTGCCCCTGAGGCCCCACCAAAGCCAAGGCCAATTTTGCAGACCTAATGTTTTATAAAAATAACTTGCAAAGTTATGATGAAGTATTATTGACAATCCAGTAAGCCATACAAAAAAGGCAGATTCATCCAACCCCAGGCTAATTTTTTTTTTCATTGTGCTACATATAATGGCTATAATCAGTTATAGCTATAAACAGAATTACCAAGTCTGATTATTTTTTATCTGATAGTTCATCATCAATAGAGAAACATACTAGACTCAGTAGAAGGAAAATGATAGATGCTACAGGAACAAAATGTGGTTTATTAACAAATTAATAATCATGTCTGTCTTTTCTACTGTAAAGCCTTGCGTTTCTTACCACTCATTTCTGCCATGTGAGTAGAAAAGCTATCTTTCAAAAAAAACTAAAATCAGGCATTTTATGTCAGCCTGCATTTTTTTTTTAACCATTTGATATTTTTATTCCCGGACATATTGTATACCATGAGAGAATTTCTCATATGAAAGCCGAAATCAAAGTAAGTTACTTACTATATGTAAATCTAATTAAATATTTGAGAAAAATAGGTCTTTTGATCCAGTAAGAATTCAAAATTTTACTTATTCATTTGTGTCTAGTAAAAGTAAAAGGGGGGGCATTAAGATGGTTGAATGAAAAATAAGCTGGTTCGAAGATACACTCAGCTTGTGGTACAGCAGAATGAGATAAAGGCAAGAACATTGGCCAGTTTCTAAGAGTCTTGGTTTCCATACCTATAAGACAATAACTCTTATTCCTGCCTATGCCAAAGGGTTACTGTGAGATCCAAATATGAAAATGAATGGGAGTGGGCTCTTTCAATTTTGAAATGCTTCCCACATATAAGCCAAGATATTGAATACTTGCAAAACTAGAAGGAACCTGCTTCTACTTGAGTCCAAAGATGGGAAAGCGAATGGAATTGTTAAAATGTAGAAACTTTTGGCTCCCAAAGAAAATGAAATGCTTTAAAAATCAAAAGAACGTTGTTGTGTTGAATCACTCAAAAATTCCTTTTATGTTTCATCTGCTATGATGTATTATCTTTGGAGGCAATATGATGCTTCTCTTCTAAAAATGTCACAGCTTTGAGGATAATAATTTAAGAATTTCAGACAATTCAATGAATTTTTCTGAGAACATCCTTTTTGAAAAATGATCAAGTATAAATCCTTTACCCTCAATTTGTGTCATAACAATTGATAACCAGAATGTCTGACTGACTTATAATTGCCTACATCCTACCAATATGGCTCTTGATTCTAGAATGCAGCAGGGCCACAACTACCTTTATAAGAATCAGAGATACATATTGAAAGCCAGCTACTTATATAGCATTATTTTCTTATGCATCAAAAACCTTATTATGTAACTTGGATAGAATGGTGTCCTCTCTGCTCCTTTTTATCCATGTAGTCACAATATGCTGTACAATTGTACCTCATTTCCCCTGAGCTCCTTTACTCATTTACAGATTCTTATGCAGAAAGAATGCCAAGTGATTATCATGACACCCTCCAGTTAGAATTCATAAAGAGATTAAGTACAACTTAACATGTTTCTGCAGCTGAACTATGAGAGGTTTTACTTCACAAATCATCCTCTGGTGCAATCTAAATCTCAAAACCATAAAATGGAAAAAAGTCAAATTCTTATGCTGTCAGTCACAAGACTGAGCTCCAGCAAACCTGTATAAGTAGGTCAGCCAATTGTACCTCAACATTCCAGCTCTGTAGTCTTCCCTGATGTTTTGTCTTGCTTTCTTTATTCAAAAGCAGGCAAAATTACTAATAGGTACAAATATTAGCTTCCACCCTACTGTGATATACAGTTGACAGGAATCAAAGAGGAAAGAAAATACCATTATTTTATCAAGTGCCTACAATGTGACCAGCAATTTATAGACATCATTTCCTTGCATCATTCATTCATTCATTCATTTATTCACAATGACCTCTGTCAGACAACCCAAAATAAATACAGCAGACAATGTTCCTACCTTCATGTAGATTACAATCAAGTTTAAGAAAAAGATATTTAAAAATAATCACACACCTTCTACAGCTTGGTAGAACATAATAAATCACAGCAAGTAAATAGTCCAGTTGTAATAATTAATTAAATGTGAATACATCACAAAAATCGCATTTTAATGCCTGAGAGATCTTCAATAACAATTAGGACTAGATAAACTACAATTTCAGAGATTATAGAACCATTCCAAACTCTGTGCTACAGCAAAGAAATGAGGGAGTCCTTCAGCATGGATGGACCTGGAGATTAGTATGCTAAGTGAAATTGTACAAGTAATTCAACAAAGGACAGTCTTTTTGTAAAGTGGTGCTGGAGGAATCAGACATTTAGAGGCAACAAAAATGAAGTTCAAACTAAACCTCATACCTTATATAAAAATTAAAATGGAACACAGGCATAAATCTAAATTTTAATACGATAAAATTGTTTTAATGGGAAAAAGCTTCAGGATTAATATTAGTGGAAGGGTTCTAAATGTGACAGTAAAGGTGTGACCCATTTAAAAAAATGTTAAATTGGACTACATCAAAATTAAACATTTTGCCTCTGTAAAAGACCCATTTAAGAAGATGAAAAGGCAAGCAACAGTCTTGGAGACAATATTTGCAAACCATATATCTGGAAAAGGACTCAAATCTGTAATATGTAAAGAACTCTAAAAATCCAACAATATAAAAAAATCAGTATAATTGGGAACTAGGCAAAAGACATGAACAGACATTTCACTGAATAGGATATGCAGATGGTTAATAAGTAAATTATAAGGTGTTCAGCATTATTAGCCAATAGGGAAATGCAAATTAAAACACAATGAATTAGCCCTGGCTGGTGTGGCTCAGTGGATTGAGCGCTGGCCTGTGAACAAAAGGGTTGTAGGTTTGATTCCCAGTCAGGGCACATGCCTGGGTTGTGGGCCAGGTCCCCATTGGGGGGTGCGTGAGAGGCAACCACACATTAATGTTTCCCTCCCCCTCTTTGTCCCTCCCTTCCCCTCTCTCTAAAAATAAGTGGTGGGGGGGAGGCAGAGACAAATGTATTTGAAAAAATAAAAGAAAATTTAAAATAAATAAATAAATAAATAAATGAAGTCTTTTAAAAAAAAACACAATGAATTATTGTTGCACACTTATCAGAATGTCTAAAATAAAAAATAGTGACAATGCCAAATGCTTTCAATGGATGAGAAACTGAATTCCTCATCCATTGCTAAGGAATATAAAGTAGCACAGCCATTTCAGAAAATAGTTTGATACTTTATTTAAAAACTAAACATCAAGCCCTGGTTGGTGTGGTTCAGTGGATTGAGTGCTGACCTGCAAACCAAAGGGTCGTCAGTTCAAATCCCAGTCAAGGCACAGGTCTGGGTTGTGGGCCAGGTCCCCAGTGGGGGGGTGTGCAAGAGGCAACCACACATTGATGGTCCTCTCCCTCTCTCCCTCCCTCCCTTCTTTCCCCTCTCTAAAAATAAATAAACTCTTTAAAAAATATAAAAACTAAACATTTAACTACCATATAATCCAGAAATTGTATTCCCGAGCGTTCATCCCAGAGAAATTTAAGTTACATCAGTAGCCTGGTTGGATGGCTCAGTTGGTTGGAGCATCATCCCACACGCCAAAAGGTTGCCAGTTTTTTCTATTGCAAGTAATGTGCTGTGAACATTCTTGTACAGGTTTCTATGTGGATGTGACCTTTCTTTTAATTCTCACTTGAGGATATGTTTTATTTATTGTTTGTTTTTATTTTTATTTACTTGTTTTATAATCCTTGTCTAAGGATATATCTTTTTTTATTTTTACTTATTTATTTATTTTAATTTTATTTATTATTTTTATTTAATTGTAATGTATTTTTAAATTTTTTTAATTTTCACCCAAGGGTATATTTAGTGATTTTAGAGAGAGAAGAGAGAGAGAAAGAGAAACATAAATGTGAGAGAGAAACATAGATCAGTTGACTCCCATATGTGCCCTCATTGGGGATCAAAACCACAACCCAAGCATGTGCCCTGCCCAGGAATCAAACCCATGACCTTTCGGTGTATGGGATGATGCTCTGACCAACTGAGCCACCTGGCTAGGGCACCAAATTACTTCTTAAAAATGAAGGTAGTCCTGGCCGGTGTGGTTCAATGGACTAAGCGTCAGTCTGTGAACTGAAGGGTTGCTGGTTCAATTCCCAGTGAGGGCACATGACTGTCTTATGGGCCAGGTCCCCAGGTAGGGGCACACAAGAGGCAACCAGTCCATGTTTCTCTCACACATCAGTGTTTCTCTCCTCCTCTTTCTTGCTCCCTCCCCTGTCTCTAAAAATAAATAAATATTAAAAGGAAGGTAAAATGGAGACATTTTCAAATAAGCAAAAGCTGAGAAAATCCATCATAAGCTCTATGCTATCAAAAATATTAAAGAACATTCTTCAGAGTGATAAAAAAAATTTAAGAGATTGAAACTTGGATCTATACAAAGAAATGAAAAATATCATAATGGCAAATACATGGCTAAATATAAACTATTTTTTCTCATTTTTAAACTTCTTTGAAAAATTATTTACTACTTAAAGCAGAAGTAATAATATAACATAGGGTCTGTAACATGGGGAAATAAAATGTATCGCAACAACAGCACAAAGAACAGTAGGTAAATGTTGGTATAATGTTAGGAGCTTTTTTATATGTGAAGTAGCATAATATATTAATCACTATATAATAGTCATTTATTTTATATATTTAATATGTAAGTATATTTGCATACACATACATTCACACACAAGTACATATGTTCTTAGACAGGGTCCAAAGGATTCACCATATGGGTACATGGTACAACAAGTTTTTATCAACTCCTCATTGTGAGAAGGAACACAAAAGATCCACCAGGTGACTCGAGGTATGTAAGCATTGAGAACGTTTTAAGGATGATGACAAAATGCCTTTGAACATCCCATCTCTTTATCTTTATATGACAATGGTGTTCCCTAACAAGCATAAGATGGATTCCACTGATGAATTTTGCTGCCAGAGCAACCTCAGCCATTATACCTCCCCTTATTTTAATGATGTGTCACTTCCTGCTTCAGCATCAAATCAGCCACAGACGCAAAAGTCCATGGAATGAGAATGAAGTGTAATGGTGCCTGCTGCCTATTCTCTTCACTTAACCCAAGAAGCCATTTGCAAATAGCCCAAAGACCCACTGTGGGAGATGGACATTGTTTCCCAAAAGTAAATACAGCTCAGCTTGTACTTTGGAACAATTGGTGAACCTTGCTGCTTGCACAATCTTCTAGCAAAGGTTATGCAGTGCCTGAACATGATCATGGCAGAATCACCAGGCCTCATCACCATCTGCCTTTTAGGATATCTCCTCAGTGCTGAATGTGCAGGTTTGTTTCCTTTTAAAAGATACATTGAGTATGCTTGTCTTTTAGATATAAAAATGTCTGGTGCTGTCTTCTTCACTAAATAATGATTACAGGATTCCACAGCAATATTTAAGATTCTGGTAGTCAGCCTGTGTGTTAGCAAATACTGGTTCTCTGGTAGCTGTGTCGCCTTAATTTTTAAAACTAAATAGATTTACAATGCTTATGGTACATTTTTAATGGACACTGATGGACTTAGGATTTGACAATGTAATTCCTAAATGGTCATCTCCTTGGTTAAAAAAAAATTAAAAATGGAAAAATACTTTAACAAGGAAATAGCAGAAAATGGAGAAAAAATTAACTGTCATTTTGGTTATTTTTACTCACCACTTTGAAATCAAAATGGGAAACATTAAAGCCACAAAGAATGCTTTTATCTGCACAAAAATTTTTATTTTAAGCTATATGATGTTTTGAAATTTTATAACTAAATAGTAAGGCATGCCTATAATTTTAAAAATATATAAAATTATATACCTTCAATTTAAAGTTTAAGTTACAACAGACAAAACTTTTCATTAGTAAGTTGTTATTTATCACTAACATTTTTCATAGATTAGGAAGAGATTATTATATGTCTGATTCTAAACATCTCAAAGTTAATACGTGGGGAAACTCAATACTCAAGCTCTTAGAAGAGCAAAGCCAGTCAAAGAATTGACATAAAGGGTAGAAATTGGTTAATGCAACGTGTGCCACTTGTTTTTGTCACAGCTTCAGTGACTTTATACACTGTCCCCAAAGGAAAGCACACAGGAAAGAAATTACCTCATTTAGACAAACAGCATGTTCTCACAGGAAGCATTTATCACACTTACTTGTCAGCCTACTATAATCAAATCTAGTAGCTGACAGTGCCAGGATCAGGGGTGCCAACCCTAAGGGTCTCCAGAAAGCAGACTGGCCCTGTGGTTCCCACTCCAGACATGATGTCAGACTGAAATGCAGAAATAATGATACAAGAATGCAAAGGTTAAATCAAACTGGCCAAGTGGGTAGAGTCCAGGAATAAAGAAATTTAGCTGGAAAACTCGCAAAGCAGAACATAAAGCTTAGCCTTTACACATGTCTCCTCGGTGTAAGATAAGCAGGACAAAGGACCCAAGCCCTTCCTTCAGGATAAGTGGTGAGATGATGGAGATTTTAAGAGGGCTGCTGACCTCTTGAAGAACTCAGATGTTGGAAAAAAAAAAGACAAATGGGAAGAAAAAAGTGGAACTGGGATTTCAGAGCTTGGGAAACAATAACTCAAATAGATAAACCTGAAAAAAAAGTAAGATATATGATCCTCAAACAATACTGAGGAGAAAGGCAATGTGATTCTGGAGTGACTGCAGTCACAGATAAAGGGCCCTTGAGGAGAGACGCAGGGGGCTTTCCCTGAGGATGGACGGTATTGATGCAGCACGCTCTGCTGCCATTAAATTGTCACTGACTTCTAAAAGCAGTTTTGATGAATGATCTACTGAGCTGTTGCATTTTCATGGCTGCTGCCCTTCGGTTTTACTGCATCAATTTGGATTTTGAAATCAAAACTATTCTGTGAAACCAATTCAGCTTTGTAAAGGGCATGGACCAAAACTGTCTTTCATTCAGAATGAATGAATGACATGAATGTGAGAGAGCATCAACCCATACACTTCAGAAACTTTACAAAACCAAGTGACTACTATGGTTCCAGGTACTGTGGCAAGGTACCGGTGATGTGGGGACAAACCAGACTCCCCTCCTTGGCCTAAGGCATCATGAGGTCAGGAGAGAGATTTCAATATAACATGCTAAAATGTGTACCAGGTGCTAAAGGAGCATAGAAAAAGAAATACATTAATTGGGGAAACACCTAACAGAGAATATTTTGAGCTGGGCCTTATAAATCAGTAGATTCACTCTTGAATGTCTGATTCAGGGCATTCTAAGCACAAAGGATCACTCTTGTACACACATCCAGATCCACAAAGAATGTGAAGGCTTTCGATAACTCAGTATGTTTTGAATGTTGAATATGACAAGTGAGGCAGGATAGCAAGGCAGGGTCAGGTCGTCAAATAACAAAAGCCCTAAACTAAGCAGTTTGGACAATACAAAGCAATGTGGGGTCATCAGAAGTACAAAGAAATACCACTGACAGCTGATTTTGGATGCTCAGCCTGGCAACATTCTAGTCAAATGTCTGAGAAAGGGCTGGCAAGACTAGAGAAGACCAGTCTTGAGGCTACTGTAACCAACCTGGGAAGGCAGGAGGGCCTGGACGTGGACATTAGCTGTATAGACAAAGGAGGGAACAGAATTCAAATGACATTCAAGGAAGTAACGTTCAAGGAAGTAGAAATCCTATGACTTAACCATCTGGGTATGGGAGGGGAACAGGTTTACAGAAAGTGTACAGAGTATGTCTTCGGCATTTTATGTGATTACTGGACATAGCCTAGGGCCTAAGAGCTTGAACTGTGCATCTTCCAGAGTCAAAATCCTGGCTCTGACACATTCGTATGTTACCTGGAGCAAATTACTTAACCTCTCAGAATCTCTGTTTTTCTCAGTTCCAAAAATGAGATGACAAGACCTATCTCATGAGACTGTTGCGATTATGGAATGAAATAATATTTGCAAATAACTGAGCACAGTGCACAGCACATCAGAAGCATAAATAAACATCAGCGCTCCATCAGATTGCAAGGTACAGTTAGGGATCTGGAATTCAGAAGATGTATCTGACCAGAGATGAATATTTGGAACTCGCTATCAAATAACAGTAATTACAACTATATGAATGGCGATCCAGGAAGTGATCATGGGTGCTGTGGCACTTAGTATAGTGCCTGGCAGAAGTGAGTGTTCAGAAAATTGTGTTGAAAGAGCCAGGGCTGTACCAGGGTGAGACAGGCAAGGCAAGTAGGGCATCATTGTACTTGTACACATTAAAAGAGAGGGCCTCCTGCAATCTTGTGCCCTAAAGTCCTTGTTTACCTCACGCGAGTCTTGGCCTTGGCAAGGATGGATGGAATGAAAAGGGAAAAGGCCGAAGCTGGAGCTTGGGAGAACTCTGAACATTTAACGGGCAGGCAGAGAAGGTGAATTAACTGATTTCATGTGGCAGATGAATAACAAGAGTTAGAGCAAAGAGGAGAACCAGAGTAGAGTGATTTCATGGAAAGAGTGTCCTGAAAAGGGAGAGATTAACAATTATAACTGTTTCCAAGCAGTCAGGAAATACATAAACTCAAAACTATCCTTTCGGAGGCCATGGCTGATTCGCACAAGTCATTTCATTATATTGATAACAGTAAAGAAGGGAAAGAGCTACAGAAAAGAGCATTAAAGAGCTAAAGGGAGTTGAGGAAATTTTAAGACAGCGTAAGTTTTACAGGTTGACTTAAGACCATCTACATGAACAGAAACTAACCTGTACAGCAAATTCAGAGTCCGTTCAATTTGAGATCCAGTTCTATTTTCCAGGAAGGAAGGAAGGGGGTAAGTAGGGAAGAAGAGAGAGAACTAACGTATGGGAGGGGGGAAAAAAACCCAGAATTACCTTCTGAAGGGCAGGTCCCTTGTAGTGCAGGCTTCCCCCACTAGGTGAGTGCCCTAGGAACCCATCTGTATCAGTGTACCAGCTGGTGGTGTTGTGAGAAGTTGCATTCAGCTTAGTGAATTTTTTTTGAAGACTCTTTGAAAGCATTTGCCCATTTCATGATGAGTGATTTATGAGCGCACCTGCCCACACCACGCTGAGTGTTCAGCAGTTTTTGACCAAAAAACGGCATGACCCCAGTGCCCCACCCTCCCTGTTCATCCAGTCTCGCCCCCAGCAACTTTTTTGTTTTTGTTGTTTCCTGGATGAAAAAAGTCCTGAAAGAGAAACAATTTGCTGATGTGGAAGAGGTGAAACAAAAAAACTGCAGAAGCACTAAAAAGCATCAAAAATCACTGAGTTCAAAAACTGTTTAGAGCAGTGGGAAAAAAATGTCTTGATAGGTGTTTTGAACCGTCCTTTGAAGGTAACTGAGGTTTAAATATGTAAAAATAAATACACAATTTTTTATAAATAAATTCCAGGTGTTTTGGGTCCCCCTCATATACTAGCCTACACATACTATTCTCTCACTGATCCTGTCAACAACACCGTGAGGTACATATTCTTTTTATCCTACTGATACACCCATTTTACATTGAACCAGGTTAAGCTTCAAAGATTATGTGACTTGCCTAAGATCTCACAGCCAACAGGTGGTGGATTGAAATCCAAAAGTGTCTGATCTGACTCCACAACTCTGTTTCTCCACTAGACCACACTGTAAATGGATTCAGACATACATGATATTGTAGTTGTGCCCAGGAGCAAGCAAAAGAATTGCCAGCAGGGACAAGGGCCTGGTGGAGGCTGGGAGGCATCAATATGCGATGGCATCCACCTGCAGCACAGGAATTGTCTCACAAGGTGCTCAGGTGCCTCAGAAGGGAAGGCGCGCGCATACAGCTGCACTGATCTAGGGCTTGGGGCTGCAGGATATTGCAGCCCTGAAGAAGGGGTCAAGGGAATTGAGAAAGTTGGCAGGTGAAGCCCAAGAGAACAAGAGAAAAGAAAGATTGTCAAAGGACTGGAACGGTCCCTAAAGTGAAGAGCTGCAATTAAAACAGAGGAATATACTTTAGTTTGCTCTTTTTTTATACTTTTTTTGGAGTTAATGAGAAAGCAGTCCCAAAATGCCCTGGAAAGTTCATCTTAGAAGCACCTGGTCCTATGAGACAGTAACAGATAGTCTCTTGAAGAACAGAAAAAACTCCAGGCAACTTTCTGGAGTTCCTGAGTAAGTAGTTCCTGAGTAAGTTCCTGTTATTATAGATAGATAGATAGATAGATAGATAGATAGATAGATAGATGATAGATGATAGATAGATAGATAGATAGATAGATAGAGATAGAGATAATAGATCTGTATCTATTATCTATAAGATAATATCTTATTATCTATAAGATAATAAGAGAAATGAAATGAAGATTTGAGAGTGGGGAGACAGGGAGGGATGGGGAAAACTGGTTAGAGATCTTAGTCTTCTGGATCTCAGAAGTGCCCCCACAGGCTGGGCAATCAGAGCTAAGATAAACTATATCCTGAATCCCAGGGAAAGAGTTACATCATTGGAATTCCTACAACACATGCCAACTGAAGGTGGTGTGAGTATGAAGAAAAAAACAATGAAAGCAGTGGGTTTTCTTTTAAACCTAGTGTAAGAGTCTGGGGTTAGGGACCAGAATTAGGCTTCTGTTCTTCCAAGAGAAATTTGTTACAAAGTAATTTGGGCAACTGCATCCTGAAAACAGAGTGGAGCATGGGTGGGGCAGGCGGGGACCACCTTGCAAGGATCTGCAATTAGGATCTATTTTCAAATGATGACAAAGTATGAAGTTAACTGCTTATTTAAGAACTTTCTTTTTAATGCAAAGTAAATTCAAATACAATTGAAAATCTGACCTTTTATTACTGGAGCTCTCTTGACTAAGAGTAAAATTGAATTTCAATTCCTCAGTCTCCATGTGTATACAGTACCATGAGAACATCATAAATTTTGGCTCTATGCCCCAAAGATAAATTTGCTTTAGGATTACTTGGATTAAAAACTTTTCCTAAGAGTTGTATTTAATTTTCATGTTTTCTTTTTCCTAAAGCTAAATAATAGTTCTTTTAAATTTCAGTTTTTCTTGATCGTGAAAATGCCACCAAAATTCTGAATCGGCCAAAGAGATATAATTCAGGTAGATTGGAAGAATTTGTTCGAGGGAACCTGGAGAGAGAATGTATGGAAGAAAAATGTGATTTTGAAGAAGCACGAGAAGTTTTTGAAAACACTGAAAAAACTGTGAGTATTTCCACCTAACATCCTTCAGATACAGAACGAACAATAGTAACCCTTTTAAAAAAAAGAGAGAAACTTCTCTTTGTAATTTTAAAATATCTATACATATATGCATATTATAAATGGTATAAAAGAGAAGGAATCAAATCCAAAACATTTTAAACGCCATCATTAACCTCTTCTCCTTCTCTTTATAGACTGAATTTTGGAAGCAATATGTTGGTAAGCATTTCGTTTTATCTTCTAGCTTGCATATGAAACATTTCAGAATTATGTATTTTTCTCTGTGTAAATATACAATCTATTAAACTCTGTCAAAAGGACTCAGATAAATAAGTTCCACTCTTTTACCCAAGATTGAAAGGTGATATACTACAGGTTTATGCCAGCATAAGAGACATCAGTTAGCAGATAAGCTGACTCCTCCCTAGGGCTTCAAAGAGAACATCGTTCCACCCCAGGAAGCTGGAAAGAAGAAACAGAGATGATTGCATCTGGGGACTGAATGAGGGTTTGCAGTCCCCAGTGGAAAAAATCAGAGAATGTTGATTGACTTAAATGTTTATTGTTTAACCAGTCTTCTCCTTATGATGGTCTGTAGGGCCCTCCACAGTTACTCTGCCCTTTCCTTCCCATTGCCCCTCCCATTTTATCTCCTACTGCTCCCCACCTCACACACTGGACCACAGCCATCCTGGCCTCCCTGGTGCTCCTTGTGCACTCTAGGGATGCTTCTACTTTAGAGCCTTGGACCTGGCTGCTCCTTTAATATGGAATGCTCTTCTGTTAGGTTTCCCTAGGCTCACCACCTCACCGCCTTTGGGTCTATGCCCAAAGTCACCACATCAATGAAGCCGACCTTGATCATATATTAATATGTCAACCTGTGCCCCATAACCCCTTCACTCTAGACACTGTATCCTGCTCTATTATTTTTCATACATAGCACTTTTCACCATCTGAGATACCATATAATGTTCTTACTTATACTATCATTCATTTTTCCCACCTCACTACATGGCAACCTTCACGTTGGTAGGGGTATTCAATTTTTTGTTTATTGATGTATTCATAGTAACTTGAACAATATCTGGTAAAGAAGCACTACATAAATATTTGTTAAATGAATTTACCAAAACGAGGAAAACTTTAATGACAACTAAGTTTTTTTTTCTCTTTTTTATTTAATTTTATTTTAATTTATTTTTTCAAATACATTTGTCTCTGCCTACCCCCCACCACTTTCCCTTGCCCCCTCCCCCCTTCCCTCCCTCAGCTCTTCCCCTTTGGTTTTGTCCAAGGGTCCTTGCTATATGTTCCTTGACTTTCCCCTTCCCTTCCTTTTCCCCGCCCGCCCCCTTCCCTCTTGTCTCTGTTGATTTCTTTTCCTTTCAGTGTTGCTGGTCTTATTTCACCATATGATCTCACCTATAAGCGGAACCTAACCAACAATACAAAGATGAAAGGAAAACAAGACAACTAAGTTTTAAAATCAATCTAAAATATAGCAGCAGGATTTTGTGGCAGTGTAAATTTCGCAGGTTCACTTACACAGGCAGCAAATTTACTGAGTTCCTTCAATTTGAGATCCAGTTCTATTTTCCCGTTTCTGTTCTGGAGACACTGTTGGGCTTGTTCCTGCCTTTGTAACTCATAATTCTTCCATTTTTGTTCTTAAGTCATGGTGGAAGAAGACATTCCCTTCATTACATGTGCTTTATCTTCCTTTACTTGTTCTTGATAATTAACACTACCAGGCCAATTCTCTACTGAGGTATTCCCCTATGGTTAGTCCAAACAAGGCTTCTCATTCTCTGTTTCAACTATATTTAAAATTTCTTGCCCTGGCTGGTGTGGCTCAGTGGATTGAGCGGTGGCCTGTGAACCAAAGGGTTACCAGTTTGATTCCCAGTCAGGGCACATGCCTGGGTTGTGGGCCGGATGCCCAGTTGGGGGAGTGAGAGGGGCAATCACACACTGATGTTTCTTTCCCTCTCTTTCTCCCTACCTTCCCCTCTCTCTAAAAATAAATAAATAAAATCTTTAAAAAATAAATGAAAAATAAAATTTCTCATTTTGTGACATATTTTTAAGGCCCAACAATTCCTAAATTTCCCCCCAAAATATTCCTGGCTGTACTTAAACTCCTATAATCCCTTCATTGTCCGTCCCCTGACCTGACCTCCCACCCCCTAGCAGCATATGCCAGGGCCTCTTAAGACTTATATTTTGAAGTTGGGTTCCTGCCTTCTAGATCACAGGCAGTGGTTACTGTATCTCAGGTAAAGACATCTCAGAAACATTAAGGACATGATTCTGTCACTACTGCTTTGTCTATTGAAAAATAAAACACAAACAAGAACAGAAAAAGAAAAAAAATAATAACACCATGCCTCTTTTCCCTTGCTACTAAGATTCCTAATTCCCCAAATAGCCTATGCTAGTTCTCACTATGTGGGCTACCCCATACATCAGGGACACAGCCCCCTCACTGCTGCCCTGTTGTGTACCATCAGCTCACCATATAAAGAGCCAAGGTGAAGAAAGAATATCGTGCAATCACATTAAGCAGCATCTGTCAAGTACTTTACAGTTTACAGAGTGCCTGTCACATTTAATCCTCACACCAACCCTAGGAGCAAAGTGTTATTAACCTCATTTCATAGAGGAGAAAACTGAGGCTTAGGGAGATTAAAAGACTTGCCATAGGTCACCCAGCTGTGGAGTCATGGAGCCAAGAAAAGAATCCACGCTCTATTATGCCGAACCCCTTCACTATTAGCCCTACCAGCCTTCAAATTTAAATGCAGTTATTTATTAAACACCAACGTAGAGGCCTTAAACAGGAACCTCTCACTTGGCAAGGTCTTGTCCCTTGTTGTCTTTGACCCCTACTGTCTGTGGCTTTGCCTCAGCCCAAAGTACACACAGACAAGCACCCAAAGGAGAACTAAATGCAGGATAAAATGACACTCATTTTAAAGATATGTCCCAGCAAATGAGTTGCTGTGTAGCTGGCTGCAAGCCCAGACTCTTTCAGTGAAACATCCTAAATAATTCAGATCCGTTAGTCTATAATATAAAGTGCAAATGTTGCTCGTTTTTTAGACCAGTTCCGAACATCAATAATAATAAGCCAGAGATAACATATTTTGTTTTCATGGAATTAGAACAAATTGAAGTATTTGTGCAAAAGCACATTGGATCAAGGGGCAGAGAGGACAAGGCCTAATTTTTACAGCAAGCAGATTTTCCAGAGAGGGACTATTTCTGAGAAAGGGATATTAGTCCTTAATCAATGGGACCTGGATACATGCTACTGACAGAGAACATGACAGGCATGCTACTGCTCTCCCTAAAGCAGGATCTCCATGCTAGGTGACAGGGAGCTTTGCTCTAAAGTGTGACTGATGATCAGAAATTATTTGCCCCCTTTTTCTCATTCTTTCATTCCTATGTCATCTTCAGCTCCCCACTGTTTTGCTTCTCTATGTTGTCTTGCTTATTTAGCTCCCATTTTTTTCTTCAGGGCTATTTATTTGAGCTCACCGTGCATACCAGTCTACCTTATGGTCCTACGTTCATCCCTTTCTCCTGAAGCTTCCGTAGAAGTATGGATGGAGGCAGAGCTCTAAGAAAGCAGACTTAAGTGTTCCCTTCTCATCTTGACCCTTCCTTTCCCTCTTGTCTATTTCTTCTTTCTGTTTTCTTATGACCGGTGCCTTCAAAGGCTTTCAAGAACTCTATAAAGGTAGAAACTTTAGGAAAGGTAGTAAGGATGCATAGTCAATCTATACATAAAAAAGGACATTTTCAGAATTTTTCTTTTTTTAATTCTTTGTATTGAAAGTTGTTTCTCACTTAGACCATTTGGGACCTAACTCGTAGATAGAATATCTTTAAACAGTAGTATATGCTTCTGACATCTTTTCTATTGTTTTGAACCACTACTAAATATTATACTTAAAAGTTAAATATACACAACACAAGAAAGAAGATGCATTTGCTTCACGCCTAGGAGTGGAAGTACCATATCTTATCTGACTCAGCTTGCACTGCAAGACCTGTGATAGAACAGGCCTTGTGTGGCATACAGATAATAATTGTTGAAGTTATGTTATTTGATTTGGAATTAACTCTGCCACCATTCTATAAGAAAGGATTGAAAATTCTTCTCACCCTGTGCTGCTCCAGTACAGTTTTATACTCAACCATTCTTCTCCCTGTTGCTTTTCCCATTTTGTACCTATGTATATGTCTTCCTCGAGGCAAACTCCTAAGAAAGTGTTAGCATAAGCACCTTTGTCTGGGTTGCTTTTAGAAACAGAGAAAGACAGGGACATCCCATAAGCACCTGGCTTCCAGGTCAGCAGTTCTTCCCTGACCCTAAAATTGGGCCCCCCTTCCCATGAGTCTGTGCAGGGAGGATCAGGCATTGTAAACAATTTATCTGCTAATTTAACATCTTAACCTATCTCAAAGATGGAGACCAGTGTGAGTCCAATCCATGTTTAAATGGTGGCATGTGCAAGGATGACATTAACGCCTACGAATGTTGGTGTCAAGCTGGATTTGAAGGAAAGAACTGTGAATTAGGTAAGTAACTAGTTTTGGATTACTCATGATTCAAAGTTCCCCTTTGAAACCAGATGAAACCGGAAAACACAATATTTATATATCATAATTTTCCCTTAAAGCCATATATACTTTTATTATGGTAGAAAACACAACATGATATCTACACTATTAACAAATTTTGAAGTGTACAACACAGTATTGGTAACTACAGGCACTATGTTATACAGAACATCTCCAGAACTTATTCATCTTACATTACTGAAACTATAGCCATAGAAGAGCAGATCCCCATTTTCACTTCTTCATTCTCTGCTCCTATGTGTTTAACTATTTTAGCCACCGCATATAAGTACAATAATGCAGTATTTGCCCTTCTGTAACTGGCTAACTTCACTTAGCATAATGTCCTCCACATTCACCCATGCCCTTCACATGAAAGGATTTCCTTCTTTTTAAAGCCTGAGTAATGTCTCTTTGTATGAAATATACTTTCAAAGCTTATAAAAATTCATTTTATCTGTAGTCATAGTTTCCAGGATGAGTTCAAGAAACTATATTCAGAGCAATAATACTATTTGGTAGATAATAGGTAGCGATGTTCCACTCACTTGTTAATCCTCAGTGCAGCCACATGCGGTCAGTACCATTATTATTATCCCAATTCCATGATAATGAGAAAACTGCAGATCAAAAAGTAAATGGTCAAGCCAGGAATTGGACTTCAGTTTGACCAAAATCCATGCTTCTAACCACTATCCACAAAACGCAAAGAAAACAGAACCCATCAACTGACCTCATGACTAAATTGCTATCAACATAGGCAGTGGAAGTCAAGCAAGTATAGAATTGGGGTATGGCAAAGTCAATCCTCTCATATAATAGGTACTTCTCCATTCATACAAACTACTTTACATGTGAAATTTGTTGACAAAAATCTGAGCTCATAGACTGATTACACTGGAACAGTTAGTTACATAGCAAATTTAGGTTCAGTGTGCATCTTCTCCTCTCATAGCCTACACTATTTTTTTTCCTGGGATTTTGGCAACTGGAGCTGTAAACCCCCAAAGTCCCTCAACTACTTGTTTATTGACTCCGGATGCAAGATTACTGGTATTGTGATTGTGAAAAGCACACAGTGCTAATGACAGATTCTCTTTCTACTCGGAAACTCCAGAAGAATGGAGATGCAATCCTGGGGAGTGAATTTAACACCACAGGCTATATGACTAAGGGCAAAGAGTAGAAAATTAGCAGGATTAGCTAATTATAAGGCGTTATAGCAATCCACCTGACACAGAAATGAAAAAGGCAAAACACAAAAATGAAACAGCAGCTGCACTTGTCCTATTGAGAAAGGGAAAAAAAATCACTTGCAATGTTCAGAATTCCTTTCAGTATTAAAGAAAAATCCATTGATCATCTTCCTCTGAGATCAAAAAGATAAAAAGAATAGAAGGAAAGGTGGCAGGGACAAAACATTTTATAAGACAGAAAAGAGTGAGTGCAGGTGGATTAACCGGTACACCTGGCCTGCATTCCCTTTCCTTCGGATCTCCAGAGAGGGGACAAACCAGTGCCTGGGCTCCCTTTCCTGTGGGTGTGTTGACTGGTTCAACATCTCTGAGGTGGTCCTGTCATCTGAAACATTATGATTCCAAACTCAGCTTCATCGAGATAAATTTGATCCTGCTATTATGGAAATCTACAGACATCTTTGGAGTAGTTACTCATTTTCAGCTTAAATAACAACTCTTGGAGCTCAGGGAAGGAGTAACTCAATTAGTCTCAGTTAAGAATGAAGGACACATTGTAGTAGAGTATAATTGAAAGTAGTATCTAGCATTAAATATTCCTAAATATCTTCAGTTTAAAAATAAAGACACTGTAAAGGAAAAAGAAGAGCCCTGAAGAATGTAAATAGAAGCACAAAAATCCCCTAACAGGTTTTTGCTACATGTGTGAGGCTACGGTCCACATAACAAAAGTGCTAAGTCTACAACTGGACCCCTCAGTCCTCTTGGGTTTCCCACATTTTGGTTTGGTTGCACTACCTCCACCACCAATCCTGGCCTCTAGGTTACATTGATCTCTCCAAGCACATTTTATCAAGGCTTACAAAAATCCTTCCAGCTCAGTTGGTTCAGAAACAAAGTGGGAATTCTCTCAAAAAGCACTTTATCTCACACGCTGGAGGACAGCAACAGCAAAAAGATAGAAACTCCCATTTTTCACTGTTGCTTCAAACTGAACTGAAAACTAATCTCTAAAGCTCCTAGATAGCACAGTTTATGGAGTACGTTGGCCCCAAGTCTCTTGCCTCATCCTAGGTTCGAAAGGGAAGGGAGATTTCCATCATTCAGACCATTTTGTTCTCCTTTCCCCTTGTCCATGAGGCTCCTCTGCAGGGGAGAAAGGTACAAATATTCAGGACGCGCTTTCTAGTTAGAGGAATAACAATTAATTGGCTATAGTGTCCCTTTGGCTAGAATAAAGATGACTGTATGTCCCCAGCTACACATCACATCTGAGTCCTTTTCAGATAGATCAAGAGCTGTTAAGAACTTGGTCATTTCTGTCTTTTCTAAGAGTACAAGAAGCATTTCCCACAGTAAGATAGGATGGAAAGAAAAAAAGTCACAAGCACATAAACACTTTGTTTTTTCATTTTGCTAACACATCACAGACATTACTGTCTCATTTGCTATGTATTTCTGTGGAGTAAAGAAAATACCTTCAATTTAGCTAAGTAACAGCATGCTCTGTTGTAAACTTGTTACACAGAACATTTTTTTTTTGTCCAAGCTTTCGTTTTCACATCAGTGAATATATCAGGGTAGAAGAAGGCAGAACAAAATAAAACAGAACAGTAACTTTTGTGGTAGACATGAGGGGGATGAGAAAGAGAAGTTTGCACCAACATGGAAGAAGAACAGAAGTTTTAGGTGCTGAGACCAGTCTTAGAACCAGGGAGACCCATACCCAACACAGTGCCTGACATCAAAGTGCTCAATAAATGATTGATGAATGAGTCCCATGATGACTGTTCCTTAGATCCTGGACTTCAGACCTTTCCACTGGATGTCCTTGTGCTATTAAACTATGTCCAGAATTTTGAGTCCATTATCTGAGGGCAAAAGACTTCTGATTGGACAGCAATATTTCCCCCTGCATGCACAAACCAAGCCGTAAAGGAACGACAACATACTGGGCCGCAAAGAGCAAGGACAAATGAGGAAAATCACGGAGAGGTCTAGTTACTCAGTCAAGGGCACAACATCAGAATTGGGAAAACCACACTGAGTGCATACTCATACCTGTTATGCATGCCCTGCACCAATCCAGGCTGGACCTACCACCTACCTCTGTTAACTTATCACAATCTTTTATTGACTGAACACTTTGCACAGGTGGTATTTGATTTGGCTGAACACTTTAGTACTGCTTTGTAACAACAAAAATGATAGCTAGCCTCATGAAGGAGCCAGGAATTGAGTCACCATGATTGCAGAGACAGGTCTCCAAAAAATAGGACCAAGTGATGTCATTTTGGATCATTCACTTAATGGATTACTGGTAACAAAGGTTAAAGCTCAGTCTGGTTTCCCTCTATCTGGTAACATTTGATTGGTAATTAGCCTCCCCTTATTTCCTCAAGTGTCAGTAAGGAACATGAGGTAATTATTATCTTAGCCTATGCTAGCCTATATAAAATATAATCAAAAAATTTAGGCCTGTCCCTCAAAACTCCATAATAGCCATGGCTGGTGTGGCTCAGTGGATTGAGTGTAGGCCTTCAAACCAAAAGGTCACTGGTTCGATTTCCAGTCAGGGTACATGCCTGGGTTGTGGGCCAGGTCCCCAGCTGGAGGTGTGCCAAAGGCAACTGATCAATGTAATTCTTGCATATTGATGTTCCTATCCCTCTCTTTCTCCTTCCATTCCCCTCTCTCTAAAAGTAAATAAATAAAATCTTTATTAAAAAAACTCCATAATACACTCCAAAAACATACAGTCACTATGTTACCCTGGATTCCCTCAGGGGAAAAAAAGGACTCTGTGATACATGCTTATTCATTACAGTGTGCATTCCTAGGGAATGAGAGTAAAGGATGGGAGTGACGCAGGGAGGAAAGGAGACATATAAGATGAGTCTTCTCTTCATCCACAAGTGATTGTGTAATCTCCTGGGACTGTTTTTCAAGGAATCATAGGAACTATCCTCAGGATAGTCCAACTAGGAAGGGGGAAGAAGTGAAAAAATGTGTCCTTCAGCATCTGTCTCCCATTGGTCAAAAGTTTGGCCCATGGGTTGAACACATCTCTAGGTTATACATGCTGGGACACTTGGAAAGGTCATGTGGCACCCCATGTCTCAACATCAACAGGGAAATGCCAAGGTAGGAGATGAGAGGTATACAGTCCAGATGTGAGCCAAGGCCACTCAAAACCACACCTATGAGGCCAGTGGAAGTCTGCGCAGAACTGATCACAGTGCTAAGAGAAGACACAGGCAGAGCTGAGAGGAACTAAGGTGGTGCATAGGAAGTATCTAATACAGTCACTCATTTTCAATTTTTCCATGTTCTAACTGCACTGATAAGTGAGCATTTCTATTGAAAGTTGTATTGTGCCCTGGCTAGTGTGGTTCAGTGGACTGAGCACCGGCCTGCAAGCCAAAGGGTCTGCTGGTTCAATTCCCAGTCAGGGCACATGCCTGGGTTGCAGGCCAGGTCCCCAGTGAGGGGCATGCAATAGGCAACCACACATCTGTGTTTGTCTCCCTGTCTTTCTCCCTCCCTTCCCATCTCTCTAAAAATAAGTAAATAAAATCTTTTTAAAAAAAGAAACTGCCCTTATCAACATTAAAAAAAGAAAGAAAAGAAAGTTGTATTGCTTTTGAGCATATAGGTAAGGCAGAAGTCTTTTTCTCTCTCCCTGTCTTTTTAAGATTTTATTTATTCATTTCTAGAAAGAGGGGAATGGAGGAAGACAGGGAGAGAAACAACCCTGTGTGAGAGAAACATCGATCGATTGCCCCTCATACCCCCCCCCCAACTGGGGACCCTGCTCGGAACCCAGGAAAGTGCCCTGACCAGGAACCAAACCAGTGACCTTTCAGTCCGCAGGTGGGCACTCAACCTACTGAGCCACATTAGCCAAGGCAGAACGTATCTTCTAGTCATTGTGTTCCTGTGCTACTCTAGAGACAGAAATATGCCCAAGAGCAGAGCCTGTTTCTCTTAACTCAGTTGTCTCAGCTAACAATCCCCAAACCATGCTACTTCCTGCTACTGAGATGGCACGGGAGAAACAAAGGGAAAACATGGTCATTAGAAAATATGAAATAAAATGGAAGAAATAAGCCAAATACATCAGGAATCATAATTAATGTGCAATGATGTTGATTACAGTTTTCAAGTCTGGTGTTAAAAATCAGTCTGCTGTTGACAAAAGAGATACCTGAAATGAAAATATACCAGGAGGATAAATTAAAGGAATATAAAAAGATTTTTAAGGTAAATACTAACAAAAAGTAATGGGTGAAGCAAACTTAATATCAGACAAAACAGAATCCAAGACAAAAAGCATTACAAGAGACAAAGAAATATATTTTATATTAATAAGGGATATTGTGTAGGAGAATAAAGAAAATGTGAGCCACTAGAATGCTTATCAGTGTCAAAACATAATGTGTTTGGCATTTAGCTACCTTAAAGAACTCTATTTCACTCTCTTGTGTTGGTACATACCCACCACACCCAGCTTCAAGATTCCTCTGATAAATTGGGTTATATTAAAACTATGAATTGTATTCAGCAAAATACACTATGTAGTGTGAAAAGGCAAGTCACAGAGCGGGGGGAGAAATATGTGTCACATATACCCAATACATGGAACTCTCAAACACTGCTGGTGGGAATTTAAATGTGCACAATTATTTTAGAAAACTATTTGGCAGTATCTACTAAGCCTGAACATATAATCCAATAATTGCATTTATAAGTATACATCCAGGAAATATGCATGCATATGTTACCAAAAGACATATACAAGAAAATTATTTTTTAAAAAAGATTTTATTTATTTATTTTTAGACAGAGAGGGAGAGAGAGGGACAGAAACATCAGTGTGTGGTTGCCTCTCACAAGCCCCCAATTGGGGACCTGGCCCACAACCCAGGCATGTGCCCTGACTGGGGATTGATCCTGTGACCTTTTCGTTCATAGGCCAGTGCTCAATCCACTGAGCCAGGACTAGAAGAAAATTCTTAACAGAATCATACAAAAGAGCCCAAAACTGGAAACTCAACTCAAATATTCATCAACAGTAAAATGGATAAAGGTAGTAATTATACAATGGAAAACTACACAGCATTTAAATGAAGTACTGCTATACAAAACAACAGGGATGAATCTCACAGAAATACATTAAATGAAAGATACAGATGAGTGCATATTGTGAGTTTCTATTTATATGAAATTCATGAACAGGAAAAACTCATTCATTTTTTAGAAGTTGGAGTAATGGTAACTTTGGAAAAGAGGAAGTGTATAGTGTTTGAAAGGAGGCATTAAGAGAGTTTCTAAGGTGTTAATAATGTCCTGAGTATTGATCCGTTCAGGATTTAAACTGGTGCATCCCCTTTGTGAAAAATTCATACTAAAGCTCTGGTTACTTTTCTGAATATGTGATATAGTTAATAAACATTTTTTTAAAGATTTTATTCATTTACTTTTAGAGACAGGAAGGGAGGGAGAAAGAGAGGGAGAGAAACATCAATGTTTGGTTGCCTCTCGCACACCCTCTTCTGGGGACCTGGCCTGCAACCCAGGCATGTGCCCTGACTGGGAATCTAACCAGAAACCCTTAGGTTCACAAGCTGGCACTCAATCCACCAAGTCACACCAGCCAGGGCTTAATAAACATTTGTAATTGTAGTACATGATTTCATGAAAGCAGAATATCCAAATCTTCAGTTTTATTGCTGCCACCATTTTATGCCTTATTAAGATTTTTTAAAAGAATTTCATTTCATGTTTCTGCTCTTAACTCAAAGCTCCCCCAGCTTCTCTCCAAGAATGTTACCAGCTTATACTTGACCTATACCTGAGTCAGTAGTTTCATGTTCTTTTTGAAATGCATGTTAAATGATGCTATTACTGTTGATTTTGCTTTCTTTCAGATGCAACGTGCAACATTAAGAATGGCAGGTGCAAGCAGTTTTGTAAAAAGGTCACTGGTAACAAGGTGCTTTGTTCCTGTACAGCGGGATATCGACTAGCAGAAGACAAACAGTCCTGTGAACCAGCAGGTCAAAATCTAAATAAGTTTTTTTTTAAAGCTCGGCAGATACACTCTCCAAATCTGTATTTGAAACATTGGCATTTTAACTAGCCTACATAATTATAATCCCTACTTGTTTCTACTTCCTTTTGAAAACATAGAAAGGAGTAGTCACTTGAATTGGAGAAATTAATTTTTCCAGTTACATCATCATTTTAAAATAGAAATTCTGTAAATGTCTTTAGTCTGAATCTGTCCAATTTTTTTCTCTGACTTTTACATCATGAAGCAATTGATTTGTGTGATTTCCATATATGTGTGTGTGTGTGTATATATATATATTTGTAATTTGTATGTATATACACAAATATATCCATCCAGTCAAATTAATATAGTAATCCTATGCCATGAAAGGTACATAAATGATTGACTGATTAATAGGCTTCTAGTGTAAATATGGTGAATTTTAAGCATAATTCTGCCAACGTGTGGCTGGTCTCCTCTGAGAAAGTTATTTCCTATCCTTGGGTCTCAGGCTGAGTTTACACCCTTGGCATCAGAACAGTTCCAACAACTATCTGTTTTAAGTTGTGCCAGGCTGGTCAGTACAGTCCATCTATTCAGCAGTGGACAAAGCAGTGTTTCCCAGTCATGTCAACCATGCCGCCATGTTGACAGCTGACTGGTGTATCCAGAACATCACCACTCCACACTCACACTGCTCTTCTCTGAAAATTAAAACAGTAGAAACTTTGATTTAAAAAAAAAAAAGTAGGCTCTGCAGGATCAATTTTATTTGATAAATGAGGGGCCTTTTTGAAGCAATATACAATTTCTTTTGCATTTCCAAAGCCTGATATCTTATTAAATTGGTACATTAAATCATGCATCATTTCTCTGTAACTGGGTTCGATACCTATCTCAGCAATGCACTCAGCAGAGGAAATTAAAGAAAGGACCAGAAGCCAAGAGTATTTATTGTAACTAAAATTCAAAGTATTTAGTGCTTCAAGGTACCACTTGCCTGTCCTACCTGGTTCTTCACATACACCACTTCAAAGCCAGCCTACCTTGGAAGGAGAATATATAAATGTTCCAGTGTACACAGATGGCATAGTAGGTAAACCCTTATAAACCCTTCTATGTTATAAGAGAAAAGAATTGAGAACCACCTCTAACTATTAAGTATTATATCTGTATATAGCCTTAGCTTTAGCAGAATAAGTAGGCCAAATCTAAAATAAGCTTTTCTGCCTTTTGATAGTAATGGTCCCTTTTCTATAACAAAATACATAAGTATTTTGAACTAATTTCCTGTTTTCCCAACCACATGGTGTCTTCATGATACTTTGCTGCAGCTGGTTGCTATAGAAATGTCTGTTAGAAGGAATGTGGCTGAAAGGAAAGTGAGAAATAAAAATGAAATGTAAAGTGACTTCGCTTGACTACAAATTTCCATTCGTGTTGTTCCCAATGCATCAGAAGACCATTTCTTTTCTTTTTTATGTATTGTTTTATCCTCACCCAAGGACTGTTTTTTTTTTCCATTGCTTTTAGAGAGAGGAGGAGAGAAAGAGAGGGGGAGGGGAAACATCAATTGGTTGCCTTATTGTACACACCATGACCAGGGTACACACCCCAATTGGGGATCAAACCTGCAACCTAGGTATGTGCCCTGACCAGGAATTGAACCTGTGAACTTCCAGTCCACAGGACAATGCTACAACCAACCAAGCCACAACGGCCAAGGCAACAATTTCTTTTCTTTAGGAAATAAACCAACTCAAGGTAAAAAGGTGGCCAGTTCCCATTCCCAAGCGGATATGGCTGTAATAATCATATTAGTAATTTATTTGGTTAATACTTGACAGCCAGGTAATTAAATAACAGTGATCTCTCCCCCAAGAGATACTTAAAATTCACCTTGGAATCTAAAAGGCATTCTAGTCTACAAACAAAATCCTATTAACAATAAGCAGCAGGAGTCCCATTTACCTAATTCTGAAGTTAAAGTTACATGGCACCAATCATCAGACTTCCATTCAGGGAGATCACTTGGGAATGACTTTTTAGTTAAAAAAAAAAAAAAATCTGTCCCAACTGCGGGTGAGGCTCAATGGGTTGTGGTTTGGGCATCATCCCACACACCAAAATGACACTGGTTCTATTCCCAGTCAGGACACATGCCTGGGTTGTGGGCCAGGTCCCCGGTTGGGGGCATGCGAGAGGCAACCAATCGAAATTTCTCTCACACATCAATTTTTCTCTCCCTCTCTTTCTCCCTCCCTTCCTCTCTCTCTAAAAAAATAAATAAATAAAATCTTTAAAAAACTAAACAGAAAGTCATTAGACTTTATAAAAGTCTTACAAAATTTGATTCTGAAACTCTTATCCTATTTCTGTAAAGATGATGGATTCCTGAGCCAAATGTTTTTTTCATGAAGGATTTGAAAACTTTCCATGAAAATAATACAATTAACCTTTTAGTTTGAGACTATATTCATTGATTAAATTTTTTAAAATATTGATGGGCCTACTTTTCAGAACTGACAAGGATGGGCCTCATTTTTGATCTTTGTAATACATGTTCTGCTTGCCAATGAGAAATATTCAAATACTAATTGTTTTTTCTACATTTCTAGTGCCATTCCCATGTGGGAGAATTTCTGTTGCACTCAATTCTAAGAAGTTCACCCGTGCTCAGACTATTTATTCCAATGGGGACTATGATAATTCTACTGAAGATGAAAAATTTTGGAATAACATGACTCAAAACACCCAACCAATTAACGACTTCACTCGAGTTGTTGGTGGAGAAGATGCCGAACCAGGTCAATTCCCTTGGCAGGTACTCTATATTGATGCGTCAAAACTGGAGTTCAGAGGACAAGGGGCAGACCACGTGGGAGGCTGAGGCTAAGACAGTAGGTAAACCTACCAGGGTGAGGGAAATGTTTAGGCAAGTTTCAGCACTGAGCAATTTGAGGAAGCCCCCGTAGGTGGGGATCTGGTGAAAGAGAAGTCCAGAGACAGCTACTATACAAGGTCAAAGGGAGTTTGGAATCAAGGAAATAGCATAGCAGGATCCCAGACAAGGAATAGAAAGGGCTGGAAGTGAGGTCGCAGGTACTGGGGCTCAGGATGCTACTTTAGCTTCAGCCCCTGAGAGAAGTGGTAAGAGTCAGAAAATCCCTAAGTCCCTAAAAACTGTATTATTTCAAAGGGATTTTAAAAAGGACTCAAGTAGGAAGAATTAAGACAAGAACTGGGCAATTGGAACCAGAGTATGAGACAAGGCTGTGGTCCTCAAATTGTGGGAGCATCAGAATCACCTGGGAACTTGTTAGGAATGCAAATTTTCATACTACATCCTAGACCTACAAAATCAGTCCCTGAGGGTGGGGCCCAGTAATCTGCGTGCTATAAGCGCTTTGGGTAATTCTAAGACACACTACAATTTGAAAGCCACTGGTCCAAAGGCAACAAACTTGTTGCAGAAACTGAGGTCCAAAACCCCAAAGAGTAGACTCGCAATACCTAATCACTCATTCCTGCAGGCATGATCTGCAGACAACACACGTGAGAATCACCTGTGCACATTTTTGAGGCAACAACCAAGAGCTAGACTTGTAGCAAAGCCTGGGTTGTAATTGGCTATCGCTAAAGCCTTAGTGATTCCATCAGAGAGAAAAAGTGGGCCCCAGAGGCAAGGAGTCAGGTCAGTCCTTATATAAAGTTGTGCTGTTGAATAAGGTAACTACTAGCCATATGTGGCTATTTAAATTTAACTACCATTAAATCAAATTTAAAATGCACTTCCACAGTCATATCTGCCACATTTCAAGTGCACAATAGCCACAGGTGGCTAGTGGCTGTACCATATTGGAAAGTGCAGATACAGAACATTTCCATCATCATTCTATTGGACAGCACTTATATTAGTTGAGCCTAAGATAAAGACTCCTCATGGCCACAGTCATGTAATTTTGTAGTAATCTCAAGAATGCTTCACTGAACCTCTCTACTGAAGTTTGAGCATTTGCCATCAAAGACCAATAACTTTAAAGAATTTTTAATCATCAAAGAAGTTAACAATTTAAGCCAAGTTTAGATAAATGTCCCCAGGTTTAACACTAATGGAATTTTCTGAGACTAGCTATCCAGGATCCTTTAGATTGCCTGCTGTTTTATAATACAATGGGTTGGACCATCACAGCCAAGACTTTATATTTTCCTTTCTTTTACCTTTGCTTTTAATAACATTTGTTGGACTTCATCTTATAGACAGTAAAATACACATATGTCCCTTTACATGCCCTCTGTCCCCTACTTAAGCATCCTACCAGTGCTGCTACCTTCATCCACTCAACCACATCTTTACTTTCATTCCTGACTCTTTGTAAGACTGACTCTTGACCTCCTTCCTCAACCTCTCCTTGAACAATCCCTCTTGGGCCAGTCTCTCTAATTATGCTTCATTCTATTTAACGTCTATGTATCTAATTCCCTCTAATTTTACTACTTGTGTTCTTGTGTATTTTCTTTCATTCTGTATCCAACTTCAATGGGTAAGGTGCTTAGAACAAAAAAAAATCTACTTTTTAATTATTATCTTCCTTGAGTTTGTGGTACATAAAGAAGTACCTATAGTGGAGGTTCCAGTCACCCGGGGGTGGGGGCGGTTCATTAGCTAAGAAGATGACTTTCATTAAAAAAATAATAATAAACCCAGGATTTTTTTAAAAGTCCCAGAATGCACTCATTGTGGGCTTAGCATTGTTCCCTTGTCATCCCAGAAATGAAATGCAAACACATTTAAAGGAGAGCTAAAAAAAGAGGGTTTTATAAAGTCTCAGTTGAGTCATATAATCTCTGTTCCCCACGCATCCCCTTTAAGCCAGTTCCTTGCCAATGTTTTAACAATGCCATTCTTTCCTAATAGAAATTTTACTCTAGCAAGCCATTTTTTTTCTTTTAAGCAGAAGAAACTATAAGATGATGGTTCTACAGTTGTACTGTGAGGAAGAAGATATAAATGATACACATCCTTTAAAACCTGTCAGGTCCTCCTCACTGCACACTGGTAGTTCATGTACCTGTTGTCTCTTTCCTATCAAGCAGCTAAAATCATTTGGAATGTTCAAGATCATTCCTTGACATGTGTGTATATATGTGCACGCACACACACACATTCACTCCCTGTTTCGCTCACATGAAGTGAGATTACTGACTGGAGAACTACAAAGTACTAGGTTTTAGTGTTTTCCCAAAGGTAAAGAACTGTGAGCTACTTTCTAGAATACTTGAAAAACACCCAGTCATACTTCAGCATTGTTTTCGTCCATCCCCAGCCCCACCCAGTTTCCCATGTAAGGTTACTTGTTTTCAAAAATATGAGATAAATTGAGTATAGGAGAGAAGCTTTTAGATAAAGATGAAACAGAAATGAAACAAACCAGAATCTCTCATTTGTGGGAGAGCCAGCTCCACGCCATCGCCATCACGGTTAATCTGCAGGGTGGAAATACTTGATTTGATTGCAGACAAGACTGCAATGCACCTGCTGCAGCCAAGGCATCAAGAGAAAATAAGCAACAGCTGGGGTTTCAAAGGCCAACCTAGTCTATGGCAATGAAATAGAAAGTACTGTTTAGCAACGAAAACTCAGAAAAGTGTGGTTTAAAGTGCTGGTGTTTCAAAAAAGAGGGTGGGAGATAAAGCGAATACTTAGGCGAAGAAATCCCACAAAGAACATAGGGATATGACTTTCATCTGGAGTAATGAACAGTCTGAACGAACTGGAAAGGTTTATTTCGTTAAAGAAAAGCTTTAAGTGGGCTGTTTTGCAAGAGCTGAAGTGCCACAGGGGAAGGGGAAGACGACTTTTTCTTTGCGGATTTACCGGTGAAAGTTACAGGCAGATGGGCAGGTTCTGGCCACGGTTGCGAAAGCCCTTTCCAAGCACAGGTTCGGTTATGTGGGCTGGGCAGCTTTGGGAGAAAATGCTGGTTGAAAAAATGTTTGACTGCTGTCTTGAAGAGCTGTTTTGTCCCTGGGGAAGAAGCTGGCTGCATAACCCCATGAGGAGAATGTCGAGAGCACTGGTTCGCCTGGGGGGAGATTAGAGTAGCCTAGGGCTCAGCTTTGACACTCTAAGGGGCTATGTACACCTTCCATGTGGCCCTTCCATGGTCTTGTTCATTTCTTACCTTATTCTATCTAGGGCTTTCATCTCTGGGAGTGGAGGCAAGGGCTCTGCAGCAGCTGCTGTGGTTGCCACGGGCTTCTAGGAACAGCTATTGGTTCCAGCCTGCAAGCCTCTGACCCAACCCCCAACCTCAAAGGTGCAGGCCAGCTAGCCTGACCTCAAACCCTCATCTACTTGACAGAAGGCCTGGGAGAGAGCCTGAGGGAGGTACATGGCTAATTTCCTTCATTTGCCCTCCAGGTGGCCAGTGGTAGGCTCAGAGCCACTTGAGAACTTGGGGAAAGGGAGCAGGGACTCTGCAGGGACGCGTCAGGAGGGAAGAGAGGATGTTACAGGGTTAAGTGCACTATATAAGAACAGAAAGGCTATTTCCTCAAGTCAGTATATCCTCAGCCTCCTTAGCACAGTGAGAACTAAAACAAGACTCAATTTTCATACAGATACATGGGGAAACAATGGAAACTCTTGAACATTAGAGAAAAGAAGGGAAATTGCAAGCCCTATACTACAAGACCACCTTCATCGACAGCTTAAAAGTGAAAGATTTGATGAAGTGTGGCGGTGTTGAGGCTTTCCAAGCTTTTATTTGGTTTTGGTCCCATGACCTTGAGCCTGTCAGCTGATAATTCTGAGCATGCTCAAACTTACCACAAGAGCTCCTCCCACCTCTTCTGCTTTGGCTTAAATGTGTCCAGCCTTGAATGCCAAGTACCTAGTCTTCTATTTTCTGTTTTATCAAGAGCAGAAAACAATGGACTCCAGATCCTTAAACTTTCCCTCTCCTCCATATTAGGTTGTACCATATGCAATTGCTGGTATTTAAACATTTTAACAGATAAAATATGTCTGTCTATTCTTTAGTTTATTCTTGGCCTAAATAATCTTAAAATGCCTTAGCATTTTCCCCAGTCTGGGCTTTCCTCAACTTTGGCCTGAAGCTATCCTTAAAGGTATGCAAGCTCTTGACTGTACAGCTACCTACACAGACCCAATTCTTTCCATTCTATTAGGACACACTCATGGCAGACAGCATGCAAAGTTACCATATGTTTGAACCAGAACTTTTCCTTTTGAGGGGGGCATTGGGAGGAAGATGTTATATCAAGATCCTAAGAATATAGCAGTATCTTCACCTGGAAAAGGTGACCCTCTATTTTTCCTAGCTCAGATGATAAAGTTCCAATTAAAAGAAATAAAAAGATGACAAATGTAATCTCACCTCACAAAACTACTTTGGACAGAACATTTAGGCTATTATTCTCTAGGATGGTGTGATGGAATCTATTGCAATGGCTAATCTAGTTAACCAGTCATTAAAAACTGAAACAGCATCGCCTCTGTGCCCAGAAAAAATGAAGTAGGGCCTAGGGCTGGGCAAATCACAACTGTGGCCCTAACAAGCTATACATCATTCAGAAATGGTGTTGCTTTTTATGTGAGAGAGTAAGTATGCAGACGTAGAAAAAAATATTGTAAAGCTGGAAGTGGCTAGGTAGGAAGAATAGAGGTTTACTAAAATCACAGGGCAAGACCAGGTTCAAGTTAAAAGGTTAGGAAGTGAACAGCAGGGCAACAGCTATTACATCTCAGTTGGTATTGTCAATGAAGAGCACCAGAACAGAGATGTAAATGTGTTCTGTGGATGCATGCGGGTGTATGTGGTGTGTATTTGCTTGTGTCTGAAAGGGAGAAAACAGGCTCCTATTAGGACATGACAAACATTAAAATGTTTGACAAGTCAGAACTCACGTGCCATGCTCAGAACATATGCTTTCCCATTTTTCCCATCACTCTCCTAAGGGGCACCTTATAAGAACTTGTCCTTGGCCAAGCAGGCAGTTCATCCTCAAATCACTAATATTTAGGTAGCTGTGACCCTAAGGTAGTGATGCAAACATTCCAAAACCATGTCGTTTATAATATCTTTAAATGCAAATATATTTTAGGACTTTTCTTGGCAAAGATGTTTGCTAAAATATATAATACCAATCAGAGATTGGCAATAAATCCTGTTTAGGCCTAAAAGAACACAACCCTATTTCCCGGTCATCTACCAGAAAGCAGTTGAAACTCCAGGCAGCAAGTCTTTGGCAGGAGTCAGACTGGCTACACCATAGTCTCTGTGCCCAAGGGCTGTGGATATCAGTTAGTCTGGCCTAACTAGCGCGTTGTGCTGAGAGATGTCTAAGACACCTCTAACACAGAGGAGAAGCACGCTTACATCACCGCTTGTGAATTCTTAACTCCAGTTACTTGAACAGAGGTATTCAGTTGTAACCCTTAAGACCAATGTAGAACAGGGCTGCCCAAATTTGCTTGGTGATGAAAATCACGTGGAGTCAGAACCAGCTTTATGAGCTTGTAACCAGTTGCACGGGGCCCTGCATCCAGGAGAGCCCCCCATTTGGAGTTCAGTGCTTTGAATTTGTATTTTATGACTCAAATCCAATGAGACAATGGGGCATACGTGAGCTAAGGACTTGGAACCTCAAATCGCTGCAGTCTCACTTCTCAGTACCCTGAGGGGATGGATTCTGGACCTCCCACTCCCCTGTCTCCTGGTGCCTTGTCCAGCCCCGCCTCTCCCTCCTTACGCTTGCCCAATGACCACTGCCACCCCTCAACCCATGGCACACGGGCATAATCTCCTTCTTCATCCCCAATAGCTACCACTGTCATCCTCCTCCTGCACAGTCACAGGGAAGGTTGAGGTGGGTGCACACACCCTATGCCGTCTTGGGAGGAGGCATGGCCACATGACATCTCAGGACCAAAAATGTGTCACAGAAGATTTAGAGGGTGAATGGTGGGGCAAGCCTCTTGCCCACCTCCATACCAGGTACTGAGCGCATGCTGGCATGGAAGTTGCAATCCCTTGGGAACCCCCCTTCTGCGAATGATTGCTGCAGTGGGCCAGTGGGAGAGGAAGACTGATTTACCCTGAGCACTGCTGGGGCACAGGGCACCGGTCTGGTGGGAGGAGGGTGCATGTACTCGCATGCTAAATTGCAGGACGCAGCCCCTGGGCGCCTGTGAGTATCTACCCTCGCAGTAAATATCCACCATGCCTAAGGGAGCAGGGCATTAAATAGTAAATTAAAAACACCCCGATAGGTTGCCAGAGGCCATAGAAGAAAAGGAAAAATCTTGTATTTTAATGTCTTCAATGCTATTTTTCTTGGCTTTTGAACAGGGGTCCTGCATTTTCATTTTGCACTGAGCCCCAAAAGTTATGTAGCCAGATCTCCCAGAGTGAGCACTTTTAAAACATTAAGGTCACCAAGACTTGGGAATTCTGAAACAGAATTTTTCAAAATTATTTATGCATAAGGAAATTCCAGAGATCGTCATTTTTCTCTCGTCCCACCCCCCTCCAAATATTCTGATTAAGTCTGGGTGGGCCTCCAAATCTGCATTTTAGAAACATCCCAGGTGATTCTACTACAATTTCACCAACCACAGTTGGAGAAATACTGGGTGCTTAGAAGCATAGACTCTGAAACCAGGCAGACTCAAGTTTGCATCCTAGCTTTGTCACTAACCTTAGGGGAATTAACATGCATATCTAACACTCACTTAGCTCATTATAAATGGAAATGTTAATATCACTCCCCAATGTGTTGTAGTATTAAATGTTCATAAAACACTTAGCACAGTGACTAGTCCCTAGTAAGCAACCAATAAATGTTCCAAAAAAAAAAAAAAAGAAGAAAAGAAAAAGACTGTTAAGTCTAGGTTATGTGTACAATGGAGTTTATTATATTATGTGAGCTTTCCTATATTTTTACAACTTTTCAAAGTAAAAAAGCAACAGCTAGAATGAGTGGGAAAACTGGAGTATGGCAAAGGGGGTCGGAAGCTTGCAATGAGTCAGCCCCATACGTCTCCAAGTAGGATGCTGGTGCTCCTGCATCTAGGACTTAGTGGGTGTTCAGTCAATTGAATTCAGAACAAAAAGAATCTTCACTAGAACAGGTCCTAAGGACCTTTTCAGACACAATGAAAGGAACCAACAATTGCCTTCTCCTAGTTTATGAATGGGCTTACGCCTGGGGTTATATGTGCTTTATTTAGTTAAAAGAGCATCTATTCACAAGAGCTAGTCAGAGCCCACAGAGGGTTTACCAAATGTTGAGTGTGCCCTCTAGTGTTCATTTTCTCTGCTTTCTTCCTGAAGAAGTGGATCAAGGCCTTTGCTGACACTGGAAATAAAATTCTCCAAGTTGATCTACTCATTGAGGTGGTGAAATTATTCACTGTCTATTCTGATTATTCTGATTATGCCATGAATGTACAGATGAAAGACTGGAGTGGCTTCTTACTAAATAATGCCCAGGCTCAATGCAGCACCCAAACAGTTTTGTCCTCTGTGCCCCAAAATAAGGCACAACTAAGTAGACCTTTTAGGACAAAGGCTGCTGACAAATCCAGCCAGGGGCAGTCAAATGTGGTTAGGGACAATAGAAGGAGTGGCTGGCCATTAACATAGCCCTTATGGAGGCCATAGGTCTCGTTTCTTAATATTCCACTTTAAGAAGGGCTTGAAAAGTCCTCCTCTAAAAAATAATCAATAGTTTTTCTCTTCAAATAACCTGCAGCAAAAAGATTTCTTCATGCAGGGACAGAAGACTCAGTACTAACTACTGATCTCAAGGAGTCAAGTCAGCGCATTTCTGAATGTACAATTCTGTCCATCAGAGAATCTGATTCACCTGGAAATGGAATCTGAGGGTCCCAGGTCTCGAAGAGAAGTTATTCCTTCATATTTGCCTCATCCAGAGCTCCTCCTGGCTCTCACTGCACGTTCTCTTCAAGACAGTTAGAGAAATGGCTTTTTTGATTGTGCTCCAGAAACACTAATTAATCTGCTTTGCTGACACTTTCCAGAAACACTCCAGTTCTGCCAGCACCTACAGGCCAACTTTTTGCCCACTTCTATAAACAGCACACATATTTATTTTGTTCTGAATCAAATTTATCATGTTATAAGATTCATAATTTTGTTTCCACAGGTAATTCTGAATGGCAAAGTTGACACATTATGTGGAGGTTCCATCATTAATGAGAAATGGGTCGTAACCGCAGCCCACTGTATCAAACCTGGTGATACAATTACTGTTATCGCAGGTAAATAAACAACAACAACAAAAAAAAGGATAGTAGTCTGCGGCATCACTTGATCGTCTATAAGACTAGTACACCATATTTTACCAAGGTCTAATAAGATCATTGTTAAATAAGTTGGGCTAATGGTAGAAGGGACATATTTTCAAAACTCAACTTGTTTTATACTTCAAGCTCCCAAGAGTTCTTTCGGTGTATCCCTATTAGCACTCACTTCAGTGGGAAACAATTGTTTATTGATGTCCCCATAAAACTGAGCCTTCCCAAAAGTTGTGTCATATCACAGATCTTTTTATCACTGGTCCTGGCACAAACTGTGGCTGGCCCTCAGCTAACATTTGAATGAATGACCAAAAAAAGGGGCCAAATTCTTGCAATTGGGAAAGTCTAGAATAATTCATGACAAGTAGATTATCACCTGTGATCAACGTAAGACTTGTGACAGCAAGGGTGAATGACACCATCTCTATGATGGGTCTTAAATCATGTTTTGGTCTGAAAAGAATGCATTGGCCCTCATTGCACTTTACCCAAATGATACCAATGTAAGATTAAGATCTTTGACATTTGGCTGCCAGTTAATTCTGCGATGCTGAGTGGACACTTTGAAGGCCTGTTTCTTTATATGAAAGACTACTTGTGACTGAAGATACATTTCTTTTCAGTGCGTGAAATGCTAGTTAAGTAAGTGATGCTTGGTGGACACTTGGAAAATGTGTCTCTATGTGAAAGACAGTGACTGACAAAGAAATCTGTTTTCGATAGGTAAACATAACATTGAGGTGAAGGAAGAAACAGAGCAAAAGCGAAATGTGGTTCGCATTCTTCTTCACCACAACTACAACGCAAGTATTAACAAGTACAGCCATGACATTGCCCTTCTGAAACTGGATAAGCCCTTAATGCTAAACAGCTATGTAACACCTATTTGCGTTGCTGACAAGAAATACACGAACATCTTCCTCAAATTTGGGTCTGGCACAGTGAGCGGCTGGGGGAGACTCTTCAACCGTGGGAGATCAGCTTCAGTTCTTCAGTACCTTAACGTTCCATTTGTTGACCAAGCCACATGTGTTGACTCCACAAAGGTCACCATCCTTAATAACATGTTCTGTGCTGGCTTTCATGAGGGAGGGAAAGATTCATGCCAAGGAGATAGTGGGGGTCCCCATGTTACTGAAGTGGAAGGAATCAGTTTCTTAACTGGAATTATTAGCTGGGGTGAAGGGTGTGCAGTGAAAGGAAAATATGGAATATATACCAAGGTTTCCCAGTATGTCAACTGGATTAAGGAAAAAACAAAGCTCACTTGAAGAAAAATGTATTTCTAAGGTTGATATATTTGGGATTGAAAATGAACAAGGTCTTTTACTTACTAATCACTTTTCTATCTCATCAGAGTTGAATAGATACATTCTATGAATATTGCTTTTTCACTTTATGGTAGAAGTCTATCTAGAATTGATATTTTACTAGAACAAGTGGACTAGAAAATGTAATCACTTGAGAAATGCAGGGTCTGGCAAAAGTAAGGCCTGCTTGAGTGTGGTTGATAAGGTAATAATATGGGCATAATAATTTATAGTTTTAATTTGAATATTTCACCTAAAAAATCCTATGGTGTGCTTGAGTGTAATCTTGTCATGTTACAGAATTACACACTTATGATTTTGTAATAAAAGATTTTGTAATAATAAAGGGGTGCTATTTGTGCCAGACCTGAATACTGTGGTAAGAATTTGTGACCATGACAAAATTGTGAAGTTAACTTCGTTATCCTGCCCATCTGGCATTATGTTTCTCCATTGAGGCAGTTTCCTGGTTCTCCCTCCTTAGAAGCATTCCATGTTTCAGGTCTTTCTTACCTCTTCCACCAAAACACCAAAATGTATTAGAAATGAATCCAGGATAGTTGGTCTAGTCCAACACAAGTCCAGCACCACACTCATAAAGGAAGAATACTGGAGCAGATGACAGGTTAAATCTCAATAGAATCACTACTTTTTCTGTACCCTTATTTTTGCATCCTTTATGTTTTCCAACTTCTAATCTCCAAATCAGTCTTTCTCTCTCCCTCTCTCCCCTTTCCCAGACACGTAGAGGAGGGAAGGGGAGCATCATACTGTTTTACTGGTATGCACAATTATATATGTCTACCAAAGCCAGACTTGCCTTCAGTTTAGTCTTGGACTTGCATATCTGAACATAGGGATTAAGTAAATCCTAGAGAACTTGGGTGAAAGTTCTTCTCAGAGTGTCACATTATTTTTTTTAAAGATTTTATTTATTTATTTTTAGAGAGGGGGAAGGGAGGGAGAGAGGGGGAGAAACAGTAGTGTGTGGTTGCCTCTCGCGCGCCCCCTACAGGGAAGCTGGCCCACAACCCAGGCATGTGCCCTGACTGGGAATCAAACCAGCAATCCTTTGTTTCTCAGGCCAGAGCTCAATCCACTGAGCCACACGAGCCAGGGCAACAGTATTAAAATACATACATAATGGAAGGAATGCCTTATCAGAATAGTTCCCTAAGAGCTTGTCATTGTGTTATTATGGAGGTCTGACCAGAAATGGCTCTATAAAGGCAAACTGACATGGCATTGTAACTAAGAAAGCTGAAAAAATGTTAGCAGAAAGAGCAGTTTGCAATCTAAGACTAGTGAAGTCTGCAAGGAAGAATTCATCAGTGTGTCTCCAGTACCAACCAGGGCTAAGGAAGAAGTTGCCCAGACCAGATAACATGAGCATCATGTCCCCCTAACTGGTGTATCCCCAACAGTGGAAAAGGGTGCACCAGGCTCACAGACATGAGTCATTCCAATGAGCCAACTAACTCCCCCTTTTCTGGCTTCATCCCCACCAAGCAACTTTTTTTATTATACATAGGCCTTCTATATTGGGTTTCCTATAGGGTTGCTGGCCAGTCAACACATGTACTTCAATCGGTTAGACAGAGTATCTCCCTTTTTGAATTAATAAACTGGTGTTCTGGTTCATAAATCGGCTTTCTGACTATGGTTGATATGAACCAGTCACCCCAGCCAGACCTTACTATTGTTGATTTCTTTCAAGTTATTCCAGTTAATACTTTAGTTTTTTTCAAACATAAGTGTCAATAAATGTATTCTTCAATTTCTCAAAAAGTGGTTCTTGTTGAGTCACTCACAGAAAAGGATCCCAAACACTACATTCAGCCAAACAATCAGAAGAATGTGTCCAAAAGCAATACAACACATCAGAGTTTTGATGCTCGGTTACCACTGAGTTTTCATTTGAGGCAGTGTGGATCCCCCTGGGACAGAACTGAGTTTAAATAGCTGCAAATATGGTCTTGCATAAGTCACTCTACATTTTGGGCTTTGATCTCTTCATTTGTATAATGAGTTTGACAGAATTCTCTCCAAAAGCCCTTGTTGATCTTGATAATCTGTGCTTACATTCCTTCATTTAAAAAATATTCAGGGAGGGATTACTGTGTGCCACGCATCAATAGTGTTCATTAAATTTGAATCCATATTTATATATTTTGTGAGTTAAGTAATTATGTAAATTGCCTTGTCAGTGCCGAGTACATTACTACCCAGTAGATGCTCAATAAATGTTAGCTGAGTCTGAATCTATGTTTATTACAGAGAAGGAACAATTATTGTGTCATGAAAAGAGGCCATACCTAAATAATGAGTGGGATTGAGGTTTAATTTTTTTTAAATCAGTTCTGCTATTTTTGGCTAAAGAAGGGAGAGAGAGGGGGAAGACACTGGAATTGTCCACCTTATGTTGAAGGAGGATACTAATTCATGCATGGAAACATGTTATTTCAAATTTTAATGACTAAGGGTCTGTAGACCCAGTGCTTGACAATTGGTAAAAGTGAGGAGTCACTCTGGCCTTGTTGCCATGGGGACCATCCCTCACAAAGGCAGCAGTGGGAGCTTGGCCTTATACCTTCTGTGATTGGTCTTGCCTGTCACAGAAGGAGGTGGTCTAGGGCCCATAAATCTCTAAGACACAGTTATCCTTTTTGCCATGAGCTCGAAAATGACTGAACTAATCATGAGCCACCTGTAGCATGTTGCCATCATTAAACTTGTGGGTCCCTTAAGCTCACCTAAAGGCCAGCGTCTTCAGAGCCATGCCCCGCTAGATTCTACCTAGAACATTTGCAGTCAGCATAAAAGAATCATTAGTGCTTTCAAAATCGCTGTAGCTTCTTAACCTAAATGGGCTGAAACATACATGCTGCTGCAATACTGGAAGCAACAGATTAAAATAGAGCTCTTGCTGAGTGAAGGAAAGTGTGTTAATGAGCGCAGTCATTTTAACTTGTTTTAAGTATAACTGTTTTTGGTTCTTTTTGAATATTAGATGCTTCATGCTGACAGGAACTAAGTATGGTCCAATTTTCTCTGCCAAGGGAAAAAGAATGGGTTTTTACCCCTACTCACCTGAACCGTGACTGACCAGATCACAAAACTGCTTCATAATCATTCTGCAACAATTTCTGAATGCAATCTAACAACATCCAATCTAAGAATGTCAGAGCTGCAAAGGCCCATAGACACTATCCAAACCACTCAGCCCATTTAACAGATGAAGAAATTAAGACCAACATAAGGCTAGGCCCAAAGTAATAGTGGCAGAGCCAAAACTAGAAGTCAGGTCTCCCACTAAATACTATGGAAGCATAGTGCTTTCCACTGGAGCACTGTCTATATTTTTAGAGCAGCTGGGGAATTCTGCACTGGTTGCAATCCTTTCAGCAAACTTGGGAATAAAACTGCCTGGAATTCATACTAGTGATACTTGACAAGTGACTAAATCATGAAGATGAACAGATAGCCTGAAAAGCAGAGTGGCAGTCAAATAAAAGACTGAAAGTACAGTCCCTGACTCATAGTAGGCACTCAGTAAATATGATGGGGCCGGCGGGGGGGTCTGAAAACCAGAATTTATTTATAAAAAATTATGCATTCATTCTTACATGTTTAAACTTCAGTCACCTTCAAAGTCTTCTCCATTTGATGCAATACACCTATCGAGATATTTTTTCCAGTGCTGAAAAGTTTTTGAACTTGTTGATGTTGATGCCTTTTAGTGCTTCTGCCGTTTTTTGTTTCACCTCTTCCACATCAGCAAAACACTTCTCTTTGAGGACTTTTTCCATCCGGGGAAACAAAAAAAAAAGTTGCTTGGGGCAAGATCAGGTGAATAGAGAGGGTGGAGTACAGGGGGTCATGCCGGTTTTGGTCAAAAACTGAACACTCAGCACAGTGTGAGCAGGTGCACTTGTAAATCACCCACCATGAAATAGGCAAACGCTTTGAAAGAATGTTAAAAAAAATTCACTGAAGCCAAATGCAGCCTCTTACAACAACGCCATCTGGTACACTGATCCAGATGGGTTCCTAGAACACTCACCTAGTTGGGGGAAGCCTGTACTATGAGGGGTCCACCCTCCAGATGATAATTCTGGGGTTTTTGGGTCCCCCCTCATACTCGTGGAATGAAACTGTGCTGCTGGTGTCTGGTTTTTAACCCAGCTGTGAGCACTGACCCTTCCAGATGTGACATTTGACTACTAGAGCAAGTTCATCAGTGTCGCCTGGCACAGTCATGTAAGCAACATTTCAACTTGCATCATTACAGCTCCATTGGTAAGACATATGTGGCACTGTAAGAGAGCAGGCTACTCCAGAAACTATTGTTTGAGGATTGAAAGAAGGCTTCAAAGGCCCACTGAAGGTGGGATTCTGACAACGTACTGCCAGATGAGGGTGACTGGAATACAAACTTCAGTGGTTGACAGGTCTATCTGGGCAAAGCATGCAGGAATCAGGGCTCTTCTTAAATCTGAAGCTTAGGCCATCTCCAAATCTCATGGTTAAAGCCACAAAAACTAGTGTGTTCTGCAAACTGTGGAGGCTGCTGAAGGAATCACAGCAAGGAAAAGACTGTGGCACTCCTACCCTTTTCAATCAGTCCAGGTACACAGATCACTCTACTCATTTTCTCTAACCATACTTTCAAGGCATACTTTTTTCACCCTGTCTTTGGGGTTATGGCTTGCCCTGAGATTCCCAGAGTTCATCTCAACCTCTGCTATGGATAGAGGTATCCAAAGGGATGAACAGCAGGTAGACCCTTTCTTATACATAGAGATAAAGAGGCAACAGCTTCTGGAACAGGACCAAAGTTTCTCCACTCCCTCACAAGACAGCAGCATTTCAAACTCCTAGGCAGATCATCTCACTCTGGTAGGAGAATTGCCCTCTTGGTAGAGAGAAGAATTAAAATAGGAACAGAGATATTCCTGATTCCAAAGACTTCCCTTCAAAAGGTTGCTCCATGGCAATGTTAAATATGACATCCAAATCTATAAGAAGTTGCCAACATAGTAAATATCCTGGATGCTGTCATTCTTGAACTTTTAGAAATCCTGTATTTAGAACCTCCAGATCAATAACCATGAAGTGGCTTAAGTGCTGACCTTATAAAGAAAAAATGTATCTCATGAGCTACACATTACATGCTCTAGTAAAGATCTATATAAAAATCCATTTCCCTCTCAGAATATATTACAAAAATAAGCATGCATCTTCATGATTTGAAAACTCAGCTTTGCCCAGGCTGGTATGACTCAGTGGATTGAGCATCACCCTGCAGACCAAAAGGTCACGGGCTCGATTCTCAGTCAGGGCACATGCCTGGGTTGCAGGCCAGGTCTCCAGTAGGGGGTGGGTGAGAGGCAACCAATTGATGTATCTCTTGCACATTGATATTTCTCCCCCTTTTTCTCCCTCCCTTCCCCTTTCTCTAAAAATAATTAAATAAAATATTTTCAAAAACTCCACTGTAACAGTAAAAAGCCACATCAAGAATGCAACAAGTCTCTGAGAATTGAGTGAATGCTTCTTAATGAACCAGCAGTGCAAAACTTGGTCATCTAAGTTAGGAATGAGATAATCATCCTGAACACATACAGGAATATGCCATAGGAGCGGAGGCAGACAAATATAGAGAGACTTCCTACATTGATTTCCTTCCAAGGATATAAAAAAGGAGTTATCACTAGTTTCCAGGAAATGTAAAAAAAAAAAAAAACACAAAAAAATATTAGCTTAGAAGAGGCTGTGGTTATAGCCCTGGCCTTTTCCTCTCCTGTTAACATTTATTGCTTTTGTATCTGTGTTCTCCGAGGCTATATTATCTCTTGTCTATGCTTTGTACCTTCATTTTGGTAGGTATTCTGTTGTTATACCTTGTTATTTTCTTAAGGAAGCTCTTGGGTTCCATTTGCATTTTGAAGTTTTATATCTGAATCAAACTGTCATTCTTGGTCACAGGGATTAAGTTTCTCTCAATACACCTCACATATTTTTCACTGTCCATAGTCTCTTCCTTGTGCTTTTTCTAGAGCTCTACACAGTCATGCTTAAGATCAGAATCTCTGCTTCATTTGTTTAGAAAATGTAAATTTGGGTAACATGTGTGCCAAAGGGATAGCCACACATTACCTAATGGTCAGTTAAAATTCAGAAGTCTTAGCACACTCCAAAAAGGAATTTTGCTGAACACTCACTATTGGTTTAGCACTCTATCTGTTTCATAAGACAGAATCAGTGGTGTGCTGGAACTGGCTTATACCAACTCCTAAATGCCAATTTTGCACATCTCTTTCCTAGTTCAGAGACTTCATGTCAAAAGCTTGAAATCCATCATGGTAGAGATATTTACACCATAGATATTGAAAAATGCTACAAATACATATTTTTTGGAAGATGTCCCATCGTTTAACATTTACAAACATACCAAATTGACACATTCTAATTATGACTAAAAATTCATCATTTTTACAGTCTTCTACTCAATTATTGCTATGAGTGAGCATTAAATACACTGTAAATGAAAAGGTAAAGTTGTTTAAGGAAGCTAAATGTTCATGAGTAGAAATATTGAAAAATTAGACCTTTAAAATTATTCTCAGGTGGCAACAAGCCATTATTTTATGCCGTCAAATAAAACATAACATTTCTTCTTTAAAACTATTTTATTTACTTATTTTTGGGGAGAGAAAGAGAGGGAGAGAAACATCAATCAGTTGCCTCTCAGACACACCCCGACTGGGGACCCAACTGGCAACCCAGGCATGTGCCCTGATCAGAACCTAACCAGTGACTTTTCACTTTGAGGGACGATGCTCAACCCACTGAGCCATACTGGTCAGGGAAAAACATAACATTTCTTAAGTGCAAATACTTCTCCTACACAACACATTCACGCATTGTTAAGCCAACGGAGGTTTATTCTCTGGTAGTTTTCTGCTGGTATGTTAGTTCACAGTAATTTGTAATTTATTTGTAAATACTGTGGGAAAGAGTTCTTATTTTCAGCCAGCAGGTAAGATTAAAAAAGAAAAAGTCCTACAGGCATGTATGGAAGATAAGATGTCACAGAGTTTTACTACATTTCAATCATCAGGGGACATGGTATTATATTTTCCTTTTCCAGTACTGAATTAAAGTGAGAATTTTTTAGTGTGAAATGTTTCAGATATATAAAAATATACAAATAATGTCATGAACTCTGAGGTACCAATGTTCATCCATTCCTTTTCTTTCCCCATCCACCTTAAAAGGCAGCTATCATCCTTAATTTGGTGTTAATCACTATCCAGCATACCCATATACCTTTACTCTAAATTATCCATTATACGTTTTGTTTTGCATACTTTAAAACTTTACAAATGAGGTCATATTGCATCTCTCCTGCAATTTGTTTCTTGTGAGATTCACTGATGTTGATACAGGTGGCTCTAAATCATTCATTTTAATTTCTATCTAGTATTTGGTTGTATGATATTCCATTATCATGTTACCTCTTCCAGTGCTCAGTCATTCATGTTGTTTCCAAATGTTTCACCCTTCTAAACAATTCTACTATAAACATTCTGACCCATATGCGTCTTTGAGCACGTTTCTCCAGGGTAGATACTTAGGAGTAGATTTGTCAGCCTTACAGTATTGACTTTGACTTCATTTGACATTAGCAAATAGCTCACAAAAGGGTTGTGCTAATTTATGCCCCCTGTAGCAACGTGGAAGAGTTCTTTTTGCTTTGTGTCCTTCCCAATACCTGGTGTTTTCAGCAATACACGTACGTTTTTAAGCTACTAATACTAACATTTTAAATGCCAGCTTTGCATTGAATTCAGGGATTTTTAAACTAGTTGTAAATGTACAGTCTGTCTTGTGCCCTCCCTGGGGTCAGTAAAAAGAACATTCTAGCCTCTAATATTATATTTCAAAACGTCCACTATATTTTTTCCCTTTTAAGCATTTTTATTATGGTTGAAAAGTTAGAGTTCACTTAGTTACATTTTATTTGCTCTCATTTGATTTCTCTCATAGTTTGCCATGTTAAAAAGGACTTTCACTATTCAACTGAGATAAAAACTATTAACTAAGAAAATCCTCAGCTCTCATGCTTCCAAATCTTCCTGACTTCCTCTCCTGCCCCATTATATTTTCATTTCTTCTCCAGCCTGGTTTTATTCAGTTATTTTCGTAGTAATTGAGTTAGTCTATCTCACAAATACTTAGACAAAACATATCTTTGAAATGGTTTACATTTTATTTTGGTTTGGGTTTAAGGAAAGTTTTGTTTAGCCTAAGGAATACATTCTCACAAAGTCCAACTTCATTGGCTGTCCTCAATATACCTGTTCAGTCTTATTTGGTGGACATGTGCTGAAACTATCTCCTCAGAATTTAATATGCTAATTTGGACATGTGAAAATGAGGTCATCAACAAATATTGGGTAGACCCTCACAAAGTGCAAGGAAAAACTTAAGACTTGAATATGTCATGAGCCTTCATACAGAAAATATATTTTGAACTAAAAGGGAATTATGTTTTTAAAAAAGTGCCTGTTGTTGCATGGATGGGCCTGGAGAACACTATGCTAAGTGAAATAAGCCAGTCAAAGAAAGACAAGTACCGTATGATCTCACTTTTATGTTTGGAATCGAATGAACAAAATAAACTGATGAACAAAACAGAACCAGAGGCATGGACACATGGAACAGACTGACAGCTGTCAGAGTTGGGGAGGGGAGGCTCAATGAAAGAAGGGGAAGGGACTAGACAAAGAACATGTGTGCATGACCCATGGACACGGACAACAGTGTGGTGATGACCAGAGGCAAGGGAGGTGGGAGCTGGGTGAAGGGGGACAAAGTGAGGGGGAGGGAACAGGGACATCTGGAACAATGCCAACAATGAAAATAAAGGTAAAAATATTTCTTTAGAAAAGTGCTTGTTGTAACTTTTATTAATTTTCTTTGGAACAAAAATATAAAAGGTTTTAGATTTTGTTTTTCATACTGTTTTTTTCCTAAGCATTTTTCTGTCCTTGGGAAGGCCGCAAAAGACCAACTGCAAACTGGCCATTCCAAATCAATGTAGGGAAGTGTACTAAAATGTAATAAAAATGACTTGTTTTGACAATTTAATGCTTGATACTTGATTCATTGAACACTCTAGAAACTACTGCCCCTGTGGGAAGCTGATTCCTGTGGTCTAGTATATTAATAAGCATTATTGTACTTAACAATAAGCATTTTTCTCAGAGAAAGTGTGAAGCTGGATTGATTTGACTAAACCCAAAACAAAATCATTGACCTAATTTCTCTTCAAGTGGTGCATTTCATACACGCCCTTACACTTTCAAAATTATACTCTGAAATTTTCTCTTTTTGTAATAGAATATTGAAGCTTAGATGCTGGGGTGTTTTTTGTCACAACTATATATTCTATGTTGTGAGATTCACACATAATTTTGGGCAAATGTAAACAATAACATTTACTCCTCAGCCCACATAGGAATAAAAACTTAAATACACTTTAATTTTCAAGGCGTTCTTTGTAGTTGGATTAACTTATTAACTAGTTCACTGATCGTGCTTCCTCCAAAGAGCTCAAAAATAAATTTCAGGGCAAAGGAAACAGTTGACCCTGTGATGGGACGCTCATTAAGACGTCTGAAACAATCTCAGTTTTTAAATAACAGAAGAGTCAGCCAAACCAGTTTGTTAGGCCTTTGTCTCCTAATGAATATTAAGACACAAGTTCTAGAGTCCAAATAAGCTGTGAAAGAAACCATTAAGTCTGGCAAACTCAGCTAAGAGTCCTTGGCATGCAATGACTCAGAACACAAGTACAGGTGTGTAGATGCTTTCCAGGTTTCCTTCGGCTGCATTATATGAAAGAAGATTTTTTTCAGTGTGGAAAAATATCCACTCACAAACATGGTTATTTAACTCAGGAAACCTCATTTATTGCTATGCTAGATTTGGGTGGAGGGTTTTTTTTTTAATTATTTTTAAAGATATTTTTATTTATTTGTTTATTTCTAGAGAGAGGGAGAAAGGGGGATAGAAACACTAGTGTGGGATTGCCTCTCGAGCGCCCCCTACTGGGGACCTGGCCCGCAACCCAGGCATGTGCCCTGACTGGGAATCCAACCAGTAACCCCTTGGTTTGCAGTCCAGTGTTCATTCTACTGAGCCACACCAGCCAGGGCTAGGTGAAGAAGTTTTTTGAGCCGACATTTTACCTATTGCTAGTCAGATATCTGTGTCTATCTCTGTCTCTCTCAAAGAATCATCAAGTTAGGCTGAAGGTAAACATTTAACTCAAAATGTATATGGTGCCTATAAAGTATAACTAATAAACTAGATGGAAAGAGTTTTCAATATATAATTTATACTATACTAAGGTGAAAAACTATATGAATGAATTTAGGTTGGACATTTTTAATGTGGGATTAACGCAAGTATATTTACATTGTAAGTATATTCACAATGTAATTAAAATTTGAAGACTTAAAGGGAAATTGCTGCTATATATTTTATAGTAACACATTTATAGCCCAATAAAATGAGTACAGCGCAGTTACATATACAAATATAGCATTCATTGTACAGTGATTAAAACATTAAAAGACTATAACTATATGCTTGAATCTATAGAATTCAGTATTGTCTTAAATGATTAAAATCCCTAGTTTGATACCATGAAATTAAAACATTTTGTGCGGAAAGGCATCATTATTCAAAAATTTTATCTTCTAATTCTCTCTTCTAATCACAGGATCAGCACACAAAAGGAATGAATTTTAATTTCATTTAGTTGTTATTTTTGCAGAAGCATTAAGTGAAATATCAAATATATGGGCATTTTCATGAGTTAGTCATAAATCAACCATCATAAATTCCAGCGAGTATACATGGGAAGATTTATAATTTCTAGGTATCTTTGAATAAAATACAACCAGTTTGTCATACAAATTGTTACATCAAAGGATACCACTGGCATAAACTATGATCTCAATATGACACACAAACCTATTTAAAAGATAAAATATTTATGTATTATATAGTTATTGACTTGTTTATTGTAACACATGTCATCAAAAAACATGCACCTAATATGCCAACTTGATAATAAAATGCATAATCCATGATTCAAAAGGCAGCAATTTCAAACCATTGTCTTCACTGCTCCTTGATATAAAATACACCAAGCATAAATTCAACATTGCATGCAACAACTGGCCCTGCACTATAAAACAAGTCATCACACTGTTTACATACATAAAAGAAAGACATCTATACATGTATTATTAAAAAAAAACCTAGGAACAAACACAACATAAGTAAAGAAAAACTTTACTACAACAAATTTTTTTTTCCAGAAAATTCAAAAGCAAGTGAAGACACTGGAAGGTAGAGCATTGTTACAGGAACACCTCTTGTGCATATATGGGTATTTAACTTAAAGCTGTGAGATGTGTGTCTAAATTAAATTGCAATGCATAAAATGTAAACTTCAACACATTCTAACTACAGGATTTTTAGCTTTGGATCTTTTTAAAACTATAAGACAGCTCTGAAAACCTTAAATACCAGCCAAAGTGCAAAAGAGGTCCTTCAGAACATCTCCCTTTGGTATATTTTAATCACATAGATCACAGAATTAAATAATAAACTATGAATTAACAAAGTGGTTTAAAATTTGATTCTCTTCTCTCTTTGGATTTTTTGTTTTGTTCCTGAAAAGTTACCAACAAAATTATAGGTAAAGCCTTTTATCTATAAATGTTCAAACTAATTGATTTCCAGACTTTTTAGATGGAATCTGAATGCATGCCATAAAAAAAAAACCCTTCCTGGAAACAAAGTAACACTGCACTTTTCACCTGCTGGAAATGGAAGGTGTGAAGATGCTTCTTGCAAAAATGAGACAAACTGTGAGTGATGAAGTCCACCTCAGTCCTGAGATTCTGTGAATGCCATGGGGCAGCATAGGATCATCCTGACTCTTGTGATGTTTACCTGTAACACTTTTAAGAGATATAATCTAGTTCACACCTCCAAAGGAAATCTTAATTTTAAAAGTCTATTCAGTCTCCTTTAATTCAAGGGGAAGTTAGTTTCCTTGAGTTACTCAGAGCAGCATCTACAAAATAATGAAGAATGATGTTAATATTCAAGTGATTTTCAAGGTCAAAAATGTTCTCTGTGCTATGATTTCTAACACTGATTATAATGTACAAGATGGAATCAGTTAATTTGGGGAAAAATGTGATTCATTACAACACATACTTGGCTTAGGAAGTATTCCAAATGTTAGTATCTTAAATTTTATCTTATTCTAATAGGCATACTATTTTAATGTTGTGAAGTGCAATGTTTCTTTGTATATCTCTTTGATACTTCTCTTTCCTGGTTAGTGCTTTTTCTGCTCTGTACAAAAAAGAAATTGTTCTCACAAAAGTTAGGAGTTTCTTCTTTCTTTCTGCTGCATAGTATTCCATTGTGTAAATGTACCACAGTTTTTTTGATCCACTCATTTACTGATGGGCACTTAGGTTGTTTCCAGTACTTGGCTATTGTCAATTGTGCTATGAACACTGGGATGCATAGGTTCTTTTGAGTTGGTGTTTCAGGATTCTTAGGGTATAATCCCAGCAGTGTAATTGCCAGGTCAAAAGGCAGTTGCAGTTTTAGCTTCTTTTGGTGGGGCGAGGGGACAATGGTGGAAAGGGGAAGGGACTGGACAAAGAACATGTATAAATGACCCATGGACATGGACAGCAGAGTGGGAACTGACTGTGGGAGTGGGGGGTGGGCTGGGCAGGGGAGAGCAATGGAGGGAAATTGGGACAACTCTAATAGAATAAAAAAAATTGTTAACCACTCTGCCATGAAGATATTGTCCTGTGTTTGCTTTGGATCAAGCAAAAGAGGGGAAAAAAACTCATGGGCATGGACAACAATGTGGTGGTTGCGGGGGTAGGGGGTGAATAAGAGGGATAAATGGTAATGGAAAAAATCAATAAAAAATAGTAATTGCTCCTGGAAACAAAAAGAAGCTTTATGATTCTAGCTTTTATGTTTAGGTCTATGGTCCAATCTAAATTAATTTTTGTATATGGAGTAGTGAGGTGGAGAGATGAAGGTTCATTTCTTTTCCCATGTAGATATACAGTTACTCTAGCACCATTTAATAAAATGTTCCTTTCTCCAGTTAGTAGACTTGGCACCTTGATTGAACATTAATTGTTTATCTATATGTGGGTCTACTTCTGAACTCGTTTTTATACACTGCACTGTATTTACTGTAGCCTTATAGGGTCTTGAAATTAGGGAGTGTAAGTCAGTCTTCCAAATTTTTCAGATTCTGTTCCAGATTCTTTGCTTTCCTGTATACATTTTAGAACAAACTTCTCTTTATTTTTTCCCCCCAAAAGGACCTGCTGAGATTTTGGTTACATTAACTCGAAAGGTCAATTTGGGGACAACAGACTTCTTAACAATGCTGGTATTTCCAATTCTTGAACATTATATATTGTTCCCTTTCTTAGGTAATTTTAAATGTGTTTTCAGCAATGACTCATGGTTGTCAGTACAGAAGCCTTTAGACATTTGTCATCAGATTGATTTCTATTTGTTTTACGGTGTATATTACCAATGTAAAATGGTGTTCTTTATTAAATTTCATTTTAAATTCTGTTGCTAATATACAAAATTACAATTTATTTTGTATAATGATTATGTATACTGTGGCCTTATAAAATTTACTTATTACTCCTAGTAGGGTCTTTTTATGTATAGATTCCTAATGATTTTGTACATACACATGATCTGCTGAGCACAACAGTGTTGCCTTTTTCTTCTTTTCTAATCTTTTTGTTTATCTCTTTATTTTGAGTTATGGCACTGGCTAGGATTTCCAGTATAAATGTTGAATAGAAATGGTGAGAGTCAATATCCTTGCCTTGCTGCCAATCTGAGGGGAAAAGCTTTCAATATTTCACCATTGAGTGTGATGTTAGCTGTAGTTTTTCCACAATTGTACATTATCAGGTTGAGGAAATTCTCTTTATTTATAGTTTGGTGAGAGTTTTTATCATGAATGAGTATAGAGTTTTGCCAAGTACTTTTACACATCTATTGAAATGATTACAAAAATTTCCCCTTAATTATGTTAACATGGTGAATTACATTGAATTTTAAGTGTGTAATATAAGTATTTAAAGCTATAATAATTTCATATAAAATTTCCACCCTCTTTGGCTGCATCCACAAATTTTGATATGTTGCATTTTTATCCAGCTTGAAATAATTCTCATTTCTCTTGTGCTTTTTCTTCTTTACCCCACATGTTGTTTAAATTTGTGTCATTTAATATCCAAATAGTTAGAGATTATTGATTTCTAATATAATACATTTGAGATTTTATAAGATTTCAATCTTCTGAAATTTATTGAGATTTATTTTATGGCCTAACATATGCCATATCTTGCTGAATGTTTTATGTGTACTTAAAAGTAATGGTGTATTCAGCAGTTGTTGGGTTTTAAATACATGTTCCTTAGTTCAGATTGTTGGTATATCAGAATGTTCTGATTACTAATTATCTAAATAATTCCATAATTCAATAATTACCTAAATAATTCAACAATTAGTACAGAAAACATTTGAAAGGTGATTCAGATTTGGAGTACCAAAAAACCAACCAAACAAGAAGTGACTCTATTTGCGGGGTTCCTGGGTGATGTAATATTTACATTGAGCCCTATCATCCTTAGATTTTATTTTATGCCATTAAATGAAAATTTGGAACCAAATAAGTTGCTACTGGTTTATTAGATTCATCTAAACACAATGTACCACTACCTGGAATTTAAATACAAGTCCAAAACTAGAAATTCAAAGGAAATATGTACATATAGAAATAATAATCTTGTTCACAAACAAGTATGGTTTCTTTTCTGTGCTGCCTTTTCATAGATAGATCAGTATAGTATCGCTCAAGGAAAAAATTTACAAAAATATGGGTTTGTATACAGAAATTTTATGTACAAAGGGTTGGAGCAATACAACGGAACACTAGGTTAGTTCTCATTGCTTCTTACTACCTTTGCACATTAAATCTTGGGCACAGACACAAAGAAGTGGTGTGTGTGGCAGAAACTACCGTAACGAAAGAACATGTTCTGTGAACTGAGTAAAAACATACTGCTAAAGCATTCATGGATAGTAAAGCTGGTACCTTGAAAGTATTTTATCAGCATTTGGTTCTGAATGATCTCTAATAAGACACCACATGATCATGGTATCTCCCCTGGTAGGTCAAGTCCAGGAACATGTGTAAAGGACCCATGGACAAAGACAATGTGGGTAGGATTGAATGTGGGAAGTGGTGGTGGGTAGGGCAGGGGAGAGTAATGGGGGGAAAATGGGGGCAACTGTAATTGAACAACAATAAAAAAATAAAAATAAAAAAAAGACACCACAGTTCCTGGAACTCTTTCAAACCTGTCAACCTTATAGGGAAAAGTTTAACGTGTTTATTAAATCATAGCTAACGTAATAAGTTTGCAGCTTTAATTTCTAAGTGTAAAGAGGTTCTTTCCCTATGCCAATTTCATGTTTGGTAAAGCTTTAAAACTTGTAGCCTTTAAACAAATAGTATACATTCTGTTCATATTATACCTGTAACTTTGGCATTCCGAAACCTATAGTCACCGATTAAAATCTGCAAACTGTTCCCTGGAACCAGGCATTTTTTTCTTCTGTTTAGATTTCTCACAAACCTAAATAATAAATGAATTAGTAGCCAACAATGGTGATATAAGCTAATAAAAAAACAAAGACATTGCATTGCAGCTCAAATTTCCACAAAGCTATTGCGTTTATTCAAAGACCTTCACTCACAAAACTATTGCACATATTCAAAGACACTGTTCTTGAGTCTTTTGAGTAACCTACAAAGGATTGGGGTTTCTAGCAAAAATGGTTATTATTTTAACTAAACATCATTAATTTTCACCCTTGTGTGTATACTCTCCCATCTTTAGGGTCAGAGTACATGGTCAATATAGCATTTCAGTAAAGTTGTTGACACAATGAAATAATAATTTCATATGAAATTTCCCAGATTTGTGGAAGCTTCATTCAGCCCTCTTCCAAACAATATTCCTTCCTGTTTGGGGTTCTCTAAAAATTAAACAGTACATTTGTCAGAACCAGCTTTGCAGTTGGTGCTACATAAAGTCAAACATATAAAGATAGGATAAGACAAAAAATCAATTATTTGAACTGATAAAGAGAAGTGTGGCTATGTTGTAAAGGAGCAAGGCATGATCCCTGGCATACAGTAGGCATTCATTAAAGATGTGATGATTTAATGAATGACTGAAATTACCAAGTGTAATGCAATCTGTAGCCATTACAAAGCCAGATGTATCAGCTGGAATGTCTGAGCCAAAGGCAAACCACAAAAGAGCATGCACTCACAGCATTTCATTCTTTGAAAGCATTTTTCACTCACCGAAGGTTAACATTCCTTTCAGTGAGCTATATAGGCATGGCTGAAGCAATGAAAATGAAACACTGATAAGAACTGTATTTCTGCTTCTTGAGACTGTATATCAAAGATACAAGTAAAGCAGAATATTTTATTAGACCATGTGCCCCATGCAGAGGTCATCACAGGCATGGAGAACACACCTACCATTGACCCTCAACATCCTCATGGAGAAGCTGAATGACATCTCCATTTCTAATCAGGAGGTCTTCTGAGCCTCTATTCCTGCAATCTGCTAGGGCTTTATATTTGTCTGGAGGCTGTAAGGTTGTTTTGGAAAATTACATTATAAACTTGTTTGCAAAACTACTTGCACAACTGCATGCTCTGTGAAAAAGAATTCACGTGGTACTTCAATGGTAAATGTAGCTGCAGCAGCTTTGCAGGAACGAACAAACATGAGGCAGTTTGTGATGGGAGAAAAAGCAGAACATGTGTTTATTTAACCTGAAGAACTTGGTTTAATTTGTGGAAGAGAATTACACCATGAACTACACAGAAAATAACAGAGTACAACTAATTTAAGTTACACGAATCATAAGCATATATCCAGAATAAACAAATGTAAAAATAATTTTAAAATATTATTATTCGTAATCTACTCTCATGAAAAATTTATCATGGCACATACAAAAGGCAATGGCTCTAAACAAAGATTTACTAATGCTCCCAAAGGACTTCTGGTCTTTATACTGTTTGGCACAGGTGAAAATAATGGGCACAAAAGCTCTGGGTCCAACAGAAGCAGGTTAAATGTTGAACTTTATCTGGCCCTAATCTTTTGCAGCTATAATTTTAACTGGATTCATTAATAAGCTAAAAAAAAATCCAAGCCACACTGATTGTATTTGGTTACAAAGGAGATGGAGAATAATAAATCTCATGTCCAAAAGTAGCTAGAGATGTTTCCAGCACAATATCTAACACAGTCAAAACACGATTTCAAAAAGTAAAAGTACCATAACTCAATTTTTTAATAAAAGAAGAGAAATAATTATGTGATGTCAATTCTTTACACATCCACAGGAATTAACCTAAAAACAATATCCGCGTCGCTTGAGCTGAATGTCTTTTGAGCAGCACTTTTATCAAATGGGCTGAGGAGCAGGCAGGAAAGAGCTACTTGCCATTTAACATAATAGCTTCATCAAAATAGGAGAGTCATCCCCGACAGACTCTACAAGGTAAGCAGCACCCATTATTTCTGGCTCTTTGATTTGATAAAGCAACGCTAAAAGAGCAGCTCATTGAAGCACATTTTGCTTGGGGGAGGGTGTCTTTATTTTTTTGTATGCATTTTTTTTTTTGTATGTGTTCCTTAGTAACACGACTTGGGGAACTATTGGGAGAATAGAGGAAAACTAATAAGTTTTTCTACATTCCCATCCCCTATGATTAAAGCACTAATCAGTTTTGCATATTTGCTTTATTTTCTGACACCATAGCTAGGGAAATGCTTACTAAAGATTTTGTCAGTTCTTGACAATCCCCTTGCAGAGCATCTAGAGCAAACATTTAAACCTCAACTGGCTTCCCCTGATTTTTCACTCACATCTGAACAGTTACCATTCTCAGACAGTATTAATTTAAAAAATGAAAGTTAATTTTATTACTAGTCTAAACTGGTGGTTCTCAAAGTTTAGGGGGCAGAGCTTTAGAGGTTTCCAACACCCATCCAAGGGTCTGCAAGGTCAAACCTATATGAAGACATTATTTGCTTTTTCACTCTTATTCTCTTGTAAGTATACAGTAGAGTTTTCTAGAGGCTACCTGATGTGTGATAACACAACGGACTGAATGCAAAAGCAGGTTAAAGTGACTTGCAAAAATATTTAAAATGCCACTCTTCTAAGTAAATGTTGTTTTGAAAAATGTAAAACTTTAATTAAAATGTTATTTATATTAACTTACAATGGTTTATTAATATTTAAAAATAATGAATAACTTTGTCAGTTTTAATTAATAATATGGTAAATATTAATAGATGTAAATAGGAGCTCTTTGGGATTCTCAATAAACTTTAAGAATGTAAAGGTTTCCTAGATTAAAATGTTTGAGCACTGCTGGGCTAGACAATTAGCACTGGACAAACCTCCTAGCAGCACCGAGCCTCGGTTTCCTCCTCTGTGCATTGGAGGTAATAAAGGCCTGCTCTTCCTCTCAATAATACTATGAATATTAAATGGGAAATTATATTGTAAACTGTAAAACACCATACAACTATGTTTATGGTCATTGCATTATTAGTAGAAAGAACACTCTGCTACTTTTTAAAAGAAACCATTCAAATTGATGCTCCGTAGCTTTGTGGTTATCCATGCCATTATTCCCTTACTCCAAAATTAAAACTGCCAAATGGATGGTGTTGCTCTGAAGGGCACCAAGGAGCAGTCCACTACAAAGCGCCATTCCCCCCCTCCAATCTGGTGACTTCAGAAAATTGGAGATATACCCTAAAAAGTCTAACTCCCCTCTAATAATCCAATAGGATCCAAACAATATTGCAAACTACTTCTATAAAACACTTACTTTTACCCTAAAGCAACCTCCTTTCGTTTTATGGGGTAACTCCTTGCTCTAATATGCTGAAATTTAGTATCATTAGCACATTCTTTGATAGCCTATTAAACCATATTCCCCAGGTGTTATTAAAGAATTTTTAATGTGTAAAACTTATTTCCTATATTTTCCAATCTGGAATCTAAATTGATTTTTAAAGTATATTTGCCTTTTCTTTCTTCTTTGACTAAGTCTCATGTGCCTCAATTGAAAACAAAGTAATGAAGCTCAATTAAAGATAAAACTGCTCAATATATAGAGACGTGGAATGATTGACTATTCGTCTCATCAGCTTTAGTAGGAACTCCACATATAGCTCAAACAACCTGAATGTTGATAGCTGTTTCCAATCTTTTGGCCATGGCATATACCTAATGGCCTCAAGGACACTGACAAAAGATTTCCCCTATGTACTTCCCCTATTTCATCAGTACAATTGCCTCAAGAGTTTCCACTTACTTATTTTAATATGTCATTACTAACCATTAGAGGTCTTTCTTCTTCATTGTCAACATAGGAAGAGTAGAAATAGTCGTTGGACCATGTCTCAGGCCCTTCAGAGATTTCTGCAGTCCAAACAATAAGAAAAACATGGAGGGTGGAAGTTACTTAATGGTACTGGTCCATCAAAGGAGAGAAGTAAACTTAACAGTAGTAATCAAGGCTACAGTGGTCCAAGAATAGTACCTCCCTATACTAGGACCTCCAATTAGACTATACTGTTTTAGAATTGCGGATATTTTGAAAGGGCCCGGAATGCCATGCACTTCTTTTATTAGGATGGTTTCGAGTTGGGGTTGGTGGGAGAGTTATTAAAAATAGTAAGTTAAATAACATTCCAGAGAATATTTACCCCTTCTTATAGAAAATAATCTCTTCCAATTTTTTTCTATAGCATTGTATTGATCCATTCAAATAGCACTTATAACATTCTACTTAGTAATATTATTTTTGACTTGTCTTATCTCTCTTATTAGGCAGAGAACATGTGTTATTCATTGCATGTCTCATAAGGACCTTGCATCTAAGAGGTGTTTCATTAATAAAATATTTTGAACTGATATGAATTAAGCAATCAATATGGGCAGAGGATTAACAGAGTCTCAATTTGGGCACACTAAACACTAAACCAGTCACGTAGCATTGGAACAGTTATGTCAACTTTTTTTAACTTGGTTTCCACACCTATCAAATGATGGCATTGATACTAGTCTCCCTCCTGACTTCTCTGGGGGCCACAGCATAGATGACCTGATGGAAGTGACCTTTAAATTGACATCTGAAAGTTGAGTACTGTTATCATCACTTATTTTTAAAGACCACCATATTTAAGTGGTACATATTGTGCACTCTGCTAGGCATTTCTCCAGAAAGTCTATGCTGTTGATCCCAGAGTGGTTTAGGTAGCCCTGGTGGATGCTTCTGCAGTACCTTGTACTTACTTCCCTGTTAAAATAAGCATCACATTTAATTTTAGTTGCTTGTTGAAGTATCCTTCTATGTTCCTAGCTTCCTGGGGATGGCAGCTGAGTGTACCTTTTTTTAAAAGATTTTATTTATTTATTTTTAGAGGAAGGGGAAGGGAGGGAGAAATAGAGGGAGAGAAACATTGATTGGTGCCTGACGGGGGATTGAACCTGCAACCCTGGCGTGTGCTCTGACTGGGAATCGAAGTAGTGACCTTTTGCTTTGTGAGATAATGTCCCACCAACTGAGCCACACCGGTCAGGGCATGACAGTATCTTGATTACACTATATGCCCAGGGTTTTGCACAATTCCTAAAATACAGGCTGTGTTATATTTGTTGAATTAAACAATTTTTTGAAATCAGTTTTAATGAAACAATTTCCATTAAAAAATTACTCCAGCTATAGATGACTCTTTTCTATTCATTAAACCTATGGTGAGTAAAGTATGCATTCCTTTAAGCCAGTATATGTTTTATTCATCCCTGTGCCCTGTGTAGAAGGAGTTCTCAAATATGAAAATGCATCAGAACAACTGACATGGAGAGCTTACTAAATCACAGATGGCTACATCTCACTCCCAGAGTTTCTGATTCAGAAGGTCTAGGGAAGAGCCAGAGAACTCACCATCCCTACACATTCACAGGTGATGTTGATGCTACTGGTGCAAGAACTGCACTAGGAGAACCACTGCTCTACAGTGTTCACCAGCATCTTGCATATGCAAGACATATAAGCCTTATAAAAACTGGTTAATTTTGTTTTCTTCACATAATGACAACAGGCAGATTTTCCAGATTAACAATGGGAGAAAAGAATTTGCACAGCCGTGAATCTTACCTCCAGATAACCATGACACATACCTGTATTGGCTTCTGCCTCAACTGCCGGGATGGCCTTACAGACCTCCACCACCGAGCTGGGGTGCTCTGATTCAGTTTCCTGGGGGCCTATACAATCCCCCTGCTGCTTTCTGAAATAGTAAATATGCAAAAATAAGTGAGCATTTATACAGTCTAAGAGTAATAACAGAGTTAAAATGGCATTTTTTTCTATGGCTACCATGTGTCAAGAACATACCCTGAGAACCCATTCAGACAGAGCTAACTCTCCCTTACTTAAGTCTGTGTGGTAATAGTTCATAATATACAAAAGTTTAATTCCTAGGATCCAAGCCAGCAGGGCCTCTCTTTAACATGCAAGAAAAAAGTTACTCCCTTTGTGACCTAAGGCGGGTAAAATTCCCACAGCATATTATACTGTATATTTGAAATTTGCTAAGAGGTAGATCTTAAATGTTCTCACACCACACACACACACACACACACACACACACACACACACACACACACGGATAACTATATGAGGTGATGGATGTGTTCATTAGCTTACCTATGGTGAATATTTCACAATGTATGAATGTATATGTAGTTTAAATCCTCATATAATCTTTAAAGATACAAAATTTTAACTATCAACTACAACTTAACAATGTTGGAAAAATATAAACAACAAAAAAATCCCTATTACTCTATGAAATGTTAGCCTTAATAAAGTCAATAAGATATATGTAAATGACAATGAAACTCTGATTCATACTGTTGAGTTGTATAAGCTACTATAAAGTCAAATATTACATGAAATCTAAAGATTTTACTTCTATAATGTATGACAAATGATCAAGTATTGTGAAGACAAAGACTTCCAATGTGACTTTTTAAATGGTTTAAATGGTTGGTCCCAAATGAACCAACACATTTTTGCACCTGATTTTAGCTACCTCTGAAAGATGATATACAACAAAGAGAAAAGAGCATTCTTAGTCAGTCATTCAATGATTGATCTATCAGACAGAGGATGCATGGTAAACTTCTGTGTCCAAGCTTTGGAATCAGTGTGGTGAATCTTTCTGCATATCTGCAAATGTTCTATGGAACTCTACCTTTTAAAATTCCTAGTGGCAGAATGCAAAAACCACATCTCTAAACCAGTGCTCATAAGTGCTATCTTTTTGGACTGCTACCTTCCTCAAAGACTTTATGGTTGTGTCCAGGCAGAGTTCCTGCCAAGGATCAGTACCTCATCTCTAACTACGTAAAAAGAGAGACCAAGTCACCAGCAAGTGGTCTCCATCAATGGACCACAAAGCTGTGGGCCAGGAGAGGCTGCCAGTCCTCCATCATTCTTACAAGTCTCTTTGTCCAGTCAGACAGAAGGTAACCAATATATGTTGAAGAGAAATCATGAGTGCAGCTGCTTTTATGGTTAAGCCTACATGCCAAATCCCCCCACCCCCTACTATACTGAGAACAAAGCATTTGAAATTGTGTTTAGCCCAAACTATTGTGTTATTTTTAATGTCATGGGGAACAACTGTATAACTATTAAGCAGTCTCCAAGTATAAGGATAGTACTAGAAAATGATGTGTTTATGGAATTTGATAAGTTATTGCTAAAAGGGCAGGTAGTTTCTGTCTGAGATACGCAGGGAAAACAAAAGACTGTGGGAATGATGGTTCTTAAAGAATAATCACTTACTCATCATTCTGCTGAGAAGAAAGCTGGCCCTCTGCAGTTAACTGATTATATTGCTCTTGATGTTTAACTGTGGAATAAAAGAAAGTTTATACAAGCACCATTTAGAAGCCACACTTCTTCCTTCCTTGAAGACCAATGACTTTCACATATGCACCCACATACCCCCTACCCCATTCCCATTAGAGTTAACCTACAGACTTGAAATAACCAGAGGGAAAGCCACTCTGAACTTGGAATATGAAAAAGGACTGAAAAATGTAATAATTCATTCAAGAAATGCAATTGTATTACTAGAATCCCACCCCAACATTACAAAGCACTGATAATACTTGAGGCCCTGAACAGTTGTCTCATGGGAAAGACTCAGAATTGACACTGTCTCCTTGGTATATTAGTTCACTGTTTCTCAAGCACTACAGTTCCTTTTCCAGTGTAAAGTTCATTCTCCAAAATAGTTTATACAACCCCATGAATCTTCATCTCCTACTAATTAGTCTAACAAACCCTTCAGTGGAAATAGTACAGAGTTAATATGAGCCCCATTCCCTGCAAAAAGTATCACAAAACCTGAGTCAATGAACTATTACAGTACTTCTTGTTCTGAAAAATGCACGCTTAAATGTACCTGTTGTAAGTTCCTGTTGCTTCAACAAAATACTTTTTATTTCTTTCAACCATATCATCTTCATATCTATATTCGAAGCCTAAAAATTTTTAAAAGGGGAAGAAGAAGAAGTTTCCTTTAAAAAAAAACAATGTAATTTGGTGTATCAAACATAAACCTGAATCTGAATCCTGAACCACCACATTCAAATTCTAACATTTTGATTCTTTGGACTTCTAAGAAGCAAATAAGTAGCCATCATATTAGATGAAATAATAGTCAAACCATTTTGAGCCCTGGCTGGTGTGGCTCAGTGGAATGAGTGCAGACCTACAAACCAAAAGGTCACTGGCTCGATTCCTGGTTGGAGCACATGCCTGGGTTATGGGCCAGGACCTCAGTTGAGGGGTATACAAGAGACAACCGATCAATGTATCTCTTACACATTGATGTTTCTCTCCCTTTCTTTCTCATTCCCTTCCCTCTGTCTAAAAGTAAATAAATAAAATCTTTTAAAAAAACATTTTGAAATTGCCCTTAAATAATAACACTCACAGAAATGTGAAATAAAATCTCTCATTTTTCTTTGTAGGGGGGTTTTTTAAAAATATATATGTTTTTACATTTAATTTCAGTAAAATAAAACAAGTTCTACTTTTTCTGAAAAGACAATCAATCTGTCGCAGAGTGATTTTTTTCATAGTTTCTTTTTTAAGATTTTATTTTATTTTTTTAGACAGAGGTTAAGAGAGGGAGAAAGAGAGACAGAAAAACATAAATGTGTGGTTGCTTCTTGTGCACCCCCTACTGAAGAACTGGGACCTGGCCCCCAACCCAGGCACGTGCCTTAACTGGGAATCAAACCGGAGACCTTTCCGTTCACAAGTGGGTGCTCAGTCCACTGAGCCAAATCAGCCAGGGCAATTGCAGAGTAATCTTGATGGTGAGAGCATGCAAGCTTCCTTAAATAGCTCCCCATTACTTACAAGATAGGTTTGTTAAAAGATAGCAGGAACCCTGGCCGAGTGGCTCAGTTGGTTGGAGCATCATCCTGTACACCAAAAGGTCATGGGTTCAATTACTGGTCAGTGCACATAGCTAGGTTGCAGGTTCAATTCCTGGTACACGCACATATGAGAGGCAGCCAGCCTATGTTTCTCTCTTACATTAATCTCACATTAATGTTTCTCTTTCTCAAATCAATAAATATATGCTTGGGTGAAGATTTAAAAAAAGGTAGTAGGAAGTCTTATAGTTAAATCAAACCAAGAAAACACTTTACAGATTGTAATCACCCAGTACAGAATTGAAACAAAGAAAAAACCAACACTGGGCACTTTCAACAGATAACAGCACATTCACCTATGACAAGTCCTGATACAAATATTGAAATGACAACATCCTCTTGACACGTTCTCATTTCTCTCTCCTTCCCTGAAACAGATTGGACCTTATAGCATATCTGGCCACGGCTTTAACTATAGTCTTTAGAAACAACAATCAAGTCTGAATCATCACATCACCATGTTTTGTAATCAAGTACTCTCCGAATGTCAAGCATAAGAGGAACTCAGAACTAGTATCAATTTGTAACCCTAGAAACTTGATGGGGAGAGAGAAGCACCTGCCAAGCTTTTGGCTATCAGCTAAACCTCCTAGTGAGGCTGTGAAAACTTGAAGCCCTGGAAAGCACCATAAACATATCTCAAGTTTAAAAAGTCACTGAAAAAAATATTTAACTACATCACAAAAAATAGTAACAAAACAATATTTAAGTGACCTATGTGAGAGGAATGAGAAGTTTTGTAATATAACTAGAGCAATTTTTAAATGACCAACCTGGACAATATAAATTTCTTCCTTCCCACCATACCAGATTTCAAACTTGCGGTTATCTCCTTTTACATGTTCAGTGATTCCAACTTCATCCATCTATAATTTATAAGTCAAAATTTTCATGAGCATTTTATTTTGAATATGAAATGACATTACACCTACCCCCATCATGTTCTAAATGAAACAGAATTTCTTACTTGGAAAAAATACACATTTTATATTCAAAGAACATGAAGTGGTATTTTGATCACAGACATGAATATCTAAACATTCTCACTGATTTATGCACTTCTAGTACAGATTACATGCTCCATTCCAGTGATTAAAACAAAGGTTATAAATCTGAATATCCAAGTAGTCCATCTAAGATTGAATTGTGTTATAAATTAACTGTATAGTCTGAAAACAAATTATTATGTCAAACACAGAAGTAAAAGTAATCAAATATCAGTGTAAAAGGTCACCTAAAATTAATTTAAATAGTTCTTTTTAATAATCACTTGCAAGATAAGTTAATCTTGTAGGTTATTACTTATCTATACAGATACCCTACGAGTTACAAAGATCTGATTTATATGGGGCAGGGGAAAATCAGCCAGGTACACAAGGAACGCCTCTATTTCCACCAATCTCTTAGCCTCTCTAAAAGACAAACAATTTGTCATGGGAGGATGATGTCTTCTTGTAGCTAGTGAAACTTTTATACACAATATCCCTTCCTTACCAGTTTTTCTTCTCCTCCCTATAATTGTGCAAAGCAGAACCCTTTCCATTTTCATTCATTCTGTGCTACTATAGCGTGGTTAATTCCATTTTGAACAATTTTACTCCCTTAGTCCCCTTCTGCTTTCTTTTTTTTCAATTCCTTCCTCATTATCTAAAGGAATATCTCACACTCTGTTCCATTTATAAGCCCCACCAATGACCTGAATCAGGGCTGATAAGCGGTAAATGAGTGGATCAAAAACTGTGGTACATTTGCACAATGGAATACTATGCAGCAGAAAGAAAGAAGGAGATCCTACCCTTCGCGACAGCATGGATGGAACTGGAGAGCATTATGCTAAGCAAAATAAGCCAGGGGGTGAAAGACAAATACCATATGATCTCACCTGTAAGTGGAACCTAACCAACAAAACAAAGATGCAAGGAAAATAAGACCAGAGACATGGAAATAAAGAACAAACTGTCAGTGACCAGAGGGGAGGGGGAGGGAGATAATGGGGAAGGAAGGGGAACGGTTGTCAAGGAACACATATAAAGGACCCATGGACAAAGCCAAAGGGGGGTAGGACTGAGGGTGGGAGTTGAGGGTGAGTGTGGCAGGGAAGAGTAATGGGGGAGAATGGGGACAACTGTAATTGAACAACAATAATTTTTTTAAGTAGTGCTAATGAGACCTTCATATCAAGGAAAAGAAAAGGGATTACTAAGAAATGATATAGAACATACAAATGCAAGAGCTTGTGACATCTACCCTGAACGTTGTCAGAAGTTACTTTCAGAATGCCCCAAAACATCTTTCTATTCCTATTCAACCACTCTAACCTACTTTTGCTCAAACATCAGAATTTAAGATAAATAATAATCTCATATTCAATATCTATTTAGATTAACTTTGCTTCAGTGCATGATTTTGTCTCAATAGCATGATAAGGTGGAAAGCATGAGGGCTTCAGAGTCTAAGAGGCCAAGGCTGGAACTGCATGTCTACCACTTAGTTGCTATGTGTCTTGGTGCAAGTTGCTTAACCTTTCTGAACTTCAGTTTCCTCAACTATAAAATGGGAAGAAAACCTATTTTCATGGAGGTGATATAGGATTAAATAACAGGCATTAAATGTCTGGGTCATATCCTTAGCTTTTTAAAGTATTAGTTTGCTTTCTCAACTTTCCCTTATTTGAATTGCAATAGTTTTTGTTATTTTTCATTGCACATATCTGGCACATTATAGATTAAACAGACTTTTTCAAGTTACCCTGGAAATCTATCTATTATATTTATCAGGCAATATTGTTCTCAGTTCCAAACAATTCACTTACAAATGATCCACTGGTATACAATCCATTTGTAATTTGTGGATTGTATATATTTCCTCAAATAACAAAACATAAAGGCTTTATTGAAAGGTTTCATTAAATGTTCACTCTGTCATGAGTATTTACTCGGTTGAGAACCAATAGGCAGAATTAATGGTCCAACTATATGAGTATACTTATATATAATATATTATACAATAAATAATATATAATTAGGCTGATTCCACAGTTACACCTGTGGTCTCTGCTTTATCCTTTATATTTTCATTGATGATTCCTGATAGCTCTAAATATGTTTTCTTTATTATAAAGCATTTTTTCGTCACTATTATCAAGTGTTCAGAGCCCCAACTTTTAACCGAATTGTCTGCAATGAGGAAAGTGTGAAGATGTCAACTACCTTGTTAAATGTCACCCAGTGCGTGAAGAACTCTGGGATTATAACCAGTAACTACTAATATTTTCCCTCCTTTTCATTGAATTTAATGGAGTGACACTGACTCACAAAACCATGCAGTTTCAAGTGTATAACTCAACAAACATTATCTGCACACAGCATTGTGTACCCATCACCCAAAGCAAAGTAACTTTCCATTCCCATGTATCCCCCAAAACAACTGCCAATCTTAAGACTTTTATTTACATCTCTGGGATACAGTTTAGTTATTTGGGGGGGTTAGTATTATTAAGAGATTGATCTCGAATCACATTAACAAAAAATGTAGCTAGGCTTAGCCCTGGCCGGTGTGGCTCAGCTGGAGCATTGTCCTATACACCAAAAGTATTCAAGTTCAATTCTGGGTCAGGGCACATACCTAGGTTGTAGGTTTGATCTCCAGTCAGGGCACATAATGGAGGAAATCATTCAATGTTTCTCTCTACCATTGACGTTTCTCCCTCTCTCTCTCAAATCAATAAACATATCCTCACGTAAGGATTTAAAAAAAAGGTAGCTAGACTTAAGTGCTATGACGCATTAGAAGCAAGATACTAGGTATAAAACAGTAACATGGCTATATCTCAAAAAGAGTTTTTGAGATCAAAATAAAGGAAATGAAAATTATAACAGAATGCAATTAATATATATTAAAACTACATGTGCACAGAACATTAGTATACATTTATCAAGAACACACAAACTGAACAATATGCATCAAATAAATTAGAATGGTTGCTAGAAGGGTAGAAAGGAGGTAAGTGTGGAGAATGGGGATTAAAAAAAGGAATGAATGAAGGAGTGAAAGAATGAATGAACAAGAATAGGCTTCCCGGCACAGTATAGTGATTGAGAGCATGGACTGTGGAGCCATCTGACCAAATGAGTTAACAATATTTATAAACAATCAACAGCCCCTAGCACATAGTAAGCACTATGTTGGTTAAATTTTAAAAAAAATGATGGCAATAATAAATGCATAAAGTGAAGGCTCTGAAGAACTCAAATCTCTCCATCTGACTAACCTTAGGGACCTATCTCAGGGACCCTCCTTTGCACAGGAAAGGTCAAGTTAAAATACAGCACACAATCATTATAAACTACATTGTCAGGCCAGGGAATTGCAGCTTGATATGATGAAGCCAAGGCAACAGTACACTGACAGTGAGAGAGAAGTTGCTCCGCCATAGAGAGCACCTGCATTGACCCTCTCCACCAAGTGGAAGACTTTGAAACCAGTAACCCAACTTTTAACCTAACACAATGACCAGTAATGCTAGCAATTATCTGATTCTGGAATCTCGTGATAGGTAAGGAAGAGGAAGTATGCATAGTGTGGCTTAAGAAATAGCCTCACTTCTTTCTCTATGAGAAGCATCACCATTTTCCTAGTAACCCTAGTCTAAATCCTTGCAGGCATCACTGATTAATCTCTTTTATTACAGATACCAAGAATTACTGGGGAACCAAAGAAAAAATCAGACTCATTTTTTTTCCATCCAATGTCAGGTATTTATTTCCTGTATCTAGTAAGTCGTCAAGCCCATTTGTGTACCTTCTCCACAGTGAACACTGTAGTTTGAATTTTCATGATGTCATTACCTGAAACCAGTCCCTCCTTACTCTAATGTACTCTAGAAATATTCTGTTGGTGGGTCCATCATTGTGACAAATTAAAGGTAACATGAAAAGTCAACACAGCCCTGACCAGGTGGCTCAGTTGGTTGGAGCATCATTTCCACACACCAAAAGGTTCGATCCCTGGTTGAGGCAAATATGGGAGGCAACTGATCCATGTTTCTCTCTCTCTCTTTCTTTCTCTCTCTCTCTCCCCCTGACCCTTCCTCTCTAAAATCAATAAACATATCCTCAGGTGAGGATTAAAAAAATATTAAAAAGTTAATACAAACAAGAAACACTTAGATATTAACTAAGTCACCCCACAAGTGAACCAAATGGATTTGGGACAAGCACGTTTATGAAGGTCAAGTACCTTCCCAAGAAATAGGCATTCTTGGTTCTCAACCAGTTTTTATTAGACCCTTCAAGATTTGAGGGGCTAGGAGGTGGGTTACAAATATCAAAGGAGCAGCTGGGCATCTGTTATTTTAGAAAGTGAGAGTTTTGAAGAAGTTGTGACACTGCTCTGAGTTCAGAAGCTAACAGAGTAAATGGACAGTAGGAAGAAGTTGGAGTCCTGACCCTGGTCAGGAACCTTGTTAGGAAAAGCATGGAACTGGTGACCCTCTGGGAAGAGTGAAAAGCAGGGCCTGCTTATCTAGCAGCCTTCTGACACAAACACCTCTGGCCTGTCTCAGGACACTTTGCTCGTCCTCTTTATTACTGCTGATAAAAATGTCCTCACTTCTCAAATATATGAGGGGGACCCAGAAAAAAAACACAGTTTATTTATTAAAAAACTGTGTATTTATTCTTACATATTTAAACTTCAGTCACCTACAAAGTAGTCTGCATTTGATGCAATACACCTATCGAGACATTTTTTTTCCACTGCTCAAAACAGTATTTGAACTCATTGATATTGATGTCTTTTAGTGCTTCTGCCGTTTTCTGTTTCACCTCTTCCACATCGGCAAAACGTTTCCCTCTGAGGACTTTTTTCATCCAGGGAAACCAAAAAGAAGTCACTGGGGGCGAGATTGGGTGAATAGGGAGGGTGGGACACAAGGGTCATGCAATTTTGGTCCAAAACTGCTGAACACTCAGTGCAATGTGGTTAGATGCACTCATAAATCACCCATCATGAAATGAACAAACGCACTGAGTCTTCAAAAAAAATTCACTGAAGCTGAATGCAGCCTCTCACAACACCACCACCTGGTACACTGATACAGACGGTTCCCAGGGCACTCATCTAGCAGGAAAAACCAGTACTACAAGGGGCCTGCCCTCCAGAAGATAATTCAGGTTTTCTGGGGGGGGGGCAGGTCCCCCCTTTATACAACTATGAAAGAACATGCTCATGCAAAATAACTAAAATGATAGTTGTTGGGGAATCGAGGGTAAAAAGTTTCTCTCTTTCCCAAACTTTTCTCTAACAAATGCTATATTGCTTTTATAATTTAAAACTTGAAAGATAAAATTAATTCAGTGCCAAAAAATCGAGTTCACCAATTACAGACTCATATGAACTGGAAGTTCCTCTTTCAAAATGTCAGGCCCAGCTGGGAATATCATTGGACTGCCTGTGACTTCCTCAAACAATATTGCTCTCATTTTCACATCAAACTAGTATGTAGAACAGAATGGAAGTTTGGGTTATTGGAGAGAAGAAACTCATTTCAAAGGATAGGACAAGATAGGTGTGAACAGGATCCAGCTGTAGGTATGTTTGAATACCCAGGAAGGCAGGTGCTAGTGAATGGAGGAAGGACACAAAAAGGAAAGTGGGGATTCACTAAGCACATGTCCATTTTTAAATTACACTTAGGAAAATAAACTGTTTCCTCCTAGTCTCTTCTGTTATAAAGGCTCCCTGTTACCAAGACCAAGAAATCCACAGAATACCAGCAGTAAGAGTTCTCCTGGGGAAGCCAGGTCCCTTCTCATTATTTCCAACTGCCAAGCTCTGCTCTCCCTCCCTCATTTCAGGCAGAGAAGTTCTGCTTTACCTAACTTCTGTATTAGACTTCTACTTAAGATTTCATAGGTTAGAGAAATGGGTGGGGCAGGCGGGGAGGTGTCAAAAGGAAAAAAACTTCCAGTTATAAAATAACTTAAGTCCTAAGGATGTGAAGTATAGCATGGTGACTATAGTCAGTAATACTATAGTACATATTTAAAAGTTACTAACAGAGTAGATCTTAAAATTTCTCATCACAAGAAAAAATATTTAACTATGTGAGGTAATGGATGTTAACTATGATTATTTTGGTGATCATTTCACAATACATACAAATATCAAACCATTGCTGTACATGTGAAACTAATACAATGTTACATGTAAATTATACCTCAATTAAAGAAAGATTTTATTTAAACAAAGGGATGTGCCAGTAAAATATAAAAACGACTTATTTGAACTGAAAAAGTCCACAAACATGAAAATATGTGAAAGAATGTTGCATTATACAATTCAAATTGTCTTACTTTTAAAGAGTGCTTAAAACTGTACGATGGGTATCTCAGAGAGTCTTCCCCACTTTCAACACGTCTTTTACAAAAAACAATGGCCTTTTCATACAAGAAAAGGTGCCGCTGCATTGGTTTGAATCTAGCAAAATCCTTCATTTTAGTAGCACCTTTTTTGTGGCCAATCCAAACACTGAATGCACCCTGTATAATCATCTTGCCCAGATCATTTAAGTTTCCCTAGAATGGAAAATCAAAACTGATTAGCACAAGGCAGAGCTACATTCAGATTTCTGACATCAACACTGCAGCATTTAACTTGAACTACTAATACCCTGAAGCATAACTGATAAGTTATTAAAATTTAATCATAAATTTTTACATTAAAACATGACATGTGTCAAATAGTTACAAAATCACTATGGAGTGGGACATCTAAGAAGCTTCCTTTCCCCTGGCTTCATGTCTCCATGTGGAGGTAGTTGAGATAGGGTAACTCCCCACCTCTTTCTCGGTCCTGATTGGCAATGGGATCAACTAGTCCAAGCTTCCTCATTGGGTGGAGGAAACTCTTAAGATTTGATCTTTTTCTTCTATATCTATCCTGGACTAGGACAAGGAGCAATTCTAAGGCAATATATCTCGTTAGAAGACCTAAATATTCCTTCAAGTAGGATCAGCCAAGGTCTAGACTTATGACTAGGCTGTTACGGACAAGGGCAATGTCACAAATCCACTTGGCTAGTGATCTGAAGCCAATTCTCCACTTAGCATTATCAGTAATAATGCTGGCATTGAGGTCTATCTCCATTTGTCTGCTTCCTCTTATTTCTCAATTGGTTCCAGGAGAGGAAGATAGGGGTATGAACATGCTTACCCCTTAAAGCTCCAACAATCATTAAAATCTACTTACAATATAGCCATTTATTGCAATCTGATGCATAGAGTCATTAACTGACTTCAGTAAATCCAGCATTGTGTCAAGTGCCTCCTTTAATTGTTCATGTCCTTCACAGTCTTTGCTATATTTTAATAATTCCTGTAATTATAAGTCAATAATTAAACTTTTATAAATTAAAGAAGCAAATTGTAGGCACATATTAATAGCTGGAGAAAATGAATAAAGTTTTGGCCAACATGCTTTCAAGGAGGAATTCAAATTAATGTCACTTTTTGGAGGAGGTTTTTTAATATGTTATTTGGCACATTATTACTACATTTAATAACAATGTCAAAATTGGAGAAGAAACGGAATATTGACTAAACAGTGTAAAGCAAAGAACTTCAATGCCTTTGGAGCTGAAGAACAAAACTTTCAGGACATTCTAGAGATTAGTTTGTAAAGCAATTATAGATTTTTTTGGTCCTCTACATACAACAATTTGTTTTATTTATTATGCATAGACAATAGAACATTGTGAAAATACATTGTAAAACAAGCTATGCTGTATTCATAATTAACACAACATTTCACATTACACAAGGGATGTACCATCTTCACTTTCAATTGAGAAGACCCGTGTGAAATGTAGTTGCAAAACTCTTAAGAAATATTTGCTTGGTTCTTCTTAACAACAATAAAAGTTCTGCAGTAAATGTGATACATATGTCATTGTAACTTGTATGGATAATTAAATAGCTAAAAGGATGGCACATATTCTCAGCTTTATGTCTATGCCTCCAGTATTGGAATAGCCAGTGAATCAAAGGCTACACTGCATCGATCCTACTGCAAAATCTAGCTTTCACAGTCATTGAGTCTACCTATTTCTATTGCTTCCTAGTCAGCTACTTCATTTTTAATGGCTTTGGCACATCTGACCAAAGAAGTAAGTAAAGAAGCAAATGTTTAACGTACTTACTTTCAACAGTAACTGATATTTAGTGAGTCGTTGCACTGGTTTGAGTAAATAAGAATCCAGGCCAAGTCTGTGTTTTAATTTTCTTTGGCATTCCTGTCATTAAAATATAATTATAAATGAATTTAAATTAACACATATACCTGTGAAAATGCCAAGTGATTAGACCCAATGCATGCTGATTTCTTAACTCACAAGGCAAATTCACCAGAAAATCGCTGTTATATATGGTATGGTCATTAGAGGCAGAAAATTCTGAAATTTCAAAGGCTACGTTTTACATATAAATTCACATTGATGTGGAATGTTTAAAAAGTGAGAAAACAATGAGTGACCATAGATGAACATTGCTCAAATGTTTTTCAGTATATCCAAGAAAATTAACAAAAGGCTCAGCTCCATAGGCCAAGGCCCAGAAAAGAAATAGGCTTTACTGAATGTAAGTCAGACTGGGCATGAGAAGAGTTTTTTTTCTTTTTTTTAATATCACAAGAAAAATACAGTCCTCATCAACTGGTGCTGTATTTCATTTAATTATTGCCTCACTGCCACTACAAATATAAGGGTCATGACTTTGGGTCCTGGGAACATTGTAGGATCCATAATAAGGACCAGATGGGGGCTGGATAGGATGAAGAACTGCAGAACACAAAAAGAGTGAGAGAGATTATACCTATGTAAGATCCAGGACCCCCTTTTGGATATGGATAAAATCCAATATATAACCTAACTCAAAAAATTATCAACTGACAGAGATGGTGGATAGATGCATGCATTTACCTCTCCTCACTCATTAAATCCAACGAAAATGATAGAGAAGTTATTTTTACAAGGCAAAATCCAAGTTACAAAGATGGGAGAGGAAAAAACATTGACAAAATTTGGAAACTGGGAACCAAACTGACAAGTGTTAAACAACTGAGCATATAAGAGAAAGTGAAGCGGAAGTTGACAGAGGGAAAACTCAGGGAGCAACTCAGTTTATGATATAGAACACTTTTCCCATCTCCACAATGAATTACAGACACCAACTACCTCTGAAAGTGGGAGGTGAGGGCAGGGTTTGAAAAAAGATGGTTGTTGAAAGTCTGTTTAAGAAGTAATTAAATACGCCCTGACCAGCATGGCTCAGTTGGTTGAGCGTCATCCAGAAAAGCAAAAGGTCTCCAGTTTGATTCTGGTCTTCGCACAGGCCTGATTGGGGCATGTGCGAGAAGCAACCAATCGAAATTTCTCTCACACATCTATGTTTCTCTCCCCCTCTTTCTCCCTCTCTTCCCCTCTAAAAAAATATTTTTAAAAAAAAAGAAGTAATTAGATACTAGCAAGTGTTGGTAAGAGTGTGAAGCAATTGGTACCCTCATACGCTGTTGGGAGGAATGTAAAATGGTGCAGTAACTTTGGAAAACAATCCAACAGTTCTTCCAAAATTAGAGTTACCATATGACCCAGCAATATCACACTCAGTTATATGACCAAGAAAGATGAAAATATATGTCCACACAAAAACTTGTACACAAGAGGTGGAAACAACCCAAATATTCATCAGCTGATGAATAATAAAATAGGGAGTATCCATACAATGGAATATTATTTAACCATAAAATGAAATGAAGTACTGATACATGCTACAATGCGGATGAACCTCAAAAACATTATGCTGAATAAACAAAGCCAAACACAAAAGACCACATATTTCATTATTGCATTTATATGAAATGTTCAGAATAGGCAATTCTATAGAAAGTAGATTAGTGACTGCAGAGGACTGTGGGTATTGGAGGAAAATAGGAAGTGACTGCTAAAAAGTTATAGGGATGTTTTGTGGACTGATGAAACAGCTTGCGATATATCACCCAACAGTGAGGGCCATGGTCAATAAACCCACATATACACAGGAAACTTCCAATGAGCTTTTTAGTGCATAGTCTAATGTAAGGGGACAAACAAGTATAATCAGACTTTGAGGAAAGTATCTAACATGAATAATAGAAATGAAGTGAAGGAAAAGAAAAGCAAGCTGAATACAACAGAACCTATGCAGAGAGGATAAAACTATTTTTAAAAGAAAAATCTATTATTATTATCCTCCTATATATATAAGTGAAAAAAAATGAATCAAAAACTGAGTTCTATTAAAAGAAACATTGAGAGAACAAAGAAAGAGTAGAGGGTCTTCAAAATTAAAAAACATAATGGCAGAAACAGAACCCTTAGTACAAGCACTGGAAAGACAATTCCAGAAGCAAGTCTAGAGCAAAAAGACAAAGAACTAAAAAAATGGAAAGAAAAGATTATCCAATATCTGTACAACAGATATTCCAGGAAGAGAGAACTGAGAAAATTGTGTGGAGAGAACCCAGGAAAAAATCCAAGTAAATTTGGATAAGAGGTTCCAAATTCAAAGGGATCATCACAAGACCAGCATAATGGATGAAAATAGTGCTAACATTATGGCATAGCACTGTGAAATTTCAGAACCTTGAGAATAAAAGAAATTCCCACAAGCTTTTAGAAAAGGACAAAAATCAGGTCACATGCAGGAACAAAAATCACAATGGCATCAAATTTTGAAACAGCAACATTGGAAGCTAGAAGACAATGGGGCACTTGCCTTTAAAATTCTAAGGAAAACTATTTCGACACAGAATGCTATACCTAGCCAACCTAGCAATCAAGGGTTAGGGCAGAATAAAAGCCCTTATCTGCCATGCACACTTTCTCAGTAAAACTATTGGCGAATGTGTTCCACCAATCAAGTGATTAAAAGGAAGACAAAGACAGGGCACCTAGGAAATAGAGCCTATGCAAGACACAGGTGAACAGAATCCGCAAAATGATATTCACCAACATCCCAAGAGGACAGCTGCATGACAAGTCTAGTGAGTCTAGACAAGTAGGCCGGAAGACTCCAAAAGAGATTTATTCAAAATGAAATTCAGTTTAAATTCACTGAGAAAAGATTCATATAACGCTTACACTGGGAAAGTCTGGGGTAGAATATGGATAAGTACCTAGAAGATTAAGTGAGTAAAGAAAACAATTGCAAGAAGAACAAAGACAAAGGAAAAACAACCAACTTATGGCACATAATTCATCTAAGCATAGAAATCACAGGGTCTTAATAATTTAACACCGTATACCATCCTAACCAAAATTATGATATAACTATAGTCCATGATTTGGAGGAAAAAAGCATGTATATGGGTGTGGAGGGGCAGATGGGAGTAGTGAAAGAGAGCTAACTCCTCATCTTCCATAGTGGGAAGTAGCAATATAAGCATGATATTGCAGATATGGAGGCAAGTACCAAAAGAAGTAGCAAAAATTGCTGAAAGTGGTTGCCTCTGGGGAGCAGCGTAAATGTGGGCGTGCGCGCGCGCGTGTGTGTGTGTGTATGTTTTGGGGAGGGAAAAACTGCTCTTCAATCAATATATGCATATGTGGATTAGAGTACTTAAAGTAGAAATTGAATTTATAAATAAGAAATATCCCAGTATCTTCCAGAAAGAGTATATCCAAAACCTGAAAAATTACTATACCTGGAAAAAGGCGCATTCTGAATACTTCTTCCAAACTGCCTCTGATCTGGGCTTATTCTGACAATACTTTGCATACATCTGAAAATCAGCTTTCTGTGATAAAAGCAAATTCAAACATATTACCAATGTGTGACCATGTACTTTTCTTATCAAGAAAGGCTGAGCAAGAGTGAGTGTGGCTAAGCACTACAGGGAATGCGGCCGAAAGGGCTGCCACATAGGCAGCAGGTCAGGAAGCCACTTTGTAGTCCAAGAACAGCATGCCCATCGGTCCAGGTAGATGGACACATAATTATCCCAGTGACTTCACAGCTTCCACTTACCAAGTTTGAGAGTTAGAGGGAGAAAAACCTTCTCTGCATGTACTATAAAAGCAGACTCATTTTTTCACAACTGTGAGCTAACAGGGTACCAAGAAATATGCTCTTCCTATGCTGTTAGTCGCCCGATTCCCTGGTGAGTGAACTCGTAGCTAACTTGCAAGGCCCTTGGTTTATCATTAGGACATCACCATTGTACCATAACCCACTAGGTATCTGCTCATGCTATACTCTCTCCCTGGAATCATCTTTATTTGACCCTTATCTAATGAGCTGCCTCCTACTCGCTCTTTAACATTCATATCATGAGTCATGTCTTCTATAAAGCTGTCATTTATAACTCCAGTCTATGTAAGATGCACCTCTTCTTGGCCCCTGTATGTCCCTTTGTATATCTCTAACATAGCACAACTCACAGTGTATACAATGAATTCCCTGTTTTTCCTCCATGAATAGTCTTGGGCTTGGTACCCACATAGCCTAGTACAGTGCTTGGCACTTAGGAGGCTCTCAGTAGATGGTTGTTAAATGAATGAACATATCAAAAGGCATTAATTAAACTAATACTGGTTGCCAAGAACTCTGCTAACCTTATGAGAGGTACAAAGATATACAGGATATGGACCCTGCCTCAAAGTGTTTTCCATCAAGTTGGAGTTTGAATGCATGTAAAGATGCATAGTAAATGAAAAATCCCCAGTGAGTAGCACAGTCAATAAGTCCTACAGGAGTCCAAAGGAAGGAGAGACTGCTGTCGCTTAGGGAAGAATTTGGACATAGTTTAAACGTGTTTAAAATTAGGATATGTAGAGAAAGGTAACAACATAAATTACTTTCTTAACCGTATTATTTTCTCAGTCCATAAACACTTTCTGAGATATCTATTAGGAAGCTTTCAATAATCACTCTATCCAATTGACTCTCAAATTAAGACAGAACTGTTATTGCAGGAACAGGAGGAACTAGATAAACAGAGAACATCCTGAGAGGAAACTCCAATGGAGGAGAGTATGACTACAAAACTTGGGAACTCAATCATATTAACTACACTCCTGGGACATGGAGAAATGAGCCTCTCTGAGTGATCTCATAGAATAAAAATAACAGGCAGCTCTCTGTTTTTGCAAAGTTCCTGTGATAGATGCCTTGGGTCTGAATGCCAGATTACATTTGATTCTACTAAGACTTCACATGTATTTGAGGGAAACTCCAAGGCATCTCTTAAGCTAAAAATTAACCAAGCCAAGAATGGTTGTGTGAAGATGATCCCAACTCTCACATCGTCATAGAGAGGATGGTCCTTAAACTCCTGGGATCACCCAGGGGTCAGTGGTCACAAGCTGAGCCATTGAAGCATTTGCTAGCACAGAACACAATGGCCATTTGCATGCTCTTGATACCCCATTGCACCAGATTCTGTAACAAAACCTAGTTTAGCATTAAATACTTGCTGGAGTGATGTGTCTCCTCTAAAAACATAAAGACATAAAAAACAATACCTACCTTGTCTCTAAATCTGTTCTTATAAAATGAGCTGCTATTTTGGTGGTCCATATTTACATATTTTTAAATAATAATTGAACTAACCCTTTCCAGGAAACAAAGTCCCACTCTTTCTGGAGCATCAGTGCAATTTTCCAGACTGCTCATGAAAAAGCTATGAAAATTTCAGAGAAAGAAAAGAATATATTTTTATGTGAGATAAATTGGTCAATTGCCCTTTAAATAATATCATGAAAAAATCAATTTAGCAATTACATACTTGTTATGGAATTCATATATTTCTGCCATATTTCCAAAAAGAATATCCTTTTTATTTCTCAGGAGAGGTGGCATAAGATCAAACATCTCTGGATTATCCATCTCCTCTCTATAGCCCTACCCAAAATAAATACATTTATTCAGTTAAAAATATTCACATTAACAGTTGGTTGAGCCACCAAAGGTGGAGGTACAGCAAAATGTATAGGGGATTAGTGGGTGAAACTGTATGTAATTTTTTACATTCAAGGCTTCTAGTTCCCAAATTGATCCATTATCATTTTTTTTTTTTTTAGAAAGTAGGACAAGGAAGTGAAGGTTTTCCACTCAATGGGTAGAACAAAGTGACAGCTCTATGGCTTTTACAGTAGTTTATAGAGTAGGAAACAAAATAGAAACCAAGTATGAAAAATTATATTGCACCTGGTTGGTGTGGCTCAGTGGATTGAGCGCCAGCCTGCAAACCAAAGGGTCGCTGGATTGATTCCCGGACAGGGCACATGCCTGGGTTACGGGCCAGGTCCCCAGTAGGGGGCACACGAGAGACAACCACACATTGATATTTCTCTCCCTCTTTTTCTCCCTCCCTTCTCCTCTCTCTAAAATTAAATAAGTAAAATATTTTTAAAAAATTATATTACAGATCATCAAGAAGTGTTTAGGTGTTTTTGGACCAAATTCATACTATGACATTTGTATGAAATTAATGTTGTTCTCCCATTTTTGATTCTTTACATCACATTCTCTACATAGCACCATGGGAATAATTTGAGCAATCTGCTATATCCCTAAAAGAACAGCTTCTTCCTTCTGTAATAAATTGTGAATCCCCAATTCTCATTCCTGAGAGAGAACCTGAATACACAGATCTGACAAACGTGCAGCCTCACACCATAATAGAAATACCCACTGCTGCCATGTGACCATGAAGGAAGGGTACAGAAGGAGAAGACTGCCCTGAACACTTCCTAACAGATGTAGCAGGGAGCATTCTGGAAAAGAAGGGAAAAAACAGTGAGTCTCTTACCAACAAAACAGTAAACAGCTCACAAACATACACCTTCTCGGTCTGTATCAGCTCATTCAGGACATGGCTAAAATGAAAAAAACATATATATCAATTATTTTATCACTTTAGAATTGTATCATAATGTTTCAGTTATTATCACTATAAGCTGTCTAATGTAAAACCTGTTTACTCACAGGAACTACCAATGGTTTTAGTTTTATTATCAAAACATAAAATTAATTCTATGTTTCCAGAATAAATACCAACCACAAGATTCTAAAATATATTTAAAAGAAATGGGAGTGGGGCACATAAATTATTTTTAAATTAAAAAAACTTTATTTCTAGCTCACTAAGCTTCAGAATCAATTCACTAAATCCTCACAATCTCTACTACTAAAAATCTGGAAATAGTTTTTTGGGGGGCAGCACAGTTTCTGAGTTATCATTCCCTCCCTATCTCTCCCTCCCTCAAAAGAAATATTAGCATTTTAGGAATAATTTTTCCCTTTTTTGAGTAATGTTCTGAAATTTTCTAAGACATTAAAAGGATTGATCATTGTGGTTTTCCCAAGAATAAATCATACTAAAGTTTCTATAGTAATTTTGATTACTGTCTCCATAAAATAAATTTTCCTTCCAATGTCATTTCCAATTGACATCATATTTATAATTCATTACCTCATTCCCCTAAAAAAGTAACTCTCAATTTAATTTCTTTCTTTGGCCTCTTTTTTTTATGATTTTTACCCTTTAAGCATTAACATTTAATAATCATACACATACACATACACACATACACACACACACACGGTGGGGCAAATGTAGGCTTACAGCTGTGAGTTCATGAAACACAGTTTATTCTTGTATTAACTTATTAATTGTATTATTTTCCATACAAACAACTGTACATCTACTTTTTCCCCACCTTGTATATGTCCATATACACCTTGCCCTAAAATACTGGCTACTTACAGCTCTATGATATAAAAGTTAAAAGGTGGACATACTTATGTCTGGATTTTAACAAAATATTATAAAAATGAAGAAAACAGTAATTATTAATATTTATAAAATAACATTGTACATATACATAATCCTTTGTAGTTGTTGGAACACTGTCCCATTCACTCGGACCTCTTTTACATAAGAGGAAACTAAGACTCTGAAAAGGTCTAGTTAATTTTCAAGTCACATAAACTGAGCATAGATTGGCCAGGCCTAAATCCAAGACTTATGATATCTCATCTAGTGCTCTTTTCATCACACTCCGCATAACCCCATACTGTGAAATCAAAACCCCGAGTATGTCAGCCTTGAACACTGAATTGGTGACTGCTACTGGTAGATTGTATATGAATGTCTGTTAATAAATAAAAGATACTTCTTTAAAATATCCAAGCTATTGTTATTGTCCAAACTGGAGGATTGACCAGAACTTGTCTTCTCCAGACAATCATGCACCACTTCAATCTGAAATGATGAAAATAACTTAAATTAGCATCTAAGTAGGTATAGTTCTCCTTCAAGGAAATCAAGTTCAAATTAATTTTTTCTCTAACTTTGTAGATAAATTGAAAAGTATGACTATTATTCTTTCAGACATAACTGATAAGCACTGGTAAAAAATGTTTTGAGTTGCCTAAGAGAACAGATTTAACATACTAACTAGAATTTATTTTATATATTAAGTCATGTTTCATCATTTGGCACTTCGGGAAAATAAGGCTAATTCAAAAAACAAAGCTGATTGTGCAAATAACTAAAGTTTATTCACTGAAGAATCAAAATGACTTTTTAACCTTAATGACCTTTGATGGAAACTTTTCTAGAAAATATTACATGAATCCTTGAATTCTTTAACCAAGGATGCAGAACATCATTGGCCCCTTTCCCACTGACTCAGTGGCATTAATCCTAAACATGAATGACATGATAAAATCTAATTGTAGACTCCAGGGCTAGTAAGATGTGCAGAAGTGTCTGTTTCTTGGAGTGGCTGTAACCTGTTCATCTATCTCTGTTCCCTGCCACATGTCAGTTTTTGCCACAAGTGATCTCCCTGATCCTCAACTGCTACCTTATATGCAAACTCTATGGGACTCGGTCTGTCTTACTGAGTCAACTGCATGAGATTTATCACAAAATGAGGTTATTTGCTCTTCAGAAGCATCTAAAGTATTCCTGGGATCCTGGTTTCATTGGACAGCTGAGATGTGTGAGAAAGCCTAACCTCCAAGTAAACGTAGCATTACTTTGCAGCAACTAGAACCCAAAATGAAGTATGGGATCTATCAGCTACAAAGCATTTCCACAGAATATGACCTACTTATTACAAATGCAGGTGGAGAAGACCGAACATTTATTGACTACTTTATGTACAATACATTATGCAGGCATAGTCCTAGCTGTTTAACACACATCATTATATCAAATCTCCACCGCAATTTAGCAAGCTATGGCATACTTATCCCCATTCTACAGATGGGAAAACCGAGGCTGAGAGGTTTAGCAAGAGGGCCAAGGCTGCATACCTAGTAAATGATGAAACAGAGTCAAGTCTATGGTCTGCCACCAATATCATGCTCCCTCTTTAAGAATGTGCTTTGACTTATGTCTGCTCAATGTACCAACTGTTATCGTTTTAATACTGTAATTAAGACTGACAATACTGCATACTGCACTTATCAGATAGGTATACATCATTTAGTCCCAAAGGGTTTCTAAAATACAAGTTGGGAGAGTTCTGAAACACAAATTTATATATGTAAATATGTATGTAAATATGTAAATCTTTTAAATATGTAAAGATTGTGCAAATCGACTTGAATTGGAATAATGTGTGCATTCTGGAACCAGGCCCACCAGCTATAAATCTCACCGAGAAAAAGTACAGAGCCACAGCTTCCCATTTTTTTCTGGGAGATATGCAAATGAATACACAGAGCAGAATGTTATGGTAGTTGTGAGTTAAAACTAGAACCAAAAGACATGTAAAACTATGGAGTTTGGCATTCAGCCTGTTTCCTTCTTGAAACCAGAATTTGTGGCTGTAAAACATGATAACCAGGCATGGTATGTCAGTATAGGCCATTCACTAACCTGCTGATAACTGCATAAAACCCTTAGAACACTACCATATGGACCATATGCCACACATTATTCAAAGTACTTCACAAATATCCGACTACTTTATCTTTAGACTAATTCCATGATGAGGGGTATTCTATTATTATTCCCATTTTATAGATAAGGAAACTGAGTTCCAGAGAACTTACCCAATGTTATACAGCCAGGGAGTGATGGAGCTGGGATTAATAAACCAGGCAGACCAGCTCTACAATCTGTATTACTATGACAAACTGCCTCTTAGAGATAGATTCTTGTCCTTATTTACCATCAAGAATACACAAAGAAAATATAGGGTGTTGCAGTTATGATGAGGCTACTCTCTGCAGGTACCAGAATATCATGAATAACAGAAAGGGAACTGTGCATTTATTAAGAAATGCATAAATGCCTTTTTTGAGGCCAAAGTATGGTCCGTTAGAACTTGTCCTTTGTCCATGCTTCATGCTTGCAGGACTAGACTGCTTATGAAAGAGGTCTTTTATAACGACAGGCAACCCTTATTTAGGTTTATTGAGGTGAGGTCGGGGGAAGAGATGCTGGAACTTACATGAGATATTCTACAGAAATTATTCTGAACTTGACCCAAGACTTGAGAAACTGCTCATACATCTGGGGATATGCCAGGACTGCAATTAGACACAATGCAATAGCAGCTTTTTCTTTCAGATGAAATAGGCTTTGAAATGCACAATACTGGTTGATTAAATTAAAATATGGTTTAATTTCCCATACAAATTCTGCAACCACAGCAATAAAGCCAACTTTGAATTAATTAATGATATTTACTTTTAAGTTCCTCTGACTTTGTTTCCAACTCTTCTTCCCTGGGAGAGAAATGCGAAAGAAGAATTTCAGACCAGAATGAAAATCAACACTTTTAATAAAAATACATGAATGTTTGCTAAATAGAGAGATAGTAAGATTACAATGTCTTTATACTATTAGTATTTTTTAGATCACACTACGCAAAACAGTTGACTGGTTAAACTTAAGAATATGATCTCAACTTCTTATTGAGTATGATTTTGCCATGTATTAACCCAATCTCTCCCTCATCAAACATTTGCTTGATTGCCAAGCAAGCATGAAGTGAGGTGTTACTACTCATAATTTATTTGCAAATTTAGTGTTCATTTTGACACACAAGCATTTAATCATATTGCACATATTTTCTTTTCCTCCTTCACAGGACCCATGGCAAGGCATACTCGGGGAAAGGCTATGCTTTTGTTTTCTGAATTTTATACTTCACTTTCATTATTTAAAATATATTTCATTTATAGTTTTATATGTATATAATAATGTATAAATATAAATTAGGCTTACTGGAAATTATGATATAAAATCAATTTCTCAATAATTTCCTATGCCCACCACTTTAAAGCCACCTGATATAGAGATCTGAACTGATTAGCTGGGTCAGAAAGAGTTTTGAAAAAAAATCTAAATTTAACTAATAATTATAGCGTTTATTTGGCACTTACAACATGCTGGCACTCTTCTAAACACTACACATGCATTTTCTTTTTTAATCCTCAAATTACTCTAAGAGATAAGTACTACTTCTATCCCTGTTTTAAAGATAAATAAGTTAAGGTTAATATCTTGGCCCAAAAGCAGAGGTGGTATTCAAATTCAAACCATCTACTGTCAGAATCTGTGTTTCTAACTACGATATAAAACAACATTTGTGAAGCATGTTAAAATGCTAAAACAAAACAAAACTAAAAACAACTTCATCAACATTCCAAGCTTTAATCTTTCTGTTCTTCCTGTTTAATCTTTTCTTTTTTTTTCTGTTTAATCTTTCTCTTCTGTTTAAAAAGGGTGAGCCCCTATATTGTTAAGCGAGGAGTCCAGATGTTCCGACAAAGCCCAGGGCATGGTCCACTCAAAGACTAGGTCGTTTAAGCTCCTAATTCTCAGGGCTGCTGAAAAGGCTGCCACCCACACAGGCTGCGTGGATCTCTCCTCTCCATGGAAGAAACATCGTTTTTGTCTTTTCCTCCTCAGCAGGAGCTATTGCAAGGCACACTCAAGGAAAGGCTATGCAGTTATGTTCTCTAAATTTTATACTTGACTTTCACTTATTTAAAATATATTTTATGTGTACATAATCATATACATATAAATATAAACCAGACTTACTGGCAATTATCATATAAAATCAAATTCTCAATAAATCCTGATGTCCACCCCTTCAAAAGCACGTGATATAGAGATCTGAACTGATTTATAAAGGTAACTTAGGGAGCTTCACTAATTAGCTGTACTAATTAATTATTGGCAAATGCATTAAGAGATGAAAAAGGAATATTGACGACTTACGAGGAATGCAACTTTTTCTGAAAAGCAAGATAGATGAATTCATTCTTTTAACAATGAAAATATGTATATAAAAGTATTGAGTGCCTATACTATACGCCAAGCTCCATGTTTGGTGCTAGGCATACAAACATGAATTGCACACAGCCCCTGACCTTACAGAGGTAACAGTCTATCAAGAGAAACACAAAACAGGCAGTAACACTAAAGCTGAGAAGAAATGAAGGGAGGACCCGTTATCACATAGCTTGAATATCTAATTGAACTGGGTACAGGGGAGGAGAGGCAGGAAGGAAAGGCTTATCTAAAGGGGAACGGGAGAAGGACGGGAACAGTGTTCCTCAGAGAGAACAGTATGTGTGAAGTCCAAACACAAGATAACTAAGGGCATCTCAGAAGGGAAACAGGGAGACTGCTGCAGTTGTCAAGGCAATAGATGATATAGATTAGCTTGGATTAGGTAAGTGGCAGTGAGAAACAGCAGTAAAAATGGAAAGCAGTGGACTTTTTGGACTGATTAGAGGTGGGGTATGAGTGTCAAGGTGGAGCCAAGGGCCTGGGAATCAAGGTGCTAATTCACTGGGATGCGGAACATAGGAAGAGCAGTAGGCTTGCAGCAGAGAAGGAATCAGTTTGCGGTGTACCGAGTCTGAGTTGTCCACAGGAAGTTCAAGGATGCAAATTGTAAATGCGGGATTAAAGATTAGGAGAAAGATCGAGACCACAGGTACAGATTCAATAGCTCAAACCACATTTTACCCCTCATGGATGATGTTCTTCCCTAACTTCCCTCAGTATTAAATGTTAATTCAACAAGTATTTATTACATCCTGCTAGGTGCAAGCAGGCACTATGCTAGGTACAGGATTCTATTTGATGCAAATTAATAAAAATTAAAAAGAGCCCTGCCTGGTGTGGCTCAGAGGATTGAGTGCTGGCCTGAGAATCAAAGGGTCACCGGTTCAATTCCCAGTCAGGGCACATGCCTGGGTTGCCGGCCAGGCCCCCAGTAGGGGGCACTTGAGAGGCAGGCACACAATGATGTTTCTCTCCATCTTTTTCTCCCTTCCTTCCCCTCTCTCTAAAAATAAATAAATAAAACCTTCCTTAAAAAACTAAAAACAAAGAACAAGAACAGTCTGACTTGTTTTATGAAACATTAACACCTATGTTTTGATTTGACTGAAACTTCTGTATCTGGCTCAGTAATTAAAACTCTTGAAGAATTATTTGGAACTGATTCTTATAATCCCCATTATATAACTCACAGAACAATCAGGTAAAATGAACAATGTTTGTAGCAAAAATAATGCTTTGATTTAATTTATAAACCATGATGGACGATGAATAAAATCATTTATCTAACCATGTCATTTATTCACTAAGCTGCCCTCTTCCTCATAAATACATTAGGCAGTCTTAAATTGCAGAAAATCTAAACTACTCCCAACAAACAGTTTTATTCTGGATGACACAGGGGTCTATAAAATGAAAGAAAGCTTGATTTATTTTAGCATTGCTAACTGTTTCCCTTGTTTTCTTTTTATGAGTGGTCATTTGATGAAAGAGCATAATCTACATTTTATATAATCATTTGCCAAGGCTAAGTTTAATACAGAGAGAATAATCAGTGGTTATTATGAAAAAGAAAGTTTATTGTAGGCGAAACACAAGAATGAATGCTGCTGGTTTTAGAAGCCAAACCGGTGTTTCATGTACACAAATTGAGAAGAATGTACTGATGAAAAGTAATAAAGATGGGTTCTTTTCGGAAAAAAGCTTACATGCTTGAAAGAAAGAGCATCCAACTCCCACTGCAGAAAGAAAGTGTAACACCATTATCTAAGAATATCAGACAGAAAAAAAATGCAACAACACAGAACAGAATACACTTTTAGCAATTAAATCGGTAAGTGGGATTTGGAGAGTCTTTTCAGAACCCTGTTCCTCAATCGTAGGTGTGCCACTGCCGGAAGCCTTTCAAGGAGCCCGACTGTTTAGAGGACTACAAAGCAAGAAGCCCTACTCAGAAGGATAGTCTGGTTTACTGAGTACTTCTTATATTCTACAGTTTTTTCACAAGAACTCTTTGAAGTCAGTAGGTGTTAATGTTCCTATTTTACAGAGAAGGAAACTGAGGCTAAAAGAGGTTAAGTGAACTGCCAAGGTCACATAGCCAGTAAATGAAGGCAGAAGTCTGAGATCTTAGGAATATCAATCTGTTCTGTTTTTATTCTCAATAGTTATTGGTTTTTAGCCCCTTATTGTTTTTTTCTTTGTTCTTTTTACTTTTCCCCAGTATCATCTTAGTCAATGTTCTTCATTTATGGGATTGTTTATAGTTTTATTTGTGAATATATTTTTATATTTAATAACTACTATTTATATAACTTGGATCATCTTAGCCTAGCTACCTGCTTTGCTCACTCCTTTTTATTCTGATCTATGCTGCAGCTGAGCTGGACTTTTATACTCATTACACCTGGCTCAACCTTTCTATGAATTTCCAAATAGTTCCCATATATTAATAAAGCCTCTGATTCTCTCAGATCAGAGAGACCAAATTTAGTTCCATGTTCACTCAACTTACTTAAGGCTCCAAAGCCAAATCTCTCCCCCCACCAACAGGCCCTAGAGGCAGCTCAAGGTAAACCTTGGAGCAATAGAGTCACCTCATTTCCAGACTAGTTCAACATCACAGTGAGGATAATTATTTTATCCCACAGAACATAGAAAGGAAAATGTATATTACATGATTAAAATGAGTCAATGAAGACTAAGACCAGAAAACAGACTCGGTCACAGGTAATTACCAGCAAAATTATTCTACTTACTGTCACCTATTTAGAAAAGGCAATCCATTCTATTACCTAAGCCCTTCACTTACTATAAGCTTATAAGAACCAAGTTATAGTTTATCGAGGTAAGTAGTAAATAACTATGCATGAGTGTGTGCAGGCACACATGTGTACCAGTTTCATATGCCTTCCTCCACCGGCTGAAAAAAAGCATGAATTTGATGCTGGGACAAATGTTCACACTCACTGCAAGGCTGGAGTATTTGGTGCAGCTCTGCATCATCCTGTGCTACATCAGATCATTACTGTGGTGCTGTTGTACAACAGTGTCGACCACAACTCCTGCCTTGTGCAATATTACTAAACATGATCAAAGATGCTGAAATAACATTGCAATCTATCAGGACTGAAGAACAAATTCAGTATTTATATCAAGAACAACAAAGTAAATAAGAACAGAAAAAGAAGAACTGGAAAAGGTGAACATAAGCTTCTTTACCAGGTTTAGGTAAAGTAAATGGTGTTTTCAATCTGATCACTTTGTTGGAAGCAGATGCCACAAGCTGGATTGGCCTCACACACTTATCCTCCGGGTTCTTGAAACCAGCTTGCTGGTTCTCAAATATACTTCGAATGCTTTCAAGCTTGAGTTGTATAGTCTGCATTTGAACCTACAGTCATAAGAATTTTATGAAATATTTTCTGAAATGGGGTCATTACAAATCTTAATCGATTTCTCAGACTCAATCACAATTTAATGTAGAGTTTAAAATATAACTAGAAGAAATTTAAGAAAGTAATGGAAAACAGATTAATGTATTATCTCCACATGGTTATAAAACCAGAAGATCTCAACCACAACAAATAAAAGAAGAAATTCATTAAGCAGTCATGAAATAGGTCACTGCATAAAGTGGTTTACCCTTCATAGGCTGGAAGGGATATTGTCTGGAAAAGAAGGCCTGTTTAGCTTGAGAAAGTCACCAAGTTAAGCATTGTCTCAATAGTTTGTTTTAGCCTACAGGACATTCTTTAGTCTCCATGTTGTAAAAGGCTCCTCCGGACCACTGATAAAAGATATAACCCTTCTGCCTCTCTTAGATGATTTGAGGCAGTTAGCTAAGCTTGGTGGCTTCCAGCGAATGACTGGGTTATTGCCACAGCCAGCCTTCTGATGTTGGGGGGCATGCCCTAAGAACTGCAGCTAAAGATGGATTTAGATACTGCTTCAAACTTCAAGTCAATTAGACATTTTTAACAGCAAATAGCATCACAAACGCACTTATCTACAATGTGAAAACAGTGCTTCCTGACATTTCCAATGGGGCGGTGCCGGACAAACCTATAGCTCTCCACCCTGCCAAAAGCAATTTCTGCCTGCTCCCCCCACACCTACAAGACTCAGATGTTTTCTTTAAACCTTCCTTCTCAAACTGAGCAGAAAAGCAAGATTTGTATCCACAGAGCATCTATTTGTGGCCACTGCAGCACAAAGAAAATACGTTTAGGGTAGGGCGTTCTTAGCATGGGCCCAGTATTCTCCTGTGACAGCTTTGGACCCTTCTCCAAAGATGCTCAAGAAAATGTATGTGGAAGCTCCCAGTATATGAAGAGAGTTTAAAAATAATGGAGTCAGAGCTCAAAAAGGATATTGGCCTTTATTAAATAGCAAGAATAAGCCTTTGAACTTTTTGGTGCTTAACAGTGGCACTGATATCACCCTTAATCCTTAAGAGAGCTATATAATTGCAATTTGAAACAAAGGTAGCTGTGAAGTAACAAACTCTTATAAACACTACTGTACTTATAGTTTTTAAAAACGTGTTTGCTTAAAAAGAAGCTTCTTACCTTGAGTTCAGGAGATAAAATTACATCAAATTCATACTGTAGGGTTTTCGGATCACAATTTATAAAGGGCAGAGCCGTTTCAAGAAAATGTTCAATATCTTGGCGGGTTTTCTGAGCATCTTCCTTAGACTGAAACTTATCTACATCCTGATTAGCTAGAATATATTCTCCTTCATCACAGCACTGACGAGCCTGGTGAGACAACACACACACACACCCATGAGTGAATGAAAAACAAATATGTTTGTCCCTTAAGACAGTATTTATCAGTCCTGGCTTCTGTCAATCAGAGCTGCTTTCAGAGCTATTAAAAAACAAAGATATCTGGGTTGAGCCCCCAGAAATTCTGATTCAGTGGCTCACGATCATAAGCTGAGCATTTGTATGTTTATAGAGTTTTAAAGGTATTTCTGATGCACAGCCAAGGTTGGGAAGCTCTGCACTCATTTCATAATAAGGAAATCATTCTGCAGCAGCAGTCTGACCATTTTCTCAATAGTAACACTTGAGCCACATGCTATTTTCCCAAAATCAATAACTGCAATATGAAACTCATAGTAAAATATCAAGTATAACATAAAAGTATAATGATTGCACGGGACAAGTTTCCTTGCCAGAAAAGGAGATGTGCAGATTAAAATGTTCATGTTCAGATACGATGCCTATAAGTGATACCCCTGTTTTACCTCTCACTGCCAAGACAAGATCATTTCTTCACTGTTTACTCATGAATGGGGTCAGACCCACAAGACATGGAGGAATATGTTCCGGTCACTGTTTAATTTTTTACTGCTTTAGCTGTGAAATGTAGGAGTTTCAGGCTTTCACAAAATGCCCCCAGGGCTTCTAAAAGTATTCTGACTACAAACTATCACCAGAGTACAAGCTTCAGGAATGTACCCAAAATAGAAAGAAGACATCAAAACAACGATTTCAATATTCAAAATAGAGGCCAAAATTCTTACTATACTAGACCTGCTATGAATTCTGCAGAGATAATATGGATGAAATTAGCATAGTTTAGCTCAGACTCCTTGCAAATTTAATTCCGAAGCTATACCATACCCTGACCCTCTAACCTCTGAAAAGGACCCAAGAAAAATATTTATCTTCTTTTTCAGAAATGCATCACATCCCATGACACTACCTGCTGTAGGAGTTTATGCATTTTTAAGGTCCTGCTGAGCTGTATCCATTTGGCTTTGATCTCATTAACCAAAATATCAGAAAGATAACGGAGCTCGTTGCACCTCTGACAGATCAAATCAAGTGCATAATGGTGATTTGCTGCAAGTTTGTGTCCATGTAAAATCACAAGCTGGGCCCTTGTTAACAGATCCTGTTTTTAAGAAAGAAGTAAAACAATGACTAGACGATCTCTTTTCAAAAACGGGAAAAAAGTAATTAAGAAGCAAATTGGTTGAGCACAGAGATATTTTGCCAAAAATATGATTTGATGTCACACTTCTGCAGGCTGCAAAACAGCTTATGGTTACAGTAATTAGCATAGCAGTTGATGTCATCAGAAACTCACCCATTTCTGGTAACAGAAAGAGAAAATTAACCAGCCTCCCAGAATGGTGATGAGATTTGCTTCTCCTATGATGTATATAGATTTAGAACAGCCGCATATATCAAATGAGGTACACACCAGCCAAGGAAAGCTAATTGACTTCACACATCTCAGCCTTGGAAATCCCATTAGAGGTGTCAGCTACCTGACTCCTTTACAGACCTGAAGTGAACGTATCACTGGGTTTCCATGCCAAAAGGGATCTTACCTGCCTTGCCTCCAATTCAACTGCTGACCCACCTCCTGTATAGTGACTGAAACATAGTAGGAGCGCAGGAAATGTTAGTCTAGGTAAAGAAAACTGCAGCCCCAAATGAAGAAGTGAGTAGCCTATCTAGCTAGTGGAAAAACCAGGGTCAAAATAGGAAGTCGTTGTTTAATGGGAGCAGAGTTTCAGTTTTGCAAAATGGAAAAGTTCTGGAGGTCTGTTGCACAACAATGTGAATACACTTAACACTACTTAGCTGTACAATTCAAAATGGTCAAGATATTAAATGTTATTTTATGTGTCTTTCATCGCAATTAAAACTAAAAAAAATATTAAAAACAAAAGAAAGAAAGCAAAAAAAAATCAAAGCTCCCTAGTTTCCAAAGCAATTTGCCTTCTCTTTCTACTATACCATAGAGATTTGTAAATTGCCCCACAATCACAAGGATCTCCAAGCACAATTCCAGAACTGGTCACCACAGCTGCTTCCTCTCAATTTTCATTTTTGGTGCTTCTGGCTCACCCATAAATCTATTTGTATGCCGAGAAAGCACCTTAAAAAGCATGGTCTTGCCCTCACATACAAGGCAGGAGAGGAAAGCTAGAGTTTGTTAAGTAGTAAAGCCATGAGTCCAAGCTTTAAGACTGGCAGCTGGCTATTTTGAGTACTTACTATATATCTATATATCTTAGGTAGTACATTGAGTGCTTTATCTACACCTAAATGAATCCTTACAATCACTCCAAAAAGTAGGTTATTTCATCCCCAAATTTATAGATGAGGACATTGAAGTTTAGAAAATGTAGTCGATTTACCCAAGGTCACGCAGCTAGTAAAAGTAAGTAGATCTATCTGTATGAGTGTACACTTGGTTCAAATGCATATAACAAAATGACAGAAGTTTAAGGACTTATGTTCTCGTGACAAAACTGCCTTCTTGATAGACATTTGTCTAGGTTCTTCAAAAATGAGTTCTAATCTTGTTCCCACTGCTAGGCCTACAACACGTCACACTATTACCTCAGAGGCCTCCTACATGACATATGCTGTGTCTCCTCATGGCCCACATTGAACAGAACAGGAAACAGTCCAATATTATTGAACCAATTATTTAGATTGTTGCTGACAATCATAATCATAATAAGGGTTTAGACTAATGAAAAGCAGCAAAATGTAACTATCACACTCCATAAATATAATGAACATTTGAAATGCAATCTTACCTTAGACTTTTCATCTAACTTTTCCAACTGTTTTATTTTTTGTTTTATTTGAGCTATATTCCCTGTGACATCTGCAAACTCCGCTTGTTTGGCTAATAGAAGTTCAATTTCATGTGCAAGCTAAAAATAGAAATAAAAATTAGTCTTAAAAGCATATAAATTATTCAGCATTTCCCTTAATCAAATTTTGTAGGGAATGCTATTAAATCAGAACACCAACATGAAAAAAATTGCACATATGGAAAATACTTTGTTATTTTATTCCCAGTAATTGTTATAACCCATTTAAATTTAACTTCCTAGATATCAGTGTGTACTAATTATTTATAAAATATCATTATGTATGCATGAGAGCATGTATATGTGGACATGAATAGAAGTATGTATATGTGTATATACCTGTATGCATAGCCCCTAGCTCAATGGTGAACAGTTCTAGAAACAAAGAACCTTCAGTAGCAATGAGCACATCTAACACCCAGACCTTCATTCTCAGTATCATTTTCTAGGAAAAGAAACCAGAGCTTCTCTGGAAAATAGTTGGCTCCAGGGCTGAGGCAGAGTAGGAGTAAGATGACCTTGGACCATCTCTTTTTTATTTTAAAGATTTTATTTACTTATTTTTAGAGAGAAGGGAAGAGGGAAGAAAGAGAGGGACAGAAATATCAATCAGTTCCCTCTCGCAAGCACCCAGCCAGGGACTTGGTTCGCAACCCAGGCACGTGCCCTGACCAGGATTTGAACCGGCGACCCTTTGGTTCACAGGCCAGTACTCAGCCCACTGAGCCACACCAGCCAGGGCTAAAAGCATTTTATATCTAAAATAAATCTGAAGAGCCCTGGCTGGGTAGCTGAGTTGGTTAGAGCATCATCTTGATACACTAAGGTTGCAGGTTTGATCCCCAATCAGGGCACATACAAGAAGCAACTAATGACTGCATAAATAAGTGGAACAGCAAATCTCAATCTCTCTCTCTTTCTCTCTCTCTCTCTTTTTCCCTCTGCCCCCTCCTTCCCACCTTCTCCCATCCTCTCTCTCTCTCTCTCTGTCTCTAAAAACAATAATAAAATAAAACTGAATAACAAACGTCAGGGTAGATTGCAACTTTGTCCCTCTCATATTTGTTAGCACATAATTATGTGCTCTTTTGAAGGAAATGAGCAAGCCACAGATGTAGAAGTCTTGGCACTTAGTAGTTGCTTTCTTCATTCAAAGTCAAGGTTCACTCACAGTTACTTCCCTTTTCCCCTCATCTCTCTATGAGTGTAAATGGGTATCTCGTGAGACGGTATTTATAATGATCAAGGAATAATGCCATAATGAAAATTACATATATAATGAAAATAAATGTATAAAGAAATGTTTAACTGACCTCTTGAAAATCTTGCTCAAACTTCCATAGTTGCAGATACTGCTCCATTTTTTGTTGGTGTTTTTCCCAAAATCCATCAAAAGCAACTTCCATATCATGTACTTGAGTCAGCAATCTTAACAAAGAAAGGCCATAAAATTCCTTAGAAACAATGGCTTGTTTTATAGGCATGTAGGTAAACCTGGCCAGAACACTAAGAATTATAGGCAAAGTCACAGCACATGACACTTGGTCCAGGCAGAGACTCTCAGTGTCCACAGAACCTCTTCTACAAGCAAACTGACTTCTGTGAGACAACTCAGGGATGGGTTCTCAGATTTCCAGAGATCCAGGAATACGTTAACACTTAACAGATTACAGCAAAAAAAAAAAAAGTGTAATTCTCTTTCAAAAGTATGAAAGAAGAACCTCTAAACCCAAAAGAAAGTACTCACTTATTAATAGTTTGCCAGTCACCACTTGTTTGTTCATGATGTTCATATCTTGAACTGACAGCTTCTTCAGTGTCAGGCACTTCCAGGTTTGTTAGCAGAATTTTTCCTTCTTTGGTTACAGCTGTAATATCATTCTGCACAAAGGTATGATAGGATGCATCATTTGATGTTAGTAACCTAACCTGAATGACCTAAAGAGAAAGAAGCATATACCTCTAACATGCAGAATAGAAACAGTAGTTCTAGAATGGCCTCTGCTTTCATAACTGAAAAATCAAGGAATACCTCAGTACCACAGACTCCAAACGCTGTGAGAATCTCCAAGAAGCCTCTGCCAGTTGAGAAGGATGTTACAATCACTATATCTACAAGATCTTTACAGGCAGAAGTACTTTACGCAGTGTTTCTAGCTTTCTCATCTTACTGGTAGAAAGTTCCAAGTTACTCTATTACATTCTGCTAATAATTTAATGTATGTAAATAAAGCAGTGGCAGCAGTACAAAGACTAAAAATAATATTCAATATATATTCAGATATAGTTAGAAGCCTTTCTTACTAATCATTAATTGTTACCCATCACTGCCTACCATAAGCATTATTATGTTCATGTTTGGATTATTTAATCATGAAGCATATGCTTCTATTCAGAAGGTCTTAACCTTGGGTGATAGATTCTTCAGGAATGTAAGAGTGATCTACAACTTCCATCAGGAGATCTAAAAATTTGGGTGTATATGTATTTTTCTGGGAAAAGGATCCATGACACCACCACCAATGTGAATTAGAACATAAACATTTAAGAGCTAGTGCAAGTCTATGCCAAACACTGTTGTATAACACACTTTACTTCATTCCATCCTCTCAACAACCCTACAAGGTATGTATGCATCATCATCATCAACCTCATTGTACATATAAAAAACCTTGAAATTTAGAGAGGGTGAGCAAATTACCTGATCACACGGCTTGTGAGAGACAGTGCTTTCTTCCCTTGAACAGAGTTTTGCTTTTAGATTATGATTCAAAATTTCACTTTCTCTCCTCCTCTTAATTTAAAACTGTCACCTCTATATAGAGCTTGTATCTGTCAGTGACCAAGCAAGCCTATTATCATATGAAGGACATGAGTTCTACCGGGAAGTCTAGTGCTTGTTCAGATCATTCATAAACTTCTGGGGGAAAGTGAATGTAAAGTAGTTGGTGATTGAATCGTGTCTCAGAATCTTTCACAAACCAAACACTCCAGACAACTGGGTAGGAGAGCCAAATCAACTTGCTGCTTATTGTAGAAAACTGTAAGAACCAGTCCTCTGAGGAAGAGAAAGCTTGTAATCAATTTATCAACGTTTAACTTGGTCTCAATGCTAGTATATGGCAGAGTTGATACAAGACACCAGGCTTCCTGACTCCTCATCAAGTTCTCCATTTTACATCATGCCTGTGGTAGATGTTAAAATAGAATACCTGTGTGTCTCTTTATGCTCTAACTTTCCAAATGAGAGGGCCTTTCCATGGTATAAAGAATATGTGGTAACAAAAATGACTGGATTTCTTATTCTGGAGCATTTATAAGCTATTCTATTTATAAATAAACTTCTCAAGAGAACGCACCATTTACAAACGGAGCACCTAGATACAACAATTCCAGGGCATTCTCCTCTTGTAAAGTATTCTTATTTTTTATGCGTGTTTTATAGTATATAAATGTATCTTTTGTCTCCCTACCCACCAATCACTGTGAAATGGACACACTGAACACCTCTCTAGAAAAAGACCGTGGAAAACATTTGTTTGTCCCCTCTATCAGACATACCTTCAACAGGTGATACCTTTCAGTATGAATTGCAAGGATTTCTTCTATTGAAGAAATATCATCCGGTAGTTCTGTCTCAGCCAGTTCGGTTCCAAAGGACTGTAACATCTGAGCCATTTCTTTCACTGTGAGGGCAAAATTTTCTATTGCCTGGAAAGAGCCAGTGATTCTTTTAATGTTGTGGGATCCGTGCTAGCATATCAAAACCTGGATCAGTAATTGTATTTACTTTTATTTAGGCATGACAGCAAACACATATACTATGAACTTTCCTCTGCTAAGGAAAGTTGGCATTGCCCTTGGCAATCAACTCTAACTTTGCATCTAAGCCTCTACAAAACTATAGTCAAGTGAAGAGTCATCTTGAATGTCTTTTCTCTAAATTTCTGTACTTGTTTCCTTTACAATGATGAAAACTATTTCTAAAAGATGCCATGCACTGAGTAATTTATTTTATGACCTTGAAACCCCCAGTGTTTTCCTTATTCTCGTAAACTCTGCAATTGTAAAATTGCTTTATAATAACTTTACTTCTGGAGAGAGATGAAAACATCAAGGCCACTTGATATTTATTATAGTTTATGAACAAGTATTAGCATTCCAAATTAAATGATGGAATGAGGCAATGTGGGGACTCAAGTCACAATTCATTTCAGGTTTTGCTGCCCTAAATGTCAAGTAACATTTTGTTTATTCTGTTTCCAAAAGCAATTACTCAGAGAAAGAAGAATACCATATAGAAACTGTATAAATCCCCTCTTTACCACACAGCTCAAGGTATCTGCTCTTTTATTTATAGCTTTATCAGTTATTTAAGGCTAGCCACTGTTAATTTTGACAATATACTTGCATATGAATGACTACTGAATTCAGAATAAACAAGACGAAAATAGAATAAACTTCTATTATTACAAATAAACAACTCCCAATTTAATTAAACATTAATTACTCCCTTCAGAAGGTTTCCTATATCTGTGGGATTTGGAGTAGAGACTCTTACACCACGAACTCACCCCTTTGAGGCGCAGGACCCTTTCCTATTTGTAAATTTCTAGAACAGAAGGACTCTCTGCTACAAAGCTGTCTCAGAAGCACCATTCCAATGGTACGTTTAATAATGTGACTTGCATATTTTGAAGGCCCGCAATACTCATAGGCTAGGCACCATGCCAAACATTTTACATTTGTTATCTCATTTCATCTCCCCACTATCCCTCTGAGTTAAAGTTATCTATTATTCCCATTTTACAACTGGGAAAACTGAGACTCAGAAAGGTGATATAACGTGTGCAAGATTACACAGCTAAAAACCATCGCAGATAGGATTTGAATCCCAACCCTTTGTTTCTTCAAGTTACTACGTGGCCAGGAGGGGGTGGACAGAGGAAGATCTCCTTATTGCCTAGGCCTCTCCTTCAACTGCCATCCTCAAAGACTCTTCATCATTTCTAGATATTTCCTATGGAAGAAAATCAAGATGTTGAATTTTATGTTTTTAAAAACTAGGAGCCCCAGAAATCTGTTTTTCCCAAAGAGGAAAAGAATTCTAGCACTATATTTAAAAGCTAATATGAACTTACAAGCTCTACAGTAAGGGCAAAAGAAACATACATTTCTGAAGAGGATCCATTCACTGTGGCAGTACTGCAAGGTGCCGCCTAACTCAGGGGTTAATTGCTTGTCATCAATGTATGTCAGCAATTCACTAACTGAGCTCAGCATAACAACCTATATAAATAAGCAAGAAAAATACTGTTAACTGCCCTTTGTAGCATCCCTCCATTCAACTATACAATGCACTTTAGCATTCGCTTAGCAGAAATTTATCTTTTATAAATGGTTCTAACAATTCTCTCCTGTACATCCCCCACACATGTATTCACTACCTTCTTCAAGTAGTAACAGTTCGCATTTATAAAACATTTCTCTATAAAGCAAAATCTCCATAGAAACCCAAACACCTTGATTCTCCTTGATCTAAAATTTTGCACTGTTAATGATCAACCTTCTGAAAGAATATTATGCCTACCCCAGAGTAAAAGGGCTTTATGTAGTCAGTTATAATTTATCAGGAGAGGCTGATCTTTGCAAAAGGATCAAAATTTATGAGCACTTTAGCCCTAAAAACATATAAAAATATCTTTAAAAAAACAAAAACATGTCACTCTGAACTAGCTCAGGATGTAAGTTCATGGGAGTTCAAATACATAAAACAGTCATTTATTATTTTCTAAAATGAAATGTTCTGATTTTATACACACATGCACACATACACATATACACGCATACAGGGTAAGGAAAAAGTAGGTTTACAGTTGTTCATATGGAAAAAATTTCATATTGATGAAAAATAATCAATAAACAAGAATACAATAATAAACTCTGTTTTACATACTCTCAACTGCAAACTTACTTTTGTCCCACCCTGTATATATAACATACGTGACATATATCATTTTCAAAAGGAATTGCTTTGTTACAAATTGATTAATCTATTCCTTTAACAGTAGAAGCAGAAGACTTTTAGTCATTTTAAGTTTACATTTTTGGAAGGCAAATTCTATTTTTTCCTTTTAAAGTTTTCATGAGCACATATAAAACATGAACAGCATGGTAAAAAGTCTTCATGAGAATAAAAGGAACAAAACATTTTTAAAAATATACTCTTACCGGTAGTTTGAGCATGAAATCTTCCTGACTAAATCGAAATCCAATGTCTGTGAAAGTCCGTTGAAGAAAACTGGTTGGACGTAGAACCAATACCAAGTGTATGTTCCCAGGGAAGGAAGCCTGAAAAAGAAAGGACACAGGAAAGAAAGAAAACATTGTCAAAACATCCACTCAACTGAACACATATCAGAAAACTGTGATGAAAGGAAACAAATTTTAAAATCATAAAAGCCACTAAAAGGACAAACTTTAAAAATGGATAGTGATAAAATCTAAAAACATGAAAATAAAAATACAACCACCTAAAGGTCATCAGATCAGATCTTTGCAATGCTCATGGCATGGAATTTTCTCCCACTGAAGTCCCAAGTTACAAAGAATTATACTCTTAAGCTTCATTTTAAAGTTAGTTATTTGTACTCAAATTGCATTTATTCCCTGTAAACAGAATTAGGAGACAGGTTCCTAGAGTATCCCTAAAAGTCAAAGGGGACTAAAATCCTGTATACTTGTATTAAATAACAGAAGAAAACTATATTATGAACTCAAATTTTTATTTTCATCCAAGCAACGTTCACTGAATATCTTTTGTGTGTCCACTCCATGAATTTAAGTGAATAATTACCAGGCACTGTTAGAATTCAGTGTACCCAAATTAATAAAATATAATTCCTACTCTTCTTGCAAGAAAATGACAGTCTAATAGTGGAGCACATTAATAACCATTAGCTCTACAGCATGATAATTTAATCAGTGAAGCAAGGGAATCAGAATAATATACAAGAGGAAGTGGTAACACTGTGCATTCCTGACCTAGGAATGTCAAGAAAGATTTCAAAGCATAAGGAAAAATTAATTGGCCCTGGCTGGTGTGGCTCAGTGGATTGAGTGCCGGCCTGCGAGCCAAAGGGTCACAGGTTTGATTCCCAGTCAGTGCACACGCCTGGGTGGTGGGCCAGGTCTCCAGTAGGGGGAGCATGAGAGACAACCACACTGATGTTTCTCTCCCTCTCTTTCTCCCTCCCTTCCCCTCTGTATAAAAATAAATAAATAAATAAGATCTTTTTTTAAAAGAAATTAATTGAAACAAAATGTCATTCTAGTGCACCAACATTTCCCCAGCTTCTAGAATACTGGTATATAATAGGTGGTCAAGAAATAATTGCTAAATGAAAGAATGCAAAAGACAAAGAGGAAACTATGCAAAATTAGTAAGGGATGGACTAGTATAGACCAGTATTAATAATAAACTACTACATATAAAATGCTTTACTCTGTGCCAAGTATTTTGCCAGTATTATCATAGTTCCTCTTCATAATAATTCTTTGAAGTAGTTAGGCTATCCTCCTTTGCAAAGAAAGTAAGGCTCATAAACTTAAGTGTAACTTGACCCAGCTGGTGAGGCCTTAATATGCACCTGAGTCTGTGCTCTTGCTCACTACATTACCCCATTTCTTCCAAGAGGTTCCAATCAGGAAAGCTAGGGGGAAAATGATGCTGGAGTACAGCAATGGGAGCTAGTGCTAAAAAGATAGGCATGAGCCAGTTCAGGAAGGACCTTGGGTTTTCCCCTGGAGAAAAGGGGAGACTCTAAGAGGTTTCAAGCCACAGAGCAACATGATCAGTTTGCATTTTAGGAGGGTCACACTGGCTTTGGGACTGAATTTGGACAAGAGTGAAAATAGACAGGTGAGCTAGGAGGTTAGTACAGTAAGCCAAGCCAGGGATGGGGAATTCCTGAACTGGAGCCACAATAGCAGGGATGAGGGTAGAATTCAGGAGATACAATCTGCAAGACACGATTACTGAATATGTCTGACAAGAAACAGCCTAAGTGCCCGTCAGTAAATGAGTGGATTAAAAAACTGTGGTACATTTACACAATGAAATACTATGCAGCAGAAAGAATGAGCTCCTACCCTTCACAACAGTGTGGCTGGAACTGGAGAGCATGATGCTAAGTGAAATAAATCAGGCTGTGAAAGGCAAACACCATATGATCTCACCTGTATGTGGAACCTAATCAACAAAACAAACAAATGAGCAATAGAACCAGGAACATGGAAATAAAGCACAAACTGACAGTGACCAGAGGGGAGAAGGGAGGGGGATAATGGGAAAGGGGCAGGGGCAAGCCAAGGAACATGAATAGAGGTCTCATGGGCATGGGCAATGGGGGGATTGACTTTGGGAATGAGGGGCAGGGGAGAGAACAGGGAAAAGGTGGAACAACTGTGACTGAACAACAATAAACAAATGAATTTAAAAAAAGGAAGGAAACCAACCTCCAGATTTCTGACTTGAGTAACTGGGTGAATGGTACAACCCTCACTGACTTGGGGAACTCAAGAGGAACAGATTTTCATGAGGGGGACAAGAAATTGATTCCCATTCCTGGACCTGTCAGGTTGGAAGGGTGAGCAGAACATCCAGATGATGTGCATGAGCAAATGTATATACAAGAAAGAGAGTCAGCCTTGAAACACAAGATTAAAGCGCAATAAAACAACATATGTCAAAAATGTTTAAAATACAATAATATCTCTGCCCTGGCTGGTGTGGCTCAGTGGGTTGAGCATTGGCCTGCAAACTGAAAGGTCATCAGTTTGATTCCCGGTCAGGGCACATGCTTGGGTTGCAGGCCAGGTCCCCAGTTGGGGGCACATGAGAGGCAAATATACATTGATGTTGCTCTCCAATTCTCCTTCCTTTCCCCTCTCTCTAAAAAATAAATACAATTTTAAAAAATAAATAAATACAGATTTAGAAACACAATAACATTTGAAGCATGTTGAAATATTGGTAATTAAAACTATTATACAAAAATTATTAAGATATTGTGGGGCAAAGGTAATGGGAACTCTGTATCTTCTGCTCAATTGGCTGTGAACTCAAACCTGCTCTAAAAAAAATAAAGTCTAATAACTTTCACTGAGTTATAATACCTAAACTCTTAGGGAAATTACATGTAAAACCTTGAATTTTAATAATTCAATTGGAAATAGTGATAAAACAAAAAAAAAACATTAAGTGGCAATGAGAACTAGAGGAAAAGAGAACTGAGTGTCATACAAACAGGTAAAAGAGCACAAAATTAAATCACTAAATTAAACAAAGATAATAAATAGACACAAATTGGGATGGCTGTCCAACTCATAAGCCCTCCATGGGGCCATGTGTGTGCTACCCGCTCTGTGAGAAACTTCCTCCCCTCTGCTATACACTGAATGTTTATGCCCTCCCCCATTCATATGCTGTAACAACCCCAAATGTGATCAGATTTGGAGGTGGGGATTTTGAAAGGTGATTAGGGCATGAGGTTGGAACCCTCATGCATGGGGTTAACAATGTTACAAGACGGATTCCAAAAAGATCCCTCACCGCTTCTGCCGTGTGAGGACAGAGAAAGATGTCCTTCTATGAACCAGGAAGTGGGCCCTCGCCAGACATCAAATCTGCCATCAAAAGACCTTGATATTGTACTTTCAGCCTCTAGAACTATGAGAAATAAATTTCTGTTTATAAGCCACCCAATCTATGGTATTCTGTTACAGCAACCCAAATGAACTAAAAGAAGGCTCTTACTATTGTCATTGGTTCCTAAGAAAACCTGTTATCTTTCTATATGACGTTGCCCTTCCAACACACAATGAGTAGTAGTGGGATGAAAATTTGATGTAAGTAGGAGCAAAGTCCTGCCCTAGGATTTTTCAAATTGGTGCCGAGGGAGGGAAACTCTGAGGGTAAAGTTCCAGAGCCACTGATAGCCATGACCCCTGCTGCTGGAGAAAGCTTATTTCATAAAAGAAAACTTTTATAGAGAAACAGACAGAGAGTTCCAATGATAACTTACATCCTATCCTCTATTATGTACATAATGTATATTATGTTTTATGCTAAGCATGGTACTCATCTCCCATGGTTATTGGAAGAATGAAAATAAATAGTAAATGTAAAGGTACTTTGTAAACTCTAAAAAATTAACAACATAATTTACTTTGGATTCTTAGACCTAAGGACAAGCAGATTTAGGTACAAAACTACCAGAATATGGATACAGTCCTGCTTAAGGAGAGACTCTGACAGATTTGTGAGAACTCTGGACCTATTTTTAGATTGAAATCACAGATTCTATTTCTATCCCATTCACTTTAGCAGTTAAGCCATTCCTTCTCCTTCACATGGGTAAATTACAAGTATTATTATTCTTACCTGCTTTGATCCAGGCTTATTTTTTTCACTTTTTTAAAAAAATATTTTATTTATTTATTTTTAGAGAGAGGACAAGCGAGGGAGGTAAAAAACAGGGAGAAACATCAATGTGTGGTTGCTTCTCATGCACTCCCCACTGGGAACCTGGCCCGCAACCCAGGCATGTGTCCTACACTGGGAATCAAACCGGCAACCCTTTGGTTCTGAGGCTGGCACTCAACCCACTAAGTCACACCAGGCAGGGCTTTTTTCACTTTTCAATGGAACTGAAAGCACCCTACTTTTGCCAACATTTAAGGCAAAATTACTCTTATTCTCTCACTGATTCTAGGTTGGTGTGGTCTCATTGTCTCTTTCTCTCTGACTTAATGTCATCATCTCTGGTATTGAGTAGAAAATCTCTGGATGCAGGACCCTAGGGATGACCAGCTTAAAGTCTGGAATAGTCACCCTCCTCCCAAATTGGGGTGGAAGCTACAAGGAGAACAGAGAACTCCCTGTGGCAACTCTTTGCCTGAGATAAGGCCCAGGTCTCCACCCTGCCATTCCCAGCACAAGGCTGCCCCAGCAGCCAGGTCTAGGAACAGCTGATCACACTGCAGAGAGCAAAATACAAAGAGAGAAGCAGCCTTGCTGTCTACAGAATCCATAGGGAAGAGTTTGAGCCAGGTTTGGAAGTGTTTGGCTGCTCCTAAGTCAGAAGGGCTTAATGTTGGCTGTTTATTAAATTAGTTATTGTCATTATATGATAAAGTAGTTTACCCCAAACATTGACAGCTGTACAGAATGCTTCAGAACATGACTCTACATTCTAATCAGATAATTTTTAAAAGATTTTATTTATTTATTTTCAGAGAAAGGGAGAAAGAGAGAAAGGAAAACATCAAAGTGTGGTTGCCTCTCACAT